AACTCTGCCAGTCAATGGAGACATTGTTGTTGAGATAATTAGAAAAGAAGTTGATGATGCTGTCTGATGGAGGAGGGAAAACGCGACGCGATCGCGTAAATTAGCGGGGTTCGTCTTCACTTTTGCGTCCCCACTGTAGGTGGTCATTCAATTTCATGATCCTAGATCACTGAAGTAATGGCTTGTATGTGCTGTCTAACTGCTAGAGGAATCACAATTGACGCTAAAGCATATAAGAGCATGAGGTTGAATATTCGGCAAAATAACCTAGTGGAATATTTCACCTCGCCGTTTGCCAGTTCGCAGTTTTCCCGTTAATGCCCAATGGAGCGCACACCAAGAGGAGAGCAGCATGGGAAAAGGTGGCTCGAGAGAATGACACTATTGGCCCTACAATATATGATAGCCGGCGTGTCGAAGAAGGAAGGAGGGTTTGAAGGGAAATAACCATTCCAAAGTATCGAAGTTCCTCTCTAATGCTATAAGAGGTGGTTTAGGTCATGGGTTCACTGTGGCATTGAACAAAAAGCGGGACATTATTTCTACATAAAAAGCAATAATAATAACAAAAATTGATAACCTAGGTTTCTGGGAAATATAGAAATAAGCCTATTCTAATAGAATTCCCTTGAATGTGTCTCCAAACATCCTGATGCAGGCTGAAGCAAGTAGGCTGTTGGTAATTTATATACACGTTTAGGCATTAAGCACTGGTCACCAGCTTCCAGCGTTACATATTTTTGCTATTAACCATCCAATACCTGATGGGTAAGCTCTTTTATCACGGTTGTTACGTCCCGCAAGGCCCATCGCCAGCTCTGCAGCGGTGTAGAGCCTGGGCCCTTGTTTTTAGCATTTGGACATCCGCTTATCCGATCCAAAAACACCTGATAATACTCAGCCTAAATAGCACCCCCTCAAGCAAAGAACTTCAGTGCATCACAAGTCATACCACTGCATTTATATAAAGCTAAAAGAGTAAGACCGTCAGTAAGCCGTCTGAACTAGAGGTATTCGCCTTTCCCAAATAGTCGTAATAGCCGGAATGGCTCGTAAACTTAGTCTACTGGCTCTTGCAAGCCTTATTTCGCTGTCAGTTCAGCAGAATTGCGCAGCATTATTGTGAGCACACTGAACGCCATGATATCTTCTACCTCATCTACTAACCCAAGTTTAGTGGCCAATGTGGAGGTAATGGATGGACCGGCTCAACATGCTGCGTTTCTGGCGCCCAGTGCACTTACGTGAACGACTTCTATTCTCAGTGTCTTGCCTCAACTGTATGAGTTTCTACAGCTGCTGTGAGGCGTTTTCTAACCAAGTATAGGGTGGCGGCAGTACTACTAGTAGATCATCAACTTCATCCAGCTCAGTCTCAAGATCTTCATCTACTAGCTCAGTTTCCAGATCCTCATCTGCCGGCTCCTCGCCTGGGGGCGGCTCACCAACTGGTGGCGCTTCTACGTATACAACGACTGATACTGCTACGGTTGCTCCTCATTCCCAGTCTCCTTACCCCAGTATTGCTGCCTCCAGCTGCGGGTCCTGGACTCTAGTGGATAATGTTTGCTGTCCATCATATTGTGCCACCGATGACACATCCGAGTTCTGCACGGGCGGCTGCACCTGTGCCACGCCACCTTCGGCGGATTGCAAATCAGGAACTATGTACCCAGAAGTCCACCATGTAACTAGCAATGAGACTTGGCACTACAGCGTAAGGCGATTACTCCTGCCACCCTTTATTCTCTTGTGGCGTGCTGACTGTCGAGGCTTCAGAGATCTACGCATTTCGGCTTGACAAGCGGCGGAGCTTGTGGCTTTGGCCTCTATGGTCTCTGCACAAAAGGCAGTGTTACCGCGAGCTGGACAGATCCTATGTTGGGATCAACCTGTGATGCTTTCTGCACAGCCTACCCCTTACTTTGCAAAGATCCTACGGGCACTACTCTTCGCGGCAACTTTGCAGCACCAAACGGAGATTATTATTCGCAGGTAAGAGACACTGCTCATTAATCTTCTACTAATCTAATTTCATGATAGTTTTGGTCTTCTCTGCCAGGAGCCCTAGATAACTACCTGTCTTGTGGCGAATGCATTGAACTCATTCAGACGAAACCAGACGGAACCGACTATGCTGTAGGGGAAGCTGGCTACACTGATCCGATCACTCTGGAGATAGTAGACAGCTGCCCTTGTAGCGCAAATTCCAAGTGGTGCTGTAAGACATTCGGTTTACGACTTAGCGAGAGCTCTGGCTAACTTGCTATAGGTGGCCCCGGTGCCGATCATTGCGGAGAGATCGATTTTAAATATGGCTGCCCTCTTCCGGCCGACAGCATTCATCTCGATCTCTCAGACATTGCCATGGGCCGCTTACAGGGCAACGGTTCACTCACTAATGGTGTGATTCCAACTCGATACAAGAGAGTTCCTTGCCCCAAACTTGGAAATGTTTATATATGGCTTCGAAATGGCGGGGGGCCGTACTACTTTGCTCTGACAGCCGTGAATACTAATGGACCCGGATCGGTCACCAAGATTGAGATCAAGGGTGCAGGCACAGATACTTGGGTTGCTTTGGAACATGATCCAAACTACACCAGCAGTCGCCCACAAGAACGATATGGAAGCTGGGTAATTCCACAGGGGTCAGGACCTTTCAATCTGCCCGTTGGAATACGCCTTACTAGCCCAACGGGAGAGCAGATTGTTAATGAACAAGCCATAAAGACATTTACTCCACCAGCGACAGCAGATCCTAACTTCTATTACATCGACATCGGCGTACAGTTTAGTCAAAACTAAGAATGGACGCTTGAACCAATTGGTGTTTTATTTCACTTGGAATCACTTGCTCGGTATATATTTTCAGCGTTTATTAGAATATATATGCGCATCCATTTCTGATATCATTTCCGACTTCATTGTCTGATCGTCCAACCCATCTCAGGAAGTCGCCATGTCATGCCACTGTAAATGTGGGTGTTTTAGACAAGCATCAGCCACTGGAAATACGCTGCTGAATAGATATGAACAAGACACAGTTCTCGCAATTCTCTACTCCGCTAATGTTTACCGACGTTTAAGATATTCCTTCTCCTATTACAACGAACTCAATTCGCACCGCCATTTAGAATGACATCCCTAAACACGACCAATTGTTATAACATACCACCAGCTATTTATGTTACTGTGGTAGTAATAATGAAGTATTTTCATTATCTACTCGAGAGCTTGGCGGCTGGATCCGACAGATCGGGCTGGGATTACTTTGTAGGTTAGGCCGGGCCGTCTAATCATGGGCGGGATCAGCAAACAATGTGAGGTTCTTAGCTACAGGCTTGCTTCAATGATGGCGATATAGTTATAAGGAGCTGTGGGCTGCTTGTAAAATGATGATCTCACATTAAAATTAAATAATGATACTGAACGTCCAAAGATTGTTCGAATAAAACTAAAGACGGTAAATTGTATGAATGGGGCTGTATCAGAACTATAATCCTAGACATTTGGAAGTCGATGTTTGAACGTCCAATTTGCACTATCTCAACGAGAAAAAAAAAAAAAGACGCCAGATTTTGACCCAATGGCTTTCGATTCACAATGAAATACGGAGTGCTTTGCGTGAGATTGAGACCATGTGATGCTGATGAGTAAAACTTCCTGGATTCTCATCAAGTGTGGCATCCCCGGTCTAGCGGTATCTGCAATGTTTGTGGGGTGCATCGGCTAAAGTCCCGATAGCGCCATCCATTGCCGGTTTGCCGAGACGATGCATATGGCTTCGGATCAAATAAACGATGCTGGGGATACAGATCCACGTTGACTACGCCTTTCTCTTATTAGTCGAGATCGTGGAATACCCCTCTCATAAGATTCTTCTGGTTATAGCACGGGAGATAATTCACTGGGCCAATGAAGTTGATGATGCTCCAAAGGCTTACGCTGAGTGAAAATAACTTATCCGGGCGGAGTCAGGATACCGGGATGAGTTTGCAACAGGCACCGGCGCAACGATGGAGCCATGATCCCTATGAATGCTGGGGTTGTCAAGCATTTAGTATACTTAACGTGCTAACGAGGAGTACTGTACGTACATTGTCTTACTGCATGAGTAAGGAGAAGTTTATATCACTGGCAATTGTCCAAATACCCGGGAGAAGTAGTAATGAATGACCAAGGGTATTTAAGCGTCGTTGACATGCCGTATTCTTTCTCTACATTGCTATTATTTACCTGCTTTACTCTCTCATTACTAGCTATAGTACCCCGATGACTTCTTCCGCCGACATCTCAACCCGTGCTTGAATATGGTGTGGAACTAGATCACATAGTTCCGGCTAGAATAAGGAACCGATCTATGATTGAGGTAACATCGGCCAACAGAAGGTTTATGACAAGAGGCCAAGCGCCAGTCGCAAGACAGCTGAAAAGTGGATTTATGTCAATGGCAATCCAATGGAAGACATCTACACTCGTCACAAGAAGGAAAATGATAGGTGAGCTTTGGGATAGAGAGAAGTCATTCAGATGGAAAATATAAGGAAATATATCCGTAAAATATACATTAATTGTTAGAAGTATAAGCTACAAGACGTAGTTAATTCTTCTAGAATTGTTACACGTTCAGTTCTACTGTGTGGACCAACCATGCTGTTACGCGTAGGTACGTTTAGTAGTTGTATGATGAAGACAGTTATAACTTTAAGGTTCGCAAGCATTGGCTACATACTCCGTTGGTCAATATCCCAACTATTTCGTTGGCATAGTACTTCTTTACAGAAGTTCGACATCTATTTTCGTCGCAGCATCATATAGCCATACAGAGGAAATAGTTGTTTTAGCGCGTAGTACCAGTTGCCAGGTAAGTCAATCTCCAAAATCCGTTAACTGCTGAAGCTAATGCCTCAGTGACATCTCACCGACACCTACAGCGCATGACATCAACGGTAACAAATATATTTGTCATCCAGAATCATGATCATATACACCTTCATTATAGAATTCTTATACATCCGTTTAGCCAACACCGAAACTCATCACTATTTTAGATGCCTTGAATCAGTGTGCGCCATTGGCTTGGTGTTGATTGAACCCCTGCCTCATCTCCGCAAAAAGCGTCATCGCGGATAAAAAGGCTAAATGGCTCAACCTCCGATGTCTTGCGACAAGGATTCGAATATGTGTACAGAATAGTGGCCGGATAAATGTACGAGTATCCATTGTAAGACCAAACTCAGAGCACGAGAGGGGGTTCTAAAGAGCAGTTGACATAAAATGGACGTGTTGGGAGTTGATAATCTCCCCCTTTTGATCCAGATGAGCAGTGTTGATACTCAATCTTCCCAATCAATCTCTCTTTCACCTCATTCAAGATGATGTCCACTGTCTCAGTTGTCTTGGCCTTGCTAGGTCAAGGCTCAGCATGGTCATACAACACCAACTCTCAATACAAAGCTAATATTAAGATTAACGCTCGTCAAACTTATCAGACTATGATTGGAGGCGGCTGTTCTGGTGCTTTCGGTATTGCTTGTCAACAGTTTGGGTCTTCTGGCTTATCGCCCGAAAACCAACAAAAGGTCACTCAAATCCTCTTTGACGAAAACATTGGAGGTCTGTCTATTGTCCGAAACGACATTGGATCCTCCCCGGGAACCACTATTTTGCCAACTTGTCCCGCCACTCCAGAGGGCAAGTTCAATTATGTCTGGGATGGCAGCGATAATTGCCAATTCAATCTCACTAAAACGGCTCTCAAGTATAACCCAGACCTTTTTGTTTACGCCGATGCTTGGTCTGCTCCTGGATGTATGAAGACGGTTGGAACGGAGAACTTGGGTGGACAAATATGCGGTGTACGTGGCACCAATTGCAAATACGATTGGCGCCAAGCATATGCCGATTATCTCGTTCAATACGTCCGGTTCTATAAGGAAGAAGGTATCGATGTATCTCTTCTGGGTGCCTGGAACGAGCCTGACTTCAACCCTTTTACCTATGAGAGTATGCTGTCAGACGGATACCAGGCTAAAGACTTCTTGGAGGTCTTATACCCTACACTCAAAAAAGCTTTCCCGAAAGTGGATGTCAGTTGCTGTGATGCAACTGGCGCAAGACAAGAAAGAAACATTCTCTACGAACTTCAGCAAGCAGGCGGAGAGAAGTTTTTTGACATTGCGGTTTGTTCTCCATTACGCCCCTCCTAAAGCTAAACATCGATGTGATATCTGACCGAGTTCCAGACGTGGCACAACTACCAGAGTAACCCTGAGCGCCCATTCAACGCTGGTGGAAAGCAAAACATTATGACAGAATGGGCTGATGTAAGATAAAGCCCAAAGATTTCTTTTGCTATTTACTCACACGCGTAACAGGGTACCGGTGCGTGGAATAGCACTTGGGACTACAGCGGCCAACTTGCGTACGTATCTTTTATACCTAAATAGTCCTCATTTCTCTCCAGGTCGATGCTAACAATTCATGTCAGTGAGGGCTTGCAATGGGCGTTGTATATGCACAACGCTTTTGTGAATAGCGACACCTCGGGTTACACTCACTGGTGGTGCGCACAGAACTCCAATGGCGACAATGCTCTCATTCGGCTCGATCGCGACAACTACGAAGTATCATCTCGACTCTGGGCTTTTGCACAATATTTCCGATTTGCTAGACCAGGTTCTGTACGCATTGATGCAACAAGCGACGTAGAAAACGTCTATGTAACCGCCTATGTCAACAAAAATGGTACTGTGGCAATCCCCGTCATCAATGCAGCTCACTTCCCTTACGACTTGACTATCGATCTGGAGGGCATCAAAAAGAGAAAATTGAGCGAATACTTGACCGATAATAGCCACAACGTTACTTTGCAGAGTCGGTACAAGATTAGCGGCAGCAGCCTCAAGGTGACGGTTGAGCCAAGGGCTATGAAGACGTTCTGGTTGGAGTAAGCAGTGGTCTAGTGTAACACACTCATAATCAGCATTGAAAGATGATTATGCAGTAGTCGGGCCAATATTAATTATTTTTCCTCTAATATACATAATGATCTATACGTTATAGTATGAATATCCGAATCATAGTAATATTTTCCCAGAATATCAGCATCAGGACTTGGGAATGAATATCGTGATGGTTAACTCGTTCCGCGGCGGGCTAAGCGGCGCACGCCGATAACTTGAGCTGGCTGTAATATCCGGATATTCACAGCAGCGCGTGCGATTTGATCTACGTATAAGATTCATCTATCCATTTTTCTCTTCCAATTCTGACTCTGCAATCCTTCCCGATCGATGAGTTGGTATTCCTAATCGCACTTGAGCTACGCGGTAATCGGAGAGGGTCCTCAGCAGAGTAGTACGGTAGTAAAAAGTAGCTTTGGTTGATGACTTGCAGCTAAATCCACAACAACATAGAGCTACAAGATGTTTGCCTCGCAATATAGCCATAAGATCAAAAAACGACAAAACTATTGGATCTGTATGATACGACTGTAGTAGAATTTTTTTCGGTCAAGCCCTGCAGGGATGATTAACGTACATACAGTAAGACGTGTGCATTAGCCTTGAGTCTCCCTCAATCAACGCTTCAAAGGGCATCAAATTCCCGGCCTAGTCTAAACATGTCTTTCTAATTGGCCATCAACCTGCGTTTCCCGGTGACATTCCATTACGGGCTTTTAATGAACATCTCAATGATGTTCAAATTCGTAACACTAAGTGCGATCTGAAGCCTGCGGATATACAGTTTCCCCGTTGTCTCGAACATTCACGCGGGCTGTTTATTCTTCCTTTCTCTGCGGGGTCGATTTGGCTTCAATGACCCATCACAACAATGAGATCGCGCTACGAGTTAGCAGGTACTGAGGAGCGTGTTTTGGAGCCACTCTCGAGTGCTGTATACCTAAAAACACTAGCTAAAGTGCACGGGAATATAGTACTGTATACTTGGGACTGTCGCAACAGGAACTGGACTCAACTACAGCAATCCTCTTTAGGAGGCGGGGTAAGAGATCCATCGTTTATTCCTCCGTCACATGCCGGGCTAGGGTTTCCCAAAGTGATGTACGCGTAGCTACTTGCGAAAAAACTGTAACCTCTAAAGAGAGCATCAGATCTTCTGCTAGAGAATTCTTTTTCTGAACCGGGGAGTGTATTTGATGGATGTTTAATATAGCATTTGGGGACATCGAAAGAGACTTGCCACACGCTGCAGACCATCCCAGATTTGAGACATTTTAAAGCTCTGACTCACCGGCGAAAGGCTGCAATTACGTCCTAGCTGTATGGAGAACGTAGTACATGTGTAAGCTCATTCGGTACGGAGTACATTTTCAACTTCCTACCGACCTAGATTAGGGAGTATATAGGTAGGTAGGTACTACCGATATTTATTAGCGGGGAAGGAACTTATACAATAACCTTGCCCTTTGTTCCGATATCTTTCCACTTCTTCTATTGACGAGCAATTCTTTTAACAACCACGCACACACTCCCGATAGATAATTCGCCGTCTTTATATTTTGTTTAGACTGTCGCATCAAATCTCCGGGTCCCAATCATGTCGGCAGAAGAGACGAATAAACACATCCAAGAGACGGTGCAAAAAGAGCTGGAAGGTACAGACTATGCTGTATCATCTTTCACACCTCTGTCTGGGGGGACTGCAAACTTCATTTACCACGCCAAACTTCAGAAGCCTCTGCCAGACGGTGTGTCCGAGGTTGTGCTGAAACATGGCGAAGCATATGTTGCCCAACATCCCGACTTCAAACTGAAAATGGTTCGATGCGTGAGTTCTCCCATCGCTCTTCCACATCACTTAGAAAAGCTCAAGTACTAATACTCAATCCGTGTGCATTTTCTATTAATAGAACATTGAAGAGGAAGGCCTACGATTCCTCTCACAATTTCCACACGTGATTTCGTCGACATACGAAATTGGGACTCCAAAACTGTACCACTTCAGCCCTGAAAGTAGTACTCAGATTCAGGAATACGTGTCTAATGCTGTCAATCTCAAAGACTATGCTCTCCGCCACTATCAATCTGCTACTTCTGAGGCAGTTAAACCACAATGCCTTCAACTTGGACAGGGTTTAGGTCGGTGGCTGCGGGAATTCCACAGTTGGAGCGACCAGCCAGAGCAGCAGGGCCTGCGTGATCTGTTCGCACAGAATACAGACATGCAGAACATCAAAAAGCTCATCAATTATGACCAATTGCTTGGAAGGGTGAACATGTTCCCAACCCTTCTGCAGGAGTACAAGGACGTTTTGCAGGAGATTGTAAAGATGGCCTCGGCTGAGCTGGCAAATGAGAGCCAACTCAGTGCAATCCATGGTGACTTTTGGACCGGCAAGTAAGTTGAGAGTGCAACATAATTCATGCAACGTCTCGCCCTTACGATGAGAACTGACTTTTTATTACTTACAGTGTGCTGCTACCAAACATTACTTTTGCAGATGGCCAGCTGGTTCCAGTTCGCATTATTGACTGGGAAATGGCGCAGGTTGGTGTACGAGCCGAAGACCTCGGCCAGCTGATTGCCGAACTATGGCAGCTGAAACTATACAAGGATATAGACGCTGCCCTCTGGATTATTCGCGGCTTTGTGGAGGGATACGGCAAGCTTGATACAGATTTTATCTTCCGCGTGCTCATTCATGTCGGTGCTCACCTGATATGCATTGGATCTACGACACCTGGATGGGGGACACCAGAGGAAGGTCAGAAAATTGCCAAGCTCGGAAGAGACGTCTTGCTTAACGCTTGGAGGAAAGATGCGAAGGCATTTGAAGAGCATGATCTTCAATGTCTATTTGTTTAGTATAAGTAATTGAGCACAAAAGTCAATATTTGCAGCGTCTTTGGATCTTATCGTTATCGTTTGTCAGGCTGAAGAGAATCTTAACGGACGAAGTGCCCTTTTCGTAGGTCGACCTACTATCTCTATGTATTTTTTTTCAATACAGAAGTTGAAAATGCGATTCGGAATTGTTAAATCTCCATGCGATCTTCGCCAACAAATTCTAAGTCGTACCGTTGTTGTCCACACCATACTCTACTGGGAGAATTAAAGCCTGCGACAGCCCCACGAACATCGCTAATTATTACTCCCAGACCACTAGAAAATACTATGGTTGGTCCATCAATTGTGCTCTCTAGGAAGTCGCCAATGAAGTTAGCAACATCTCGGCGCCGATAGCCATTGATCCCATCGCTTTGATGTAGGTATAGGCTCCGGGACCTGCCATCTGTCGTGCCAGATGATTCGATACTTGTTACCTCTTTCACTTGAGTATCAGCGGGATGAAGCTCCTTTCCCCTCGACTCGATCTTCGTTGCAATGCCCTGAGTGACGAAGATATTGATGTCGAGATTCATGTCCTCAGGAGCTTGTTGAAGGGCGTTCAGCTCTGCTTCGACCCATTTTAGATCTCTTGTTTCCTTGATACTCCATATTAGACTATATTTAGCTCGCACAGGACGCAGAGACTGTGCATGCTGAAGTAATATTGGCAAAACGTAGGTGATACCAGTGCCCCCTGCAACACAGAGAACATTGCTGTGAGGCTCGATGTTGTCCATAGTGTGTGATCCATACGGACCAGTCAATATTACTGGTGTGGTTTTAATATCTGGACACACTGCTGGGCTCAATTTGCTTGCACAGAGCTGAGCAAAGTTTTTGGTCTCTCCATGTTTTGTGCGAATGATGTATGAGTGCTTCACGAGTCCAGTTTCAACTTGGGGTGCATTAAGAGGAGCGAACGGGTGCGATTGTCAAATACTGCTTTCAGGAAAGCATAAGTAATAATGCTGGCCGATTGCCCAAGGATCTTGATTATTTGCTAGATCAAGCCGGTACACATCTCCATATTCGGGGTCTGGAAATTAAGTGATGTCGGCAGTACAGGTTCGCAATCCTACATGCCCGGAGTTGAGAATGTGATAATGAAGGAGACCTGTCCTCATGAGGTGACAGGCGCGATCAATGAGCCAGAAAATAAGAGAGGGTAGCATAATGCATTTGAGCTTATCCCAATGGCCCCAACAGGCTCCAATGTATACCATAGCCAGACTGTAATGAAGCTTGCGGAAAGCTTCATATCCAGTAAGACGAATGCCCCACGTTTTACTCAATCCAACAAGTAATGCGAGAATCGTCATCGAGACGATTCCCCAGACGAGATATGTTTCGACGACCCAGTGCTGCGCCACGAGAGGCTGCGGTTGGTGGAGGCGAATCTCAACGACACAACAACCGACTGTATGTAAGGCACTTTGAACAAATATAATATAACCTAGCCAGCGGTGTAAAAAGCTGAAGCTCTGGTATGATACTCTCGTCAGAAAAGACAGCGCAGATTCCCGATTGGCAAGCATCGCCGATAACGCTGTAAGTGCGTAGGCTAGAACACCAATATGATCGGACCATGGACCAAGTGTAGTACGGGTATTATAAACGCCCGGGAGATTCTTGACGGGTGTCACCCAGGTCCGATATGTAAGGCCGACAAAGAACCAGATAATGAGGTAACCAATTAGACTTAGGAGAACGGTGACCTGTAAGCGAGTGGTACGCCCGAATATCGAGCGAATAGAGTCTCGGAGGAGAAAGTACCTGATAGCAGAACCGACAGTACGGCGAAGTCTTGCAGACGCTGGTTCTATAGTTGTGAGTGGTTTAGGTAGAATGTGCGAAGGCAAATTATATATGCGGTGCAATGTCCAACAAAGCAATATGCCTCCAATTGCTATCCACAAATGCTAGCATAGAGAATACTTAAATCGTGTGCCGAGTAGACCAGATCTAAGTATTCATATGAAACTTTATCGTTGGTGCAAGGTACTGCGCGATCTGCATACCACCAATGTTGCTCTGGCCAGTGATCTTGTGATGAGAGAGGCCTGGCGCTACTCCACTGCAGCAGCTACTACGAGCGATCATTCATGCTATTATCTTTGGAGCAGCCCATGTAATCATGCTCCTTGCCAAGTACTTCAATAGCTATATTAACATTTATATCATTCTGGGTTCCGGCATTGGCAAGTTCGTTTGCCACTGGCTTTCTATTAGAATTGACCTAGAATTGAAGGAAGATGAGAGATCATTACCCAAGACCGCATTGCAGACAACCATATGCTGCGATTAGCAAAAAATGCCCTCTGGCTATCACTGGACCTGCACAGGTAGTTTGTCGATAAGCAAAGTGCCAAGTTCATCAGCAGACTATATGTTTAATTGTTGGTTCATAGATAATAATAGATAGACCCGTTAAAAATTGACGTTACTTTGCCGGGCTTCCTGTACTTGGCTCTTTTTTCTTATCTTTTCTCTTTTCGCTTCCCTAATTCCTCTTACTCCCCCACTTAAACCTCCGTGCAAGGCCGCTCATTTATTTATGGGATAATGCAATAAGCTACCATCGTAGGACGAAATTTGTGATCTAGACACACGACCTATATTTCCATAAGTGTAAACTTATTTGTAACGAATTTTACGTAAGTTCATCTATTATGCACGATGCTCCATTGCTAAGCGTCTTTTTTCCTTTGGCCAGAAATCGCTATTTGAGTAAATATTTCATTATCCCTCAAGACGTCCCCTTAGTTGCTCCTCTACACCCAACGTCTAAATTTCTACATTCTATCAACTCCACGCGGCTATCACCAGTTCCATATAAAGATGTCAACTCCTTTATTAGTATTACCGCGTCCCGGTGTTCCGCCGCCTGACGAGAGGCGATTGATATCTGCACCATCTGAAAGCGCCTTCATTGCAACATTTGGCAGTTTAATGCCTCAAGCATCATTTCTGCAAACACCGAATGGAAGAGCCGCAATCTATGAGCTGCCACCCTCGTCCTCCTCGCCTGCAGATGCCACAAATGCGATATCCCGCGTCCTCTTTGTGCATGGCATCCAGACCTCTGCAATTGGCCTGCAACCACTAGCAAGCGCTCTCTCTGCACGTTTTCCATTTGCCAAATGCGTACTTGTTGACCTCTGGGGCCATGGGCTCACAGACACCCCACTAGTACCCCACGCTGCAGCTTTATTCCACAGTCTACTGGAATCTGTAATGGTACACCTCGGTTGGAAGAACGCTCATTTGGTTGGCTTCTCTTTTGGCGCATCAGCAACTGCAAGTTTTGCGGCAGCAAAGCCAGAGCGTGTGGCTTCCATGGCTCTTGTTGCACCTGCAGGTTTCATCCGGCAAGGAGAGTTTGAAGAATTACACAGAAGCTACTTGCGTGGCGGCGAAGGCATAGAAGAGCAGGCGAAGCAGTGGATTCTGCAACTCCTAGAGGGCGGAGACCTAGTTGTCCCGGCCGACTGGAAAGAGAGAGTTGATAAAGGTGAGGTGGTCGCTGAGGCAGTCAGAGACTGGCAAATGAAGAACCATGAGGGTCACGTAGCGAGTGTAGTAGCCATATTCAGAGATGGCGGGGTTTTAGACAATGACAACGAATTTCTGAAAGCAGCGAACACAGGTATCAAAACTTTCTGTATCCTTGGAGAGTTGGACGATATAGTTAGCGGAAAGGATTTGCTCAACGTTGGGATGAAGAATTATGTGGTCGTACCACAAGCTGGACATGCTGTTGTACGAGAAAAGGTTCCAGAGGTCGCCAAGTTAATTGAAGAGTTCTGGAAAACGCTTGAGTAAGCTATATAGCAATTCCATATCTTCTATTTAATAGACCACTGTTTACTGTTAGTGAGCGATTGGGGAAGTTGTTAAAAAAAGTCCCGTGTTGTGATACTGAAAACGGAGTCTTGGAAACCGCCACATGTTCTGTTTGCAACCCTCATAACTCGCGTTGTGAATTTAACCCCAAATGAGTACCCTGTTAGAGGTAAGTAGAAATTTATTCTCGCGGCAAGTTTTTGGAGACTCAATCTATTGTTTGCCTCTGCTTCCAAGATGACAGTGGTGCTTTGAAGTTGGGTTCAATGACAACGACGCATGAAAGAGGCCACCAAACTGCGAGAAAGCTATAAGTAAGAGAATGGTGTAGCGTCAGAAATGGTAAAATGGTAAGATATCCATTTGGGGTGCACAAAGAAGAGGAGATATGGTATTGCGGGATAAAGAATTACAATCCGCGGGAAATGCTTGCATTCTTCTGGCTCATTGGTAAGTCTTCACAGCTGAGAGTTCAGAGAACTTTTCTCTTCTGTTCATTTGGTAAGTTCATACGGGATGTTGTTGATCAATCGTTGCTCACAACTGTTCGCTTCTCTGATCCTTCCTTGTTCAACTCTGCCTTCATCGTTGTCAATGCCTTCTCCAACTCTGCACCCAAATCACAGTTCCAAATCTCTCTGATTGGGACGTCAATAACAGCCTTTAATTTCTCAAGATCGTCCCCTATATCAGGTCTCTGCAGATCCAAAAGCTCTCCCTGTCGACGTCCATGGATCTGGACAAATTTGGCCCGTGGCATACGCACACTCTCGTAAGCCTTGAATGCGGCGAGGAGATCAGATGACGAGCGACACTCGCCGAGGACGTGAGAGAGGATATACGCGTCTTCCAATGCTTGGCCGGCACCGGCCCCTTGATGAGGAGCACATGCGTGTGCGCTGTCGCCCAGGAGCAGGAGGCGGAGGCCTTGGGATGAATACGTTGGGAATTCGGGGGAAAGATCGAAGATTCCCCAGTGATCGGTGCTCTCCATGAGCTAAATCCCAAGTCAGTACATTGAACTTCACTTTAATCACTGCATTATTGATCAAGCCTACCGAAAATATCTTTTGGCATTCCTCCCCAAAGCCGCCAAAGTCGGCAGCTAAATCTTTTCGTTCCATTCGCTTAACCCATTCTCCCTCCCACACTCCACTCTTAGTAGTGCTGAATGCAACGACGTTCATTACATCGCCATTAGCGACGGGGAAAGTGAGCACATGCCCCCCTTTGCCAATAAACATGAAGCGGTTCTGGGCCTTCTCTTCTCCTATGGCAGCAATGGCTTTGTCCATTGGTATCAGCCCGCGATAGGCATGCTTCCCTGTGAACGTTGGCTGGGAGAGGGGATTGCCCTTTCCCAGCACAAACTCCCTGCATACGGACCGAATGCCATCGCATCCAATAACCGCGTCTGCTTCTGCGGTAGTGCCGTCGGCAAATTTGAGTATAGTTTTGCCTCTATTCTCATCCCGTGAAAGGTCCGTCAACCTCTTGCCAAACTCGGCCATGCTTCCAGGCACGAGTTTGATGAGTTCGTCCACGAAATGGGCACGGTGAGCCGTGCTGTGGCGCTCAGTCGCCGAGAGTTTGGGAGATATGATGTGGGTCCCAGTAGGTAGGCCATGAAGCTCGTGTGCAAGTATAAAATCAAAGTATGTATCTTTCTTTGACTCCCAGCCCACACTCGTTGAGATTCTAGCGTACGCCTCTCCAACAGTCGGGTGTATAAGGCTCATGGCCCGAATAGAATTGGCACCAAAGAAAACGCCGGCTGCCAGGTTTCAGTGACGGTCATTCATACACGTAAGAAGTACCGAAATCCAATCATCAAGTCTCTTTCACGGTACAGGGCTAGTACTCACCCCCAATCTCGGAGAACTTAGAGGCAGCCTCATAGATTTTGATTCTGATATGGCCATGTTGTTGCAAGCCAATAGCCAAAGACAGCCCGCCAATCCCACCACCGACGATTGCTATATCAATAGGCTCTCGATCTTGTACGGAACCCATTTTCTCTTGCAATAACGCTGAACAGTACAACCGTGACTAAATGAAAACAGATCTCCTTGATATGCTGCCAATGAGGTAAGCCGTAAAGTCGAGAGCCGGAGTTCTAGTAGACAGGTAGCGGCGTTTCCAAAGTGTGAGAAAACTAGCTGAGTGTAACCTTGGAACTAGGTCTCGTCTTATCTACGGCTAACAATCCTTCGGGGAAGCACACGCTTTGTCCCGGTCACAATGAATTGCACGATACTAGCGTGCAGTGGTTCGTGAGGCGGGGCACGAGCCCGGGTGTGATATCCATTCACGGAATGCTACGGAGGAGAAACCTCAGTTATATGTACCCCTGCATAACATGCCTAGAAGCCTCGCCTGAGAACCCCTACCACACAATGCGCTCTTGCCAGCAGTATTACTTTGCTCACCATGCACTGTGCTCAGTATTGGTGCCTAGATTGAGATTTTGATGCATTTGGTTGATCTTACGCTGAGCCGTTCGGCCGGTAACAGGTACATGATCCCTGTCACATCCTCTAAGTATGCTACATCAACCTTTTCCAGATTATTGAACCAAATCCAGGCTTCTAGACTTTTCATTGCTGATATATGGTCTGAGGTGTGGTAAAAAGGGGTACTTCCGGTCGGTGTATTCCATTAGTTCATCATTTAGAGGAATCGCAAAAGCTTCCAAATTTGAACTGGCCCCTCTTCCAACATGGTTTACACGTATCCGGCTACTCCCGTTCATTAAAACGTGACGTCTCAAGGCCTCTTTGGAGCACGAGCAACCATATACAATGACTTATCCACGCAACTGAAGAATTAAGGAGCAAAGAAAAAATTGAGACGTACTGGGGTGTGCTGACACAGCGGCATTTGAAAGATATCTCCGTATAATACTCCGCGGACGCTGGCATAATTCCCTGGTATTGTCACCGTAGCATCCGTATCAAAGAAGGGTTGAATCGGCAAACTGACCCCTGTATGCTCATCTAGCATGGCTGACCATGCACTAAATGGCACAGTTACCTATGGTCACTGGACTGGCCGTATTCAAGAGTGGTTGGCCGCTTATGCTGAGGAGTACCTACCTTCGTAGTGTTGTGAAGGGAGAGGACACTGTGGTACCCGTTTCAGGGCCTCTGTTGATTCGCACTCTAAGGTTGATATATTCTGAGTTCGCTATAGAGAAGTAAAAGTGATTATAAATTAGAAAAGCAATGACAAAATATCGCACCAATTCAGAAGGCGTCTAACATTTCCTACTGGCAAATAGCCCATTCGTACTGATCCCAACGGGTTGCAGCTCTAGTATGTGTAGATGAAATGGGGATGGGCATCTCCCAGATTATCACCCTCTTCTTCCAGGAGGTGGTTTCGCTTCCCCAATCGCTTCTGCCGATTCTCGTACCAGAGGCCAGCCACATAAACACAGATTAGTCCAATTGCCATGCACATGAGGGAAAAGGTAGTCCTGAATCCTGTCCAGTAGAAAGGGGCCGCTTTGGATTGGAAAGAGAACGACGCAACAAATCCGCCACCGTTGCCCAGACCAATTTCCATACCCATGGCAAAGGCTGTCTTGTAAGATCCCGAAACGTTGTTCAAAAGCAGGATCCAAGCTCCAGGTAAGGCCGCGAAGGAACCAGAAGCGATGAGATACAACGCTCCATATCGTGCATTTACCGAAACGTGCTCCTGGTTGAGAATAATGATATAGCCAATGATTGCAATAAAACAGCCTGCCAGGGCGACGCCGGCGCGGTGTTTTAATTTGTCTGAGATGTATGCACACGCCAGGGTGGTGGCTGACGCTGCAACGAAGATTGGAATCACCAGGGACTGGATTTTCTTCGGAGAGGATCCAGGCTTGAGAACTGAGACGATCGTTGGGGCAAACAGAGTGCATGAGTAAACGCTCGAGATGACGCCTACAATGATGAAAGCACTAAAGCTTTATGTTAGCACAATTATGTTATGCAGCCCACTCCGGAAGTACTGTACCTGAGATAAATCTTCCAATCTGTGAGGCATCGGATGACAGCCTTGCGGTCTAACACGTCCATACGGCCGATGATGCCGTCGAGACGAATGCGTTCTTCCAAGACGGCCTTCTCGCTCGGCTTGAGCCACTTCGCTGTAGCTGGCCAATTGTTCATAAAGGGCCAGCAGAATAACGTGAGGGCAATTGTGATCGAACCCTCAATGACGAAGATCCATCTCCATCCATGCCATCCATTTGATGAATGGATGCTGGCAACAGCATAGGCCAACAGTCCACCGACGGCGTTGGAGAGCGCATTGCCCACATGGAGCATGCTCACACGCCATTGCAGCTCGTATCTTGGGTAGTATGCTGCCAGCAAGAAGATGGAACCAGGGATCAGTCCCGCTTCTAAGATGCCAATGATAAGCCGTATAGCAACGAGACCGCCAAAGCTTTTGAGCAGGCCTTGAACAATTGTGAAGATCCCTACCCGATATGAGCACCTCGTCAATCGGATCGACTGTGTCACTTACCGAGAATTATGCATTCACCACAGAGCACGGTAGACGGTGTGAATCTTTTGACCAGCCAGTTGCTTGGAACCTGCCCTCGCTTGTGAGTAAGATATAAATTGATGTTAGTTAGTTGGGCGTGACTACCTCTGCCAGCATGAGGCCAATGAAAACGACAACTAGGGAAACACAAGTTAGACACAACAATGTCCGGTTTTTGTGGCGCAAGACTTACCGGTTGCAATGTTGAACTGGTTGGTCAAAGGATTCATCCCAAGGTCCTTCTCAAGACCCTGGATCCTCGCCGTGCCAATGTTGACGCGGTCGATCAAGGAGATAAACCACAATACAAAGAGTGGTGGCAGGAGATGCACGTCGAGTTTCCAGATAAGCTTACGATACTCGGCACTGGAGAGGGACTCTGCTGCATCCGCAGTCGTTGTGTCAGAGGGTGACATCGAGACTAAGCCCAAAGGCTTTTCTGCCGCGACCTCTGCGTCTAATTCCATGATTGCGTTCCGTGTGTGTTGCTGCTGCGTATGGTTGGGAACACTTCTGCCGTGTCTTGACAGGGTGTGTAGTTGTAGAAAATAAATCGAAGAAGAACAGAATGTGCGCTGCCTAAAGAAGACTTGACCTTTGATACCAACCCCCCTCGTACCAGTAGCTTCTCCTACAGCCGCCGTTGCAAGAAGCCCATTTCGGCCAGCCCCAGCCAGTGATCACACACTGTGCTGAGCCAGATTCATCCACATCCACGCGACCAAGCCGGCAAACTCATCGCGGATTACCTCACTTTCTCTCCACATCTTTGATTGTTGGTTCAGCTACAGAATGCCTAGAATGTCACGCTTGCGTCGCGGATGGGGATACTAGGCCGGGGCAAGGGGCAAGGGGCCCCTGTCGAATCACAAACGGATGGGATTCCCGGTGGACGCGGCCCGTGCGAGACCACGGCCGGGAGGAAATTGCCTGGCGCGTTGTGGGGGAATCCGCAGCGCTACAAAAGAAGTTTATGTTGCGAAGATTCAAGGTCTGGCCCTAGCTCGAAGCCGGCGGCATCACGGAGTGTCCTCACAGGCTCTCGGCCGTGACCCTGTCACCTGGACCCTGGAACAGGACCCCTCTTCACGAAATCTTGGGCTGCCACCTTGCTTCCGCGAGTGGGGCCTGACAAAATATCTACACACCATCTTATTTGTACCTCTCATCTACCGAGACCAACGGGGTGCGGAGGAGGCATTACTTTTTGGTATAGTAGTAACAGCTCGCCTACCGTACAGTAGTACTCGTACTAGCATCATTACGAAGCCTGTGTAACGCTATGTCACTGGAGAGGCATTTTCAGGATTTGCCTGTATTCCGAACTCGTACGAGTTGGCCAAATGCCGGATTACGTGGAAAAGAAGTCCCCACACACATGTTGGTAAACCACAGCGCGTGGCAGAAATGAGCTCAAATAAACTCCCGTAGGCACATGCCTGGCCAGACTCCTTTCTCTAGAATGTGATAATCAACAAGAAAGGCGGTAGCATAACATAACAAGTGTTCGAGATCAGGCCATTCGGCACAGGATTTCTTGATCGCAGGGGGAGCAAGACGAAAAGGGCGTGCTGCATACAGCAAGCATCCATGGCGGTTTGGTCCAGACACGCGTCTACACTAGCAAGGGACGGACTTCAGAATTCTACACTTGCAACCAACACACATACCGTAGAGTCGTATTGCATGGGAAATTTTCTCTCCTCTATGCCGTTATAAGTTAAGCTCAGGCTCTATTCATCTTTTCATCCCACTAATTCTTCAGCTCATGTAGCAATGGATTTCGGATTCGTTAGCTAAGGCGCTCTGGCTGAAGCAGCACCCCTCGTCTTGAAACCTTTTTCCTGTCCTGTGATTGCCACTGGACTCAAGTCTACCTCTTGTCGAAATAACACCAAGCCAGAGCCACAAAAGCGTTCAGGATTCTGAAGCACAAAATCCATCAGAAATCATAATTTTCACTGTGGCTGTTACTCAGTATGTGCGGAGTTTCGGCGTTCCGCTGCTGCAATACAACATTGATAGCATGAAACGGCATAAACATTAACTAATTAGACTGTAACATTCCTGTTGCTACGCATGGACTTGTCAACTGGTAGTGACAGTTTATTGAACAAAGCCCAGTTCCTGTCACATTCTACAAGTGGTTCTTGCTCGTGGGCACCGATCTTTTGGCTCTCGTAATCTTAACAATGATCTATCAACTGAGAAATGACTACACACGTAATTGTGTTTTATTTTTAAGGCCAACACAGCAGTTATACCACAGTGCATACTCAATCTTGGCATACTCAATATTGGCTCACCTTGTAAGGGTCTCCTCGGCTGAATCCAGCTTTCGTAATGCTACCTGAATGAGTTGCACATTGGTTGCAGCTTTTCAGCCACCATTGCCAATAAAGAAGTGTTCGAGACCTGTCAGATGTCGGTCAGTGACCATTCAAGCCACTGTAGGACAATTGGCTGAGATATCACCATGCGTTAGCCCCTTTTTCGCAGCCAGGGCGATGGACAGGAGGAACACCGCACTCCCACCCCCCCTGGGGTATGTTTCAGCCACCGGTCCGGATAACACCCGGCAGCGAGTTGTGCCTACAAAATCCCTTGTTGGCATTAATAGCAGCCTGCAAGTGCAGTTGCTGCACATCACAGCATGCTGCCTCGTATAACATGTTGTTGGACCAGAGTCGACACATCAGCAGCTGCAGCTGCAAGTAAAGTTAGATACAATTTATGAACAAGTTCAATCAGCGATATGCTTCTCATGCTATAATATTAGCAGCTGTATTATGGGAGATATTGTTTTGCAGACAGCAGCATAATGTAAGAGAACCTTTCTGCATTAAACCAGATGTCTACGACTTCACACGCGTTGGGGACTTAAACATCCTGTCCATTTTATGGCTTACCGTACGTTTTGAGTTAGATTACATCTGATCTCCGCCACTAACAAGGCTGTCGTTGTAGGAGTTGTTGTATCTTGGGACAATGCTAGGGCGCCCCTTGGGGCTGGGACATCCACGGATTCGGACGAAGCTTGGTCCACCTCATCTAGTGAAGCCAGGATCAAGGATGAGCTTAGCGGAAGAGCAATGTCTCGCTGTCCAACGCCGTCGATTCCTTATAGATAGTGGGCTCTGTCAGATTGATTGCTGCGAGTGCGATTCAATCGTCGAACCCTTGCCTAACAGCGAACCAGTATGATAGGCTGTAGCAATACCTGAGATCGGTATCGCTGGCCTCTCATCATATTATCATTCTTTTGTCTTTTCATTGTTCTCGCATCCAGCCAATATTATGACGGCAACACCAGTCACTGTGCCCAACGGCCCAGACACGAAAAATGGATACACTTTTATATACGTGAATATACCTCTACTCGTCCTTGCGACGGTTATTGTTGGATTCCGTGTATGGTGGCGGTGCATCAAAAATGGCGGCGGCGCGCTGAACAAGGCCGATGTTTGCGTTGTCATCTGCTTGGTAATATGCCGTTTGCACAGATGTCTTTTGTATGCGGCTAACTCATAAACAGATTTTTAACATCATTCAAACAGCTTGTATAACAGTTGGTGAGGACTGTTTCGTGCCGTATTAATCGTTTTCTGCTACTAACTGAACATTTCAGCCATTTTGAACTGGGGCTTTGGACATCACGCCCCCTATCTCAACGCAGAACAACGATACCACTCGTTGCTATACTTTTTCATATTCCAGTGCTTTGTCAAGAACACCGTCGCAATAACAAAGTTATCGTTTCTCTTCTTATATCTCGACATCTTTCCGCAGAAGAAGTTTCGAATTATCTGCTGGATACTTATTATTCAGATAGGCTGCGCCTTGATTGCCCTCAGTTTTACCACAATCTTTCAGTGCACTCCGGTTAAGTACTCTTGGGACAAGACTATACCCGGGCATTGGTCAGTCATCTTGGTCGTGTTAGTGGTAATGTACGGCTAATATTGGACCAGCATCAACATTAAAGCGTTTTGGTACGGCCAGTCAGGATGGAACACCCTCATGGACGTTGTCGTTCTCGTCTTGCCAATTCCTGTAATCTTAAAATTACAGATGAATCGTCGAGCAAAGCTCAGTGTCATCGCTGTCTTTGTCCTTGGAGCATTGTGAGTATTCCAGATAATTCTCGTCTCGCATTTCTAATACATCTCTCAGTGTATGCATCACTAGTATCGAACGGCTGATTAGTCTCAACTTCAATGCCACTTTTATCTTGGACTTTACCTGGGCAACTGGAACATCAGTCATCTGGACTCAAGTGGAAGCCACAGTAGGCGTGATTTGTGCCTGCGCTCCTTCGCTGAGAATGCCGCTGGCTCGATTCATCCCCTTCCTGTTTGGCTCTACAAAGCATGACCGTTCGTACGAGTTAAGTGATGGCGTTCACGGCGAAGGCGCTCGATCAAACAATTGGAACAGTCAATCCAACCGCTCCAAGAGGCGTGGTGAATTTGATGATGGTATGGACGACTTGGAGACAAACTATAAGAGCGAAGGGAGCGAAGAAAGGATAATGGGCATCAAGAAGACTGTTAGCATCGACATGACATTTCAGGAAAGGCCGCACGATGCAGATCCAGATAACAAGTACACAGTATGATGGTCACTAATGTCGATGCTGCGGTTCAGGGGAGTTGAATGCTATAAGTCTTTTTCTTTTTCCCTACATAATAGAGCAACTCACTGCCTACGTTGAACGAGTTAGAAGATGTAGAGTTGAAATTTTGTATTCCAGTCGAAGAGCTTTCTTTGCTTTTTTTTAAACACACACTTACACACGCACATGTATATTATCCAGCTGCCTCATATATACATATTTATGAACATGTACTATTCAGTCTCCAATTTCTCTATAAATTTAGGATATCCGGATATTTAACGGCAAATCACAACTCTTCTGCCCAGTCTACAGGCCTAGTGAACGGCCACCAGCTCCCCTTAACCGTACACAAGTGGCCATCTTCCTCTTCCTTCCAATGCTGGGAACCCACGCAAGTAGGGCAATAAAAGAGATCTGTAGGATCGTATTTCTTCTTCGCAGCCTCAAGGGTAGGTAAAATAGCCCCGAACTGGTTGGTTAGATAGTCAGGATCAAGCCAGTTGCCTTCGTTCAGATATGAACCAGTATCAGGGGCAAAAGCTACTTGGGCCTTGCCTTTGTGGTATGTGACATCTTTTTGAGCAGCCGCAATATCTACATATGGTGTCAGGCTATCCCAGTTGCGCGACACAATGTTTATTAACAGCGCTCGGCGGAACACGGGGTTGACACCTGAGAGTGGTAAATCTTTGGTCGCAGCACCACCGCCAGTCATGTCAATAACGGCCGATGTATTCTGTCCCGGTAGACCGGCAATTGCTTCGACCATTTGCCGTACCGCCGTTACATTGGCTAAATGCTTCTCCCCGAACAGGCGAGAAGACATGAGGATACCACCACCAACCTCCGCGTCATGATGCATCAGTCCGGTTAAGTATGCATAGTAGTCGGGGAAAGCCAGGTAATCAACTGAAACATCAATTCCCCGGGATTTGAATACTGCCAGCTTCTCCATGATTGGCTCCATTGTTCTCTGAACCTCTTCGAGTGTTTGGTTGAAAACACCCGCGGCCTGCTGAAGCATACGAGACGGTGGCCCCAGGGATGACTTTCCATCCCATGCCGCCCATCCCGCGTAGCCTTGCACGCCACCATCCAAAAGAGCGGGTATTTGTTGATACCAGGTAGTGATAGCATCAAGAAAGGCGTCCAAGTCATCGGTGCCCTCTTGTGGTATGATTTGCAAGATGAGCCCGACCATGGGGGTCTCCGGATATGTGCGGACTGTTGCACTCGTGACGATGCCGTATGTGCTGGGACCTCCGCCACGAAGAGCCTGGAACAAGTCTGGGTTGGAGCATGGGCTGGCTAACACCTTTGAGCCATCGGCCAGAACGACGTTGAATTCCAGGACCTGGTCAGATCCAAGGCCATATTCATGCATTGCTGCTCCATGTCCACCACCTTGGAGATATCCACCGATAATTCCAACTGTGGGACAGGTACCGCCCACGACGACAACACCATTGTCGTGAGCAGCTGGATAAACATCTCCCCAGGTGAAGCCTCCGCCAATGCGCGCGGCGCTACCGCCCCAGTAGAAAGCACCGCCTAATTGGACATCGGCGCATGATTCCGTGGGAACATACGTCTTGCTAAATTCCAATGCCTTGGTGGGATCATCTCGCAGATGGTGAGTCCATATCAGCAGGCCTCCTCTTCCGCTGGAACGACCGAGGAGGTCATGACCACTCTGCTTGACGGAAACACGAATGTTATACCTGGCAGCAAACTTCAACCCCGCGCTGATGGCGGCGGGTGTGGTGGCATTGATGCTATATACAGCAGTGTCCCCGAGAGAGCATGTCGAAGAATTTCGTCCCGGAACATGGCATGACCACTCATGTGGGAAATCATAGCCGCCTGGAAATTTTGCATGAAATGCTGAGTCGTAGAAGTTTGCCTGAATGAAGGCACAAGCCTCTGCATCTTGATGAGGCCCAGGGTAGCACGGTGCTGCGACTGGAACGGTTCTGATCAGATTTCCAGACACTGTATTGTTCAGTGACGCCCATGCCTGGTCGGACGGCCAGCAACGGTCACCGTATAGCTACGTAGATTTCATCATATTAGAAATGTCTCGTTTCCAACACGTGGATTGTGAAATACACGCTTCGAAGGGCCATGTTACCTACACATTTGCATGCTGCATCAACATTTTGGACTAACCCTGTTAGCACCGTGGCAAGAGCGGCAAAATATATAGCTTTCACCACCATATTAGTGTATTGCAGCTGCCTAGATACTACGTTGGATATTTGCGCGGATCATGAAGGCTTAAAGATCACCGCTTTGTAGTCTCTCCGCAACGGCAGATCTTACAATAATTTATACACCTGCCTCGCCTCAAAACTATAGCTGTCATTTGAGGCACTCGGATTTTACTTGCGATGGGAAAATTAACGCCCTGTTCAATGCAATATCACCAGTATCAAGGAAACTGCTTACTCGACTGATTTATTGTGAGCATAATACACGGTATGTTAGTTTGCGCACGCGCAAGGGCACTCTGCATGCTTACTGGTAAACTTGTCATCTCGCAGTCAACTTCACTCAAGAACCAGAAGCAACATACAAGATAGGCGTTGCGAGTCACTGTGCCATTTGATGTGCTACCCTGAAAACTCTTCTATGCTGCTGCAGTAATCCAGCCGATATAATATCTTTCATAAATTCTCTGTGCCTGATTATTCTCAACTTTATTTCAAAATGTAGGTGTCCCACCGCCACAATTATCGTGACTAGATGGTAAAAGAAACAGCTCTGCGATATTTTAGAAACAGCGGATAAGATCAGCGGCATCGGCGCTTATATCTAGGTTACAATATGGTTTCAATCATACCATGGGTCTTATTTGATTGATTTCACTGTCAGTTCCCTTTAGACGCAGAGATTCCACAGCGCGTGAAGTACCTGCACGACCGAGTTAAAGTTTAATGTCGTATGATGATATATCTATTCGCAAACCCTGAATAGATCACGACGAGGGATCAAATGCACGGAACAGACGACTTATACCTTGACGATCAAACTGGCAACTAGTATTACCAAAGTTATAAATGGAAGCACGTTCACTGCTGGGTGATAATGAATTACACTTCAATTTGGTTGGCATGGAATCACATGTCCTTGTGGGTTTGCAATTTCCCCGCAAGGCTTTTCAAGTTCTCCCTGTATGTTGTTCTCCGTTATTCCACTTTCACTTCCAGTTAGCTAAAAGAGACCTTGGAGCATTACATTATTAATAAACATGGTTCACCCGAGTCTCGTTGTCTATTACGTCTGGACTTTGTGTTTATTCCATAACCATTGCTGGCCACGCAATCTTGATAAATCGAAAATTGTGATGCTGTTATGCAGGCTTACTGTAGGCACAGTTATGCAAATCTGCCTACGGAGTAGATCCAGTACTATTCCCATTATGGCAACCTCAGTTAGGTCCACAGTAAGCTATGAGGGGTTTGAAGTCGTAAAAGTAAGCTACTGCGCTAAAAATGTCAGCATTTGTGGAGGAGCCGGTAACGCCGGAAGGGCAAACACGCCGAGGTATCAAATGAGATCCTTCATTATGAGTCGTTTTGGTAGCAAGGCCAATTCAAATGAATGTGAACATGTCTGCCACAAGAACAGCATTAGCAAAAAGGGTTCACGTAGTAGGAAACTTCATTTGTCTAGAACAACACACAACGACGACGGTTTCGGGCTTCCCCCCCAAATTTGAGCTAGTGTTCTCGGACGACCGCCCTTTGCCATATTAGTTAGTGGATACGACCCAAGGTGCTCATGTTGTTGGTTCAGCGTCGCATTTTGCAAAAGTCCGCCAGGGCATATGGAATACAGGCCCCCAAACTGGGAAGTTGGACAGGCAGCCAGGAAAATTTATGTCACTGCAATGTTCTAGGCATAAAATACGAGTACTTCGTAGCATGACTATGATATGTCAAATTCGTATTGATTGGGGCTTTCGGATAACGCCCACGATGAATTCATTGCAAATAAACGCAGGAATTCAGACACAAGAGTGCAATTGAGGCGAAAGTGAAAAACAACACACTGTATGCTAGTGTAGATTTGTACTAAAAGAGCGTTTTTGATGGCCACTTCGTATGCTTCCAGACGCCAGTAGAAATATTTACCTTTTGTGGCGTTGAGATTGTTGATTATCTCCAATTATGTATCAGCCCGTACTTTATGCATAAAGGTAGACAGGTAGATAACTGGTGTTCTTTGACCAAAAGGATACCAGTTGGCTATTAAGAGCGGAGTACGGAGTACTTGAGAACATCACTGTGTACGACAAAGAGAAATCTACGCCGAAGAACATTTCTTGTTACATCTCTTTCCTTTAAATTTAATAATAGCTTTGTAGCCGTGTAACCGGCCTGGAAGGGGTTTGCCGTGTCTCATGGTAGCTTTATCAGTCCAACAGTTTGTAAAGTGATGCCACAATTCTCCTCTTGGAATTTTGACTTGGTCGCTGCCATGGTCGCTACTATAGAATGCTCTGTATCTGGCATATTTTGACTTTCTCAGCCGACGTTTGTGGTATTGATGCTGCGAGATTATTACTCAACAAAATCTGCCATGAAGCCTTTCAGTTCAGGATTTAGATAGGCTACCGGAAGACTTGCTGCAGTTGACTACACAATATATCTATATCACCCCCCGAATGTTAGTTCACAGAAGCAATAACCACCTCGCCTATCTCACTCTATGCTTCCCCATTTATGATGCTGAAAGTCTATTGAGCTTTGTATAAGTACTCGACTGTACGCGCACGTGGAGTATTAACTACTGTCCGTAATTCCATCTTCATCAGGGTATTGCGCTGTTGGATAACTCTTTTTAAAGGCTAATACTTCCTGCTTGATGACTATGTATCTATTCGAATCCCAAATCATGTAGTGAAAGTTGGTTTAGAAAGTTCATTTGCAAACATAATTGAGTGTGGAAATTTTGCAGCTCACGGTACTTAATCCCAATTTAATGTGATCAAACAAACACATCACACATGCGCTACTAAATATGCCTGAACAACAATACTGGCTGATACAGCATCATTTTCATCTACTTCATTTCTCGGCTTCTTTCAGTGAATTGGTAGCAATTACAGCCTTTTGCTTCTTGTTATGGTGTTCTACGTAGATTACCACTCTTGACAAACCGCGACGATAATATTGCCGTCTCCACGAGGTTGTTTTAGCTTGCCAATACCAAAGCTTCGTGTCTCATCAATACGTATTACTGAACAGCTGGAGGCTTTTGTGCGAGTTTCGTAACGACCAATATATTGAAAAGACAATTGTCCTTGCAGGACCCGTCAATTATCGCACAGTTGTTCCTCGCTCTCCGTTGGTAGTAAACCATCGGTATAACTCTTATTGATCTTCGTATCATTTTTGGCTGACGTTCCGTTCGAATTCATTTCGATTGCACCTTTATACGCTGCCTTTGAGTTGTTGACGGCAGCACTGTTGCTGCCAGTGAGATCAGTGGCTTTGCCAACTCCCAACTTATTTTGTCGCCAGCAGCTCCAGAAAGCTTTCAGAGCGGGCATATTGGCGGCAATGATTCCAATGGACATCTCAGCACTGCTAATGATGACCATTTTCCCTAAAGAGTATGTAAAATCGGGTGATTTTGAGAACTCAATGAGAATAATTGCACGTAGACCACCGATAAGGACAGCAGAGCCACCCGTTGTCAGTACAACAAGTACAGCGACTCGTCTTTTTAGGGACATTTGCAATGTCCAAATAGTCGGGAGCGGGAGAAATAGTATGCAAACATCGACAAACAAATTCTAGTAGTTCAATTTCCGTCAGCTATATCTCTTCAAAATGGTATGCCAATCATTCGCGTCGGACTTGACTGATATGATAGCTGCAGGCAGCTTTCAGATCTACATACGAGAGAATAAGGAACGAAATATGTTCTGTTGAACTTGCGTTAACATCGATCTCCTGGTATCAAGCAGTCGTGGTACAAACATGGTAGTACTCAGGCATTTGGCGTCTGGATATAATTCTGGGGCATAGAAAGCCTGCAAAGGACGGCACTGTAATGAATAAAGAAGCCAAATGGCTATCGTAGACAGCATATGGAATCCAATTATGGCCCAAAGAAATTGCAAAAATAGCTGCGTTTCAGATAGCCGAAAGAAGAACAGAAGAAAGCACATCTTGACAGCAAATTGCATGAAGACGTACCAATATTCTTCAAGCAGCAGGCCCTAGAAGTTATGACGGAGTTGATATAGCAGCTCATATTTTATCGCACAAAGAAGTATTTACCTTGAGAAGTATCGTCATCCACTCGGGATGATCTTGCATGACTTGTGTGATATGCCTGCGAGATAATATTCTTAGCGTCTCTCCCTACATCTCATTGAACCATAACAGTTTCTCCAAACTGAGAGGGAAGATAAGTCTATGCCACTTACATCCCGGCACCAAATTCGAGAAAAAAATACAGGAGAGCTTGTTGGAAAGAAAAGAAAATCTGAGGTTATGAAACCTTATGGTGTCAGTTGCCAACCTCAGATAGCTGTGAAGATTCGTACGAACCAATAAAGACGCCATGGCCCAGTCGTCCCAGCCAAAGGACTTCATGGAATAACCTCGAACCCATATTCGCATGGCGATGGTAATCATGGCGAGGATATAGAGCAGCGAGATGATAATATATGAAAGTGGGCGGAGGTCCTCCATCTTTGTCTTACAATAGTATACATTGGTATAGGGATTGGAATGCCTTGGCGCGAACTTTAAGGAAGAGAAGAGAAAGTGGCGATTTGTATCGAAGCTTCAACCGTTTACATTTCGCGAGCCCCTTAAACAATAACCATCATAACTAATATTACACACAAGGATAGCTGGATGCACATCTTGGAATTGATCTACAGCACACAGTACAATTTGGGCATTGGTTCGCTTATTTCCGCTTCCCCGTCCCATGCTAGTACAAACCTCCGTAGGAGTCATATATGCATGGTTTACTCAAGTAAGGATTAGTCGACCTGATATTTTGCGGAATCGTACCCATAATTGTTGACCTGTCAGATTATCATGGCGAGAATGTGGTTGCATTTACTCCATAATCTTCGTTGGCTGTTTATCATCATCAAAGCCAACAGCCACCACCCCAGATTGAACACTGAAGTTACCCCAAAGTTTATAAACGGGGTGTCGTCTTCACTACGCACCATTGTCAATTTGTCTGATACAGCTCTACCAGTAGCATACGAGTACGTAATCCGTATCTCATAATTAACTTACACGAATGCTACTCCCTACACGCAGTTGGCCTCCAAGACTCGACCCCTGTGCCTGCTCCACAGGGCACAAGAATTCCCTGGCTAAAGATTCTCCTGACACAGGTAGCCTTTTAGGCAAGTTTATGATTCAACCGTTCACAGCGCTTCTTGCAGCTAAGGACAAGTCATTTCTGCATTACACCCCAAAATCCTTCTCTACACATTTCGCACCTTCACAGTGTCTTATTTTCCCCCTTCTGTCGAGGTTCAAACCTATAATAACCAGCATTTAGGATGACTCGAGCATTTTACGATGCTTTTAGTATGGCATTACAAGCTTCATGGGAGCTATCAGCACTGGTTTCACTACTAGCCGGTGTCGCTTCCCACCATTTAATCTTTCGGCCCTTTGAGATTGATGGCTATGCATGGCAGATCCTTTTTATCTTTCTTGGTTCAGTGTTCATCTTTGTCATCGCTTGTATACAACTTGCTGGCTATGGAGTTATTCTGGCTCTGTGTCGTGTCTCGCTTATCGCAACTGCATACAGCTCTGGTGCCGCGATTAGCATCTTCATGTATAGAGCATTCTTTCATCCACTCAATCGCTTTCCAGGTCCATTCTTGGCTAAGATTTCCCGATTTTATGCCATGAATAATGCTGCTAAGAACATTAAAGCATTTGAAGATATTCGAAGCCTCCATAAGAAATATGGAGACATAGTTCGAGTTGGTGAGGCATCTGCTTATATCCATACCGATTGTCGAAAACTAATTTTCATACTTCAAAAAAGGCCCGCGCGAGCTCTCCATCAATCGCCCGTCTGCTATCAGTGTTATTTACGAACCCCCTACACGAACAACAAGATCGCCATGGTATGCACAGGTGTCAAACGATGTTACTAAAATTTCCCTAAACTCCACTCGAGTTCTCAAAGTGCATAAGCTTCGTAAGAAGGTCTGGGAAAGAGGTCTTAGTTTCCGAGGTATGAATGGAGTCTCCCTAGCTCTTCATAAGGGCAAATCATGTGGCATCGTGCTAACTGTGAAAAGCTCTGGCTGTTTATGCACCGCGAATACAAGCTAAAGTAGATCTTCTGCTATCAAAAATTGCTAATCATTGTGGCCGCTCAATTGACATGACGGAATACGCTATGTTTTTTGGCTTCGACGTGATGGGTGATATCGGTGCGTGAAGTTTAAGAATATTTTGATACGGTTATGTTTCAAAGTGCCTGAACTCACATCATGGTGCCAGGATTTTCCAAAGATTTCCATATGCTTGAGCTAGAAAGTGAGCATCTCGCCATCAAGGGCGTTCATGAGAGCATGCTGGCCATTGGTGTTCTAGGCACAGTACCGTGGCTACTGTCCATGATATCTAAGGTGCCTGGTGCAGCAGCAAGCTTTTCTCGATTTACTACATGGTGCCATCGGGAACTTCAAAAAAAGCGTGAGGTAAGATTTACCGCAGTCCTTGAACCTTCTCAAAATGTAAGGAGACTAACTAGACGAGCAAGGTTGTTGCCAGTGAAGCTGCTGCGTTGAAGGATCAAGATCCACGAGATATAATATCCTGGCTGTTGAAAGCCCTCAACGAAGGCGATCCTTCTGCCCCACCTGGTGAAATAGCAATTCAAGAAGACGCTCGCCTCTTGATTATAGCTGGAAGGTAGGCAAACATGTCTCTTTAGAACCGGATATCGCACTGACCAAATATTGCAGTGACACAACCAGCGCCGCTCTTTCAAATGCGTAAGTATGACTTCAGGCAACCTTTTCTCCAAATTCCCTCTTCTATATGCATTTTATGGTATGTGGAATATTGTATTAACAGGAGGGGCTTCTCAGGCTCTATTATCTCGCCAGCAACCCGAATAGCTATCAACGTCTTCAAGCGGCGATTAAAGAAGAATTCCCTGGAGGGATCAGTGATTGGACATATGATAAAAATATCCCGTATCTGGACTACGTCATTCAGGAGACATTAAGACTAAAGCCCTCCGTCCCAGGCGGCTTGCCTCGTGTCACGCCCCCACAAGGCCTTATGATTGACGACGACTTCATCCCCGGAGGTACAGTTATCGCCGTCCCAACATACACAGTACAACGTGACGCACGTTTTTGGTCAGACGCCGATACTTTCAAGCCCGAGAGATGGGAGAATCTGTCTACGGAAAAGTCCCCATGGATTCCGTTTACAAGAGGCCAATGGGCATGTCCCGGTAGAAATCTAGCTATGATGGAGCTTCGCATGGCTCTTAGCCACATTGCACTCCGTTATAGTATGTCCTTGGCTCATGCAGATGCTAGTAAAAGCTTTGACAATGGAGTCATGGATACGTTTACGTTGACACTTCCGCCGTTGCATCTTATCTTTACGCCTTTATAAATACGACGATTCCTGGCCCCGGTCTTGCAAACAATTCAGATGTTATTAACGAGATGAGAGATGGGTTGGATCATTTCACCTCATAAGGGAGTCTTCGAACCTATTTGCACAGGCTTTTGGGACAATTGTATTATGGCCTGGTTTATTACTGGTGTTTGTCTCATGATGCCGGATTGCTGTAGTTTGTCTATCTGGTGGTATTACTTTTGCATGATTCTGCGCTACTAGCCGTAGCAGTAGTATATTTCCATAAAGTGTCGGCTAATGTCGCTACCTAACAGTTATTTGGGCATCGCCGCATGTTGTCGGGTGCATTTAATAATACATCTGTAGGCTTCGAAACGGACCCTGTACATGAGGTACATGCACCAATACTTCCGAAGTTGTTAGTCCCTGTTTCCAGTAGTGAGTGCATCAATAATTATTTCCTCCTTCTTCCAAAGCATCGGGTGTGCCTTAATTCATTGAGAAAAAATATGTCATGACGGGATGTCAGCGTTCTTTCTACTTTAAACTAACATTTCCAAGTCGCCCGGCCATGATAATACCTCGAACCCGACCACAGGTACCTCCTTTAGTATGACTGGAAACTTGGACGCTGTGTAATAGATAATCACTCTTCCTCATGTTGCATCGGCATTCTTAACACGCTGGGTCACCGTCTTATCTTATAGGGGCAGTCGGGAGGGGGGCCAGGGCGGGCTGGTCGTTCATGTTCCTCCAACTCCATCTACATGAGCCTACGACCTGACAGTCGCATTATTATTGTCATATTAGATCAATATTATACATATATCTGCATCATTAGTGCCGATTTTGTCATTATTGAAGTTTTTATAGTATTCTAGGAGTATACACAAAGACATACGGCAAATTAATATTACTGCACGATTAATTGAGTGACGCAAATTTAGTTACGTACATTACTACGTAGAAAACGAAAGCTTTGCTGAGTACCTAGTACGGTACATGTACTCAATATTAAGTATTGGTATCTCAAGCTTATCTGGTTAAAATAAACATTTTCAGGTTGCTTTCAACTGCATACCTAAGGTACTAATGCATGCTAAAAGCGCCATGTATGTAATGATGTACTCGACGCTTACAATGCTTATGCCAGTTAAAAGTTTATCGTTTGCTCCCTTTATTAACTGACATAGGCCCTGTTTCAGAAAATTCCTTGCTCGTCGCATCAAACTTTTGATCGCATTTCTGAACTGTACTTGAGAACTGCAAGCACAAATAAGCTAATCATGTCCCAATACGATCTCATCGGAGCATCGTATAACGTTGTTGAAAACCTTCCTTATAGAGCTGTTGAAAAGTACAATGTATACATGGCCATCAAACCATTGCTTAAGCCAGGTACATCTGTTATTGAATTTGCATGCGGTACAGGATTTTATTCATCACACATTCTTACTTGGGGTGCTGAATATGTGACTGGCATGGATATCTCGCCCGCGATGCTGGAAAGTGCGACAAATCGATTACCATCACAAGTTGCTTCCGGAAATGCGCGATTTGTAGTCGGAGATGATACAATGTCGACATCATTCGCCCCCGATGATAGTTACGGGCATTTTGATTTGGCTTTTGGCGCCTGGTTTCTCAACTATGCTCCGAGCAAAGAGAAATTAATAGCTATGTTTGAGAGTATCTCCCTCAATCTCAAATCAGGTGGTGTCTTTGTGGGAGTTGTTCCGCACCCAACAGATGACCTAGTAAAACGAGCAGAGGATTACAAAGATGCTGCCCTGAATCAATACTTCCCGCGCAACGAATATTTAGATGAGTTGGACTCAGGTGATGGTTGGAGATTACGGGTTTTCTTAAGTAACGATGGGGTGGACTTTATGACTTGGCACATGAAAAAGAGTGTGTATGAAGAAGCTGCAAGGCTCGGTGGCATGAAAGGCAAACTGGAGTGGAGAAGAGAGACACTAGGTAGAGAGGACAAGAGAGAGCAGTTTGGTTTGACAGCTGATGAATGGCAAGTGAGAGTGGCAAACCCTCATTGCGGGATATTGTTAGTTTGGAAAGACTGAATGTCAATTACGAAAGGTAAAACTAAGGAATCTCGAGAGATTCAACTGCTGGGACGGAACACGTCAACACTCGAAACCCGTAGTGTTGAATACATTGCGAAATGAAAGGAGGTTAGGCATAGGATTGGCTTAAGAAAAATACTACGCACGTGCACACTCACTATATGTTTGATTTCATCAGCATTTTATAGCAGGAGCTGAATAGATACGGCCTTTTGTATTTTATTTACTCCAAAAACATATTGATGCGGACCAGAGAGGACATAATTGCTACAGCCGGGTTATATCGCAACATTCATGATGAAAGCATTATTCTAATATCATGGGAAGTAGCATTGTTTTAACGATCAATTTGAAGTTACAAAAGCTTCTACTGCATAAACTAGATGCAGTGGAATTATCATGACAATAGTGAACAGTTGCAAGGATAATATCAGGCGCCCTACCCTCTGTAGAGAGATGTAAACTACCTTTCCAAGGATAGCCATGGCCTAAGCATAGCCCCACTGTATACTGGGTTTGGAGTTTGGAGCAGTCGGATGGTGCGAAAAGTAAGATGTGCAGATTTGTTTCATCCATATATATTTTTCGGTGAAATGATATTCTCAACTTGCTACTATATGTATCATGACATGAAAGTGGCATACTGCGATGGTACTGAACGTTTTAATTGTACGAATACTTTCGTTGCAAATGACTTAAAATGCATCTACGTCGTCTTATTGAGCAGTTAATTTCCGAGCCACAATAGGTACCAATACCCCTGAAGAAACGCTTATGAAAGCGTCCCACATTCTTACAGTTAAACGCGCGGTATGTTGTAAGTCCAGCTATTTTCTTCGGGGAACAATGTGGGCTTGTCAATGCCCAGAGGGACAATCGGAGAGGATGTGGATTGTTGACCCATTCAGTGACAGGATGATTGCTAATGCGACTGGGGCGGTGAGCTTTGTTTCAAAACGTAAAGGGAATAAGGGTAATCGCAAAGAGTTTATGGCTCAATATAAAATGTTCGATGTAGAACCATACTTATGGGCGTTGTTTATCTTAACACCACTTAAACCGCCTCATACAATCTTTCAATTCATCATGTCTCGACTTTTAACCATAGCCCTCCTCCTTGGGCAGTCTCTTGCTTATGACACTGTTCTAGGCTTTAATTCACACCCATTGGTTGAGACGCGGTCACTTGATGAAATATACCATGCTGCTCTCAAGGAGGGTGGAATTGTTACCGTGTGGCATGGAGGTGACGAAAAGGACCAACAAGAGACTCTAAAAAGTACTTTCGAAGACCGCTTTCCTGGGATGACCCTAAATATTACGGTGGACCTCTCGAAATATCTCGACGGCAAAATCGATCAACAATTATATAATAATGACGTTTCTGTTGATAGCATAATTCTTCAGACACTTCAAGACTTCCCGCGTTGGCAACAAGAAGGCGCCTTGCTCAACTACGCCCCCGTCGGATTTGACAAGGTATATCCCGCATTCAAGGATTCTATATCAGCTTCGTGGTACGGGTATAGCATCTTTTTCTGGAGCATCTCATGGAACACTGAGAAGCTACCAAATGTCAAGAATATATCTTCCTATAGCAATTTCTTGGAGCCGGAGTTCAAGAACAAACTTGTCCTAACATATCCCAATGACGATGATGCTGTTCTCTTTGCGTTTTATCAGATGTGAGTTGACTGTTTCGAAACAACAAGTATATTTGGTTAATAAATGATGATTAGTATGCAACAACTTGGAACCAAGTGGTTTGATGGCCTTTTGAAGCAAAATCCTCGATGGGTTCGTGGGACTGCTACCCCTCTTACCATTGTGAGCGCGGCCAACTACTCTCAGTCGGCTACATTTACGAGCTTTGGCGGGTTTAACCCGGGCAAAAATATTAAGATTGCCTTCCCGAATGATGCAAATTTCGTCAGTTGGCCTCAAACTGCTGCGATACTGAAGAATGCGCCACATCCAGAGGGCGCAAAACTCTTCCATAACTATCTTCTTAGTGCTGAATATCAACAGACTGTTAGCTTGAGTGTTCGACAGGACATCAAGTCTTCCGGCTCACCATATTCTGACATAATGCATACACCTCATACAAACCCGACGGCATTTGCTCGGTTTATGGAGGATCGTGTTACTGTTGAGCGATTGAGATTCTTCTTCGAGAACCGCCTGGGGTCTGCGGAAGGGCTAAGCCCATTGATAGATGATATTTAGAAATGACGCGATCTGAATTGGATATCTTCTTATGTTTTTATAACTAGCTGTGTATGATAACACTTGGATCTCTAGATGTGGTGGTTAATGGGGTTTGGTAGAAAATAAAAGACCATACGTTGAAGTAGCATGAACCCATTTATATAAGTAGAGGATTCCATCTACAGAAATTAAGTGGGGAATCCCCGTGTCCATACCTCAGAGACATTTATACAATGCTCATCTTTCTTTGGCAGTATAACCAAGAAGTATCGAGCCTTGTGATGGCTCATTAAATCGTCAAATCTGTTGAAATATAACCAATTGGCCTAGTCTATTACTATTAAACTGCGGGCAAAGCCCCCTACTTATGCACTGTAGCCGGAATGACCCTGAACGTCCAGGTACTCATACATAGGTTGGTGCCCCTATTGTCAACGAGATTTATCAGTACCGGTCAGGCAACACTAGGATATAAAAACTTACTCTTAGCAACATGAATAACAGGTATAAATGTATTTAATCGATTTGATCGCTCATTTCCCACAAACAAGTGGGATAACTTCGAACCCCGAGGCAAATAACGTAATTTAATGTATTGTCAGGTCCTTGCCTATGTTTACAATAGACGGCTGTCAGTACAGTGCAACTTAAGTCCTTCCTGCAAGAAAAACTTGGAAACATGGAATCCTTTAGATCGGCGATATCAGAAAATCTTCTTCGGAGATCAACTTCACCGCCTGTCACCAAGTTTGTTGTCTGGCGGAGTTAGTTGTAACTCCATACAAGCCCGACAGTCCGAATAGGACTCTCAGCTATGGCTGTAAAATGTATATAAAGCTTTTGTTAGAGTCTTCCTTAATCACAGTTCCTTCATCAACCAAAGGACACTTGCGAATTAAGCTAGCAGCACCACATCAGTCATGTTTCTCCCAGCAACATTTGCGCTCTGTACCCTCTTCGGCTTGGGAATAGCTGTGCCAGAGCCTAGGTCTCTCGACCCCGTCCGTACGGTTTTTCAATTCCCCCCGGATACCTTTTTTGAAAACCTCGCTGTTCGATCTAATGGCGAAATTCTCACGAGCTTACTTAACGAGCCACAACTATTCGTGATTGATCCAGACCCAGAAACTGGAGCGCCCCAGGCGGTTTTGGTACACGAGTTCACCGATTCGCTCGGTTTTGCCGGTATCGCCGAATATGAGCCTGATATCTTTGCAGTCATATCTGGAAGGTTCAACATTCCCACTGGAGATGTCGGTCCTGGATCATGGAATGTTTGGAGTGTCGATATGAATGGTGTTTCAGTTCAGGGAAACGTGCTCTCTGGGTCGCCAAATGTTAGTCTTATTGCTAACGTCGCGTCCGCCAATTTTCTCAACGGTATAACATTATTGTCTCAGTCCGAGGGCACATTCCTATTGAGCGATATCAATGCTGGCGTTGTCTATCGCCTTGATACACAGGGCAGCTACGAGGTCGTCATCAACAGAACTCTGACCAATTCTGTACCTACGCCGCCTGTCCCTCTGACCGGAGTGGATGGGTTACATGTCCATCATGATGGAGATTTAAAGACACTCTATTTTGTCAATGCTGGCCAAGGGTTTTTGGCCAGCGTTGCGATCAATGATGATGGGACACCGGCCGGAGACATCGAAATAGTAGCCCGACCGCTAGAGCCAGTCGATACATATGACGATTTTACTTTTGATTGCGATGGAAACATTTTCCTTGTGACCGGAAGTGGAAATGGCGTGGAGCGCATCTCTATTAATGGATAGCAGTCCATGATAGCCGGCAATGTCAATTCCACAGCAATTGCAGAGCCTACATCTGCTGCATTTGGTCGTGGTTTAAATGATAAGAATGTTCTATATGTCTCCACAGCAGGGGGCATGGAAGTGCCTGTGGATGGTAACATTACCATTGGAGCCCAGCTTGTAGCTGTTACAACAAGCTCACAAGGATCTGCCGCTTGTGCGTTGTACCTCTAGCGACCATTACCGACCGATGTTGACAGCAAGCCCGTTTTTTTCGGCCACATACATTATGAAAGACTTATATTAGACTCTTAAAAGTTCATGATTCATTTTGGGACCGCCACATCGTATTTTCTATATCGCAGTAAAACCACTATTCGATAGTCACCCGAAGAAGCCTGCCGGGGAGAAATTATGGCCAGTGGGCAAATCATATAAGCTTAGGTCTTCAAAGTTCCATAGCATTAATTTAAATTCTATAGCATAGGTCACGTTTTATATTTTGCATTTCAACAGTGATATAATTGCGGCAATCATATTCCAACTGCTTCTAATATTGATCCTCAAGACGTGTCATGTCTGAGAAAAAGATGATCGAGAGTGCTCGCCTTACGGATGCTTTAGTGAACTAGAACGGTGTTCTTTGTTTGAAGATGGAATCTCTTATAGAAACTCCCTTCTTTCTAGCAGTCTAAAGCATTTTCGTGTACACCGACGCTCATAATAATACCGTATGCCGCATCGTTTTGGGCCATAAGTGGGTGGTAGGCAGATGTTGTCTCTGCAATAGCATTATAATCAAGCTATCTGTAATAGTTATTTCCTTCGCAATTAGTTGCCTTTGCTTAGGTAGTTATTAGAACGCGTCGGAATAATTGCCCAAACTGTGACTTAGTGGTGTGTCCGATTAGTAAAATCATTACAAACGTACCTACTAATATCAGGTTTTGTCCCTGGTTAGCCATTCAAGAGGGTTCCCCGCAACAAATGGGGATTCTTTGTTGCAAATGCCGCGGCACATGTCAGAACCAATATGCCAAAGCCCAAGAAGAGCGTAGGCCTAACTGCACGCAACATTCCGCCTCCCTCTTCCTCATCCATTCATACCTGGGGTGGTTCTAAAACATAACATCGTGACAATTTTACGGAACCCTATTGATGAATATATATACAGCCTAAGGTGCCAGCTCTCTCGCGATTATGAACCTCTCTCTTCACAAATGCAACTCTCGAAGTCTCTTATTGACGTCTTTCTTTTGACTACCTGACTACTCTGTACTGGGCTTCCGAGCAAGCAGATTCACCGGCAACCAATAGTACAGTGCCCCATGTTTAACACCCGCGTCTAGTTCCAGTAAAACCCTCTGGCACTCACTGGCTGTTGGAAGGGATGGATCTTTGGTCTTGCCTACTAACTGGAAAAGCTCAGCCCAACCAGCCAGATATGTGCTGATAGTAAGAGGTACCAAAGTAGAGTCGAAAGTACTAGTTGCGCTATCTACAACTGTTAATCCATGGTCCGCGACAAGTTTTGGAATATCTCCAATCCAGCTAAGAGATCACAAATGTGTAATTAGTACAGTTTCTCCCTAGAGGAAAGGTGATTCTGCTGGATATAGCGACTCACTCTAACAAGACATTAAAGGTCCGGAGAACCGACATGCCAAGTTTATGAAAGGCCTCTGCTTCGTCTCCTCGCATAATCGGTTTCCCCATGTCTGCGTCCTCCCACTGCAAGTATCCCCCAGGCTCTGCAACAGTAAGTACTGGAATTGGCATATATACAGGAGCATAATGGGTAGGAACTCACTCAGTAGCCTTATAGCGTGGCGGATAAGCGCACCTGGGTCGTTGCCTCTAATAATGGCGCACCAAAATCGCAAGTGGACGACATCATATGTCTCAACAAGATGTGCAGGAACATCGCCAAATGCATCAAGTGTAGCAAACGTCAGATTTGGTGGACAAAGGGATGCGGGGGGGAATTGATTTGCTGAACATCGTAGCCATGCAGCTGGACAGTTTCTGGCAGTTGAGATGCTATGTCTTGAAGCCAGATTCTTTAACCAGATCTAGTTATCAGCCAACATATCGTGGAATTGTGCATGAACAACAAAAAGCATACGACTCACCCTGTTCCCGTCCCTATCTCGGCAATTTTCATATCTGAAGAAATAGGTATTTTGGGGTTCAACGCATAACCATTGTGCATCTTAAACAAAAGGTGCTGGGCTTCTAATCTAGAGACTGCATTAGCGGCCAGTTTACGCATCCAGTAAAAATATCACGTACCTGATTGAGCCATGCAGGTCCCGCCCCAACACATAATCATCCGTTGCAGCAGGCATGATGTATATATTCTTTAAGTCCAAACCTCTGAGCCAGCGCAAGGAATAGCATGAGATCAAATCCGCGCGTCGAAGCAATTGGCAGCATAGTGTCTTTTATAATAGTATATAGGAAAGCAGATCAGATGAGTAGTAAATCCCGACCCACAGTAAGCTGATGACGATGTGTACGAGTAATGGGCCAATTGCGGGCGCCTTCGGTGTTATAGATGGGGGGTATATAACGACCTAGCAGATATAATTACGATAACAAAAACAACTCAGTTCAGTAGTACATCTTTATCTATTTACAAAGAGGGCTTGTTCAATTCAACTGCCGCGACTGCTTTCCCCTTGGAACGGGGCGAAGCTACTAGCAGAGTTAGTGGTCATTCTGAGGCCAGTAGCCTGTGTAATTCGTTCAATCTAAGAACAAGGGCTCCTTCGTATAATAGGACACCCAGTCTCAGCCTAGCTTGATTCCCAATCTTGACTACTGAATATCTATTACAAAGCAAGCCAATAAGGCTCAGGGATATCATTCTCCTTAGGCTCGCTTTAAGATCTTGTCAAACTTCTCATTATAATACCGGTTAAACATACCTACACGACTGTAAATTTTGCAAAATACCAATTCCGGATATATATACAGGCATTAGGTTCATATTAGTTGTAGGGTATTTTGTACCCGACCTCGTGCCAGTTCTTACCTATATCTTAGCGTCCAAGCCTGTATCATGCCTGGAAGTCGAGGACCTGAAGCTTCAGCAGTACTTATAAAACGGTATATTATAAGCTCCATAGCAATATGCCTTCGTCTATACACCCAATGTTTTACTCCAAAGAGCTTCTTCCCTGAAGATTATATATCATTAGTTGTGCTGGTATGTTACTTATGCCACGGAGCCTTGTCTGTGTCAAACAATGATACGAGGAAACGAGAGGCATAAAGGGTTAAAGCAAGATAAGTATACTACTCTCGTCATTTTCTCGAGACAAGTAACTCATGAATGTTTCCTCAAGATGGAGGCTTAAGAATAGTCGTCATTTAGGCCATACAAGGACAGGGCGTTTTCCCTAAAATATTGAAACTCGCATTCTTTAATGTTTGTTGCCCAATTCGCTCACATCAGAAGGTCCCATCACAATATTAAACCTCGGATCGTAAATGGATTTCGATGCCATCTCCAATAAAAATGTATCAACTTTCCCCCTCTCTGGAAGTGCTCTACGAGCTTCAGCCATTTCGGTGAAGGCCAGTCCATGAATTTGGAATGCTTCCGGTTGCCCCTCCCAGTACTATGAGCGAATGGTTATCAACATATTAACCTTTCATACGCTATTTAAGTGCGAAACGCACATAGGCTTGGGTGGGAAATGACAATGAATACGTACTGCTTCAGTAGCCATGCAGAGTACCAGGGCCATAGCTGCATCTGTTGGGTAACTTTGCATATTTATGACGAGTTTTATTTTTTGTAGGCATAGCAGAAGGTAATGTATCATCCGCTCGTGATACTTTTCAGCTTCTGCGGGACTGTTCGAAATAAGGCTGTATCTTCGGGCAGACACATACATGACGGCCGTAAAGAGGCTCCTGTCTTCCATGGCAACAGGAAGAAAAACTGACTTCATGCCTCTTTGGAAGGCTTGTTGGGCTTCTGCGGTGATGCATTCGGTCCAACCGTTCGGAATTACCCATTCCAAAACTATGGAGCAAGTTAGGGCGTGGCAAGGGGCTAGGGTCAATAACCTTGCGTACAGAAATTGAACAAGAAGAATTCATCCTTAGAGAGAGGCCAAGGGAAGCAAACACTGCAAGCGTCTTTACTGACATCGCTAACACGAGCCCACAGCTGTTGTTTGAGGCTGGTCCGGTTCGCGTGATACAGCGCCAGCTTCTCAGCAAGAGCTCGGCGGCGGCGAGCGTGAGACTCCTTGGATACATGCGATCTGATCTGGCTTAGTGCCTGTACATTATTCATGTCCTGTGGCAGAGTAGCAGTGATGAAGTGCAGTTCTGGTTGTTGCGCAACAACAATGCGACGGAGCTTGGCATTGTGTCTTCCCTGTTCCGGCAGTTGCTCAGGCCATCTTGCAGTAGGTTCTGTGGTCTTCATTCTTGGTGATGCCTCTGTTTTTGGACCCATTTTCATGCAGGAGAGAATATTTGCGGCAGCAGGTCTCTTGCGATGAATGTGGTCCATGAAGCATGGAGTTTTGTATTAGAGAAACGAAGCAGGGGAAGCTTTTCGGCCTTATGGAGCACGTGAATCGGAACTACCCATGCCATGCCCCATTTTCAGCCCTGGGCATAAGCAGCTCCAAATGCCTAATTTGGCATAGCCGCATCGTCGAAACATGTCCAAGGATCGCAAAACTTGTGGTTAAGATTAGACATGGCGAGTAAGCAGCTCCACTATCCCAACTTGGAAATCAGACAATGCAGTAGTACTGTATTGATGTCGAGAGCCTCATCCGTGATATGTATGTATGTACCTGCTATAAATCTGGCCTACTCCTCCGGATAATTGACAACATTTCTGCACATGGAATCCGTTGCGTATATGCCAACAGATACTTTGCAATTTCGAAGGGATACATTAACACTCCACCATGGCATCAAATAGCCAGTGCAAAACAGTGCTCATTACAGGGTATATATGTCAGTGATAAAGAACCTCGTGGCCACATTTTTAACACAATTTCTTTTCTAGATGTTCAAGTGGAATCGGTGAAGCATTAGCGAGAGAGTTCCAAGCCCAAGGTAAATTATCAACCCCAATATGCAAGCCGATGCTCGACCTGAATAAATAGCTTACACACTCTTCTCTATTCCTTTCGGCTTTATAGGTTACCATGTTATCGCCACGGCTCGCAAAATAGAAGCCATATCACATCTTCGGAAGGCAGGGATGACTACATTATCTCTTGATGTCACCAAACCAGAGAGTGTCACGGCAATTAAGACAGAAGTGGAAAAACTCAGTGATGGTAAGCTGGACGTTTTGGTCAATAATGCGTAAGTGGGATTAATTTTGTTTCATCCTATGGCTACCTACTTGGGCATGGACACTACTAACAAATACATAAAGGGGAATTCTTACCCGTGGAGCATTAGCCGATGTCTCACGCGAGCATATCTACGCTATATTTAACACGAATGTCTTTGGCCTCATGGCTATGGTATCGAGTCTCCTACCGCTTCTCATTGCGGCCAAAGGCACGATTGTCAATATTTCGTCGGCGTCATCTGTAACACCATTTCCTTTCAAAGGTCCCTATGCAATGACCAAGGCAGCACTGAACTCATATGGTCGTACTCTCGCAATAGAGCTTTCGCCTTTCGACGTGCGAGTCTTGACATGCCCAACCGGCTATATAGAGAGCAAACTAGAAGCCAACGGGACAGATCAAGTACCTGAAAACAGTTTGTACAAAGCTATGGCTGGGAAGATGGAGCTGGGGGTTCCGCAAAAACAGATGAAAGGTGTAGAATATGCAAAGCTGGTGGTAAACGAAGTGGAAAAAGGCCGAGGCTGGGGTTTGGGTCCTTGGAGATTTGGAGCAATGAGAGAATGGCTTTGGGTGGGAACAGGAGCATCCAAGGGCTATTGGGCAAGTATGATGGGAGAAAGTTTTCTACAACGGGGGTTTAAAGATATAATTGGCTGGAATGAGATTACTAGGGTTGTAAGAAAGGACAACAGCTTGGAGTGAAAGGGCATGGCCCAAAAGCTTATACAAACGTATAAATTTATATAGTTCAGTCTTACATGCTTTCCGTATCCTCCTAGCCCTTTGTCTTTCTAGATATCTTTAGCTTTTTGTTAATTACTGTCAGTTAGAGCACGTTCTGCTCCTCCCACTTATCCGGCATTCCACCCCGATCATCTCCAACATCTCTCACCAAGGAATCAAGAAAGGCCATGTCAACACTTTGGTAGACCCAGTCATCAGCCCCATTGGTAAATAAAAGATCTTCCTCTTGTTGTAGAAAACCCTCTGTTATACTGTTTTCTTGTGTAGTGTTACTGTAATCCCCGGCAGAAGGAGCCAATACTGAGAGCTTTCCTGCTCGAACATCTCTATCTGTTTGTCGGCTATTACCGCTGTTTCTATCGACCAGAGCGCTACTACAAGTCTTTAGAACTTCGACTGCATTATCGACAAAATCTGTTTCGGAATTTTGTATCCAGCCTTGATCAGCTGTATATGCGACGTGCTTTTGCGCTGTAAGCGTTTCCTTGCAGATGATGCCTCCATGAGTGATCTTGACGGTACCAAAATATGGTATGTAGACGCTCACAACGCTGCTTTTCTCTTCATTCTCTTCGTCCGCTGGATCTTCAGCAGTCGCTGGTATCCGCACAGTTACGCTGTCCACACTGCTTCTATGGCCTTCGGCTGCCTCGGCCTCAATAGACAGTAGTCGTCGGAGCAGCTCTGCACTCTGTGCTCCTAGTGCATCCCCGTTTTGTCGGCTGACTTCCTCTATACTTTCCTGTACTTGTTCTATCATCGCGCGGTCCCCGGGACGTTGGTGCGTTAGCAAGTTCTCTGATCTTGCTACCTGCTGCAACTGCGCGCGTGATGGAGACATGGAAGCTTGACGGTGCCCGTCAAGATGCGCTATTAACAGTGTCATGGCCGCCATCAGAGAGAGAAAATCCAGTGTCCGGCACCAGAAAGCAATACGGTCGGAGCTTCGGAATGTTATAAAGCGCGAGAGAACCTCTCGGGAGGCGTTGACGCAGGTAATCCGTGAGTATTGGTTTTCGCGTCCGTTGATTGAGGAGCGGAGCATATAGGGAAGATGAAGCTGGTTGAGAAGAGTGTAGTGAAATAGCTGATGGAATAGCCGCCGCATATCCCAGAAAAGCGTCTGAGGGTTGTCCAAGGTCGTTGCCAGGTTTGAGTGAAGCCACCACTTTTTAGGCAAGTCTTCAGCCGCTTTCTGTAACTCTTTGTCCAATTCTATCATTAATGCAAAATCGTGGGGGCTTGGGTCGGACTGGTTGCGCTGGAGTATACGAGATGCAATAACGCAGTGCATGCGGTCAAGACGCCCCATGGGGGTATCAGTTTCGAGCATATCCTTGGAAGCCATACTGTGATCGACAGTACTCTGAGGTAGACCCAGCATGAGACAAAGGTGTCGTTCCGCAAATACAATACGAAACCATATAAACTTTGGATGAACTTTCTTTTCTGGGTTGAGAAGCTTACACTGCGGCGGGCCACTAGAGGAGCGATGGAGCCCCATCAATTGCGCAATGGTTATGGCCCTCCGGATTGCAACCAAGCCTTTGCGTAGATTTCCGCCATTTGTATACCACAAACTCTCTAACATCACACACTCGAGTCCTTCAATGCTGCTGATAAGACTTTCGTTCATGGTTACGAGGCCGATGGCGGTGCTGAACAGGCGGTTCATCATCTGACGCGGAGGGTCTGATAATCCTTTGATGTTCTTATGAAGATCCGGATGGAGATGTTGCAAGAAAGTAGCAATTCTGAGCATGTACAACCCTATCAGAACAGGGTGGGCATTTGATCCCGGCCGCTCAAGTAGGCTATCTAACGACTGAGGGTCGCTCTGGTCAAGGTCATTGTACGGGACAGTCAGCATTTGATAAAAACGCGAAGACAAGTCACCCCGCGCTTTGGCGATTATCTCGATGTCCTGTGGCGTAGGTAACGATTCATATAGAACTTGGGATAATGCAAGGTGTTTCCCTAGTCCAATAGAACGATTTTTATCATATATTCGATGAGAAGGTCTGCCGCTGCCATTGCCGTCCAAGATTTCGTATTGAGGGGTCTCGTCGTGCTGACAAAGTAAGTGAGCAGGTCTTCTGAAACGCCTTCTGGGCGTTGAACACGTACATCCAAATGTTCATATGAACTATGCGATGGCGAAAGCAAAGGGCTATTAGTAGCAGGGCTAGTAATGTCATGACGAGACTTTCCATTGTCTTGTGCCGTCGCACATGTGCAGCAAGGGTCCGAGCTATTGGAGACTGTGTTGAGCAACTGCTCAACGAGTGCTTCAACTCTCACGACTCGGTCTCCCATCTGAAGGCTACGGTCTAAAGGCGTTGATATATGCTCGGGGAACTGCTGGTCAACACATTTAGCACCACGTCGCTTACAGCTGATGCAGGCGGTGTCTGCCGGCGACCCGAATATGCATTTCATCTTCCGTCGCCGGCACTCCCAGCAGCTCCTCGTCCCTTTTCGTACTTTTCTCCTCTTTGGCTGAGAACCGCCATCGCCTTCGCGCTCCTCGCCGCGTGACGCATGTGGCGACCCAGACGGCTTGATTGACGCTGCGTCCATGCGAGGAAGTTTATCCTGCACTGGCACCTAAAGCGTGGTTCTGATGGCAGGCCGCCAGGATATTGTTCGAAACGGAACTGAGACTCCTCTAAGCAGTGGACTCGAGAGCAGAGACGTTTCGAAGTACGGATACGCGTCGCATGAACCGCGCGACAGCTGAGGATGCAGCCTGATTACGTGCATGAGAAGCCGTCCGCCTTGTTTCGTTTCGACCGAAGGCTCGGTGGACGGACTGAGACACAGAGCGCTGCCTAATGACGTTAAACCACCCCACTTGTCCCTCTCACTGTACGAACTGGACTGAGCTGGCCGTTAAGCTTCGTCCGAGGCATCGGAGATTGTTCTATTCCAACATGCAACAGTTCTCAAACTATGCGGTTATAAAAACCAGTCAATTTCTCTTCAAATCTTACATACTAATATCAAATTCTTTCAACACAGTTTGCATCAATAATCTGATTCCTAAACTTCAAATAAGCCCACACCCAAGGCTCACAGTATGACACGCCATTTCAATGTTACGCCAACTAATATGCCGGGCAAGCCTGAGCCTTTTACCATGCATGTCCCTGAAGAGAAACTGTCCGAATTTCATGAGCTCCTGAAATTGTCAAAGATCGGACCTGCGACATGGTGGAATCAGCACAATGATCGCCGCTTTGGAGTGTCTCGGGAGTGGCTAAGCCAAGCGAAAGAAATATGGCTTGAGACGTTTGACTGGCGCCAACAAGAGGCGAGGATCAATAGGTTCCCCAACTTCAAGATGACTGTTGATGACCCGGAGTCTGGGGAAATTGAGGTGCATTTCTTGGCTCTATTTTCCTCGAAGACGGACGCTATACCGTTCATTTTCCTACATGGCTTCCCGGGTTCGGTTTTCGAGCTTTTACCCATGATGGAGCTCCTTCTCGACAAGTACACACCCGCAACTCTACCATACCACGTCATTGTACCATCACTGCCAAATTACGGACTATCTGGCAGTCCTAGTAAGGACGTCGAGATGAATTTGGAACAGGCTGCGCGAATCATGCACCAGTTGATGATTGACCTTGGGTTCAGCAAGGGATACGTTGCTCAGGGAGGCGATCTCGGCAGTATATTAGCAAGGATTATGTCGACGAGATACAAAGAGTGTACGGCTTTTCACGGTAAGCTTTTCTTTGGAGGTACAAGACAAGAGAAGGTATATCTAACTGACTATAGTCAATATGCTAACGCTGAATCCGGGAGAAACTGCGCCTTCGTCCGATGGTGTGTCTGTTGAGGAGCTGCGGGAAATGGAGCGAACTGAAACCTGGGCTCAAACTGGCTTGGCATTTGCACTTGAGCATGGCACTCGCCCTGCTACTGTTGGGTTGGCTATTGCTTCCAATCCGCTCTCTTTGCTAGCTTGGTGATTGATTCCATCAATCAACGTTTACGTTTAACTAACAGGAGACTAGGATTGGCGAGAAGTTCCTTGAATGGGTTGATCAACGAGAACCATTGCCTCTCGATACCATCTTAGTTATGGCAAGCTTCTATTGGTTCACGGATACGTTTCCTCGCAGCCTATACCACGCGCAGGTTCTACAAACACTGCTCAAAGGAAATCCCATCCCAATATCGAAAGAAAAACCGCTTGGATATTCTCAATTTTCGCGCGATCTTGCTTTGCTCCCCAAAGCCTGGGCCTATGAGCTTTACCCGAATTTAGTATTCTTTAAAGCACATGAGATGGTAAGATCTACACAAACATTTTTATTTCACAGCGATCGCTAATCAAGGTACCTAGGGAGGGCATTTTGCGAGGCTGGAGCAACCGATGTTATTCTTAGACGACATCGAGGAATTTTCCAAATGTATTCACAGGACTTTTACATTTTCATAAGTATTACGGATCTCTATAGTGAATTCTGCGTTGCTATAAAACGAGTCTTGAGTTGCAATAATTGGTCCATAAAGTAAACAGTTTTAGTTCAATACATCCAGATCATCTAAGTTACTATCAGGTTAAGAGATAAACCCTTTTGCTATGGCTTCTAGAACACCCTTGTACCAGATTTTGGCCATTTTATAATATCCTTGATCATTTGGATGGGTCCCATCGCTTATGTCAATTTCTTTTGGTCCCCATTGACTATGCATATCGGCAAAGACGATCCTTCTTCCTTCACTCTGCTTCGAGAGTGCTATGCCCCGGAATTGATCGTTGGCCCATTTTATGCGCGGCTCAACCTCAGTGTCCAGGCTGAGTATCAGATTAGATAGAATAATAGTTGAATTTGGAGATGCAGCCCAAATAACATCAAGCATATTGCCCATTCGTTTACCAATACGCTCAATATCGAAATCTTGGATGCAGTCATTGGAGCCTGCATTGATCGTAATAAGATTCGGCATGAGATGTTGAACAGAGTTCTTGGCTTTGCTCTCTATCTGATCAATTCTAAAGCCCCGCCAACCCTCATGATCATTGTTGCTCATGGAACCAGCGCTTCGCGATCCAACCATGGTAACATTATTTCCGTCTGCGATAAGCATATCCTGTAGATATTTTCTGTAGCCATTTTTATCGGAGGACTCAACTCCATATGTAATCGAGCCTCCAAGTGGCATCAGGCGCATTGTGTGAATTGACGCATTGCTGCTAGGTACTATTGGGAGTCAGATCATCGCCCTATTATGTTTGCTTAGGGAGTGAATGTCAGCAAAACATACGTTGACCAGAGCAATAAGCGCGAAATGGATCTCCAGGATATGCTATAGGCAATAGCATCCGACGGTGTGCGATCGATAATATGACATTGGCAGAGGCTCGAATGCAATGCCTATAGGGTCTCATGTTGGGGCTGTTGGGGAGAAGACAGCGGCGAAGTCAGCACTTTTAAAGCCCACTATACAAGCAAAAAAAGAGACAAGAACAATAGAATTCTCTTGGATAACTTCCTCAAATGTAATAGGCGTGACTTTTTCTCTCCCAGCGCGAATAACGACTACCACAATGGCATTGCTAGAAACAATGTTGCTCCGACACCCACCGGATTCGAAAGGCAAATGCAACCCCGCCGCGCCCTATTCATAACAACACTAATCGGCAATTCACCCCATATAATACTAAATACATTCCATTCTGGTTTATCAAGCCTATTTTAACATTGAAGCTGACAAAATGAGGGTTACGATTTCATGATTTTCACAAGGATCACTATCTAGCGGATTAATACATGTGTCAGTCCGTCTTTCAGTGCTCAAGTGCGTTAGATGAACCATCTCGAATGAACCACTGAATGGCGTAGCCTGCTGGGAATAGCGCCGATAGAGGCACCAAAAATTGGCGCCAGCTCATGGCTTGAGGCGTCAATCTTATTGGATGCTCACTGCTCAACGAGCTGTTACCAGGCCATTTGACTCACTTCAATAGTTCAGCAATACAAAGATACAATAATGTTGGGTCAGTTGCTCCTATGCCTTGAAACGAACTGAATGCAACTGGCGTATGTCGAGACAGTCTGCCGGCCTCGATAATTACTTTGCTAATGGTTGATCGGAAAGAAGAATCGCTTGAATGCTGCCGCGCTAGGCGTCAGAACCTTTGTTGTAGACATTGTGCACAAAATGCTCAACGAAATTACTGTTGGAGCCGTGTATCTCCACCCCGTGAACTTACGCTGTGATAGCATTCCTTGCCGCTAAGTAGAGTCATCCACTATTCCCAAAATTTAATTATCAGTGGGAAAACGAGGCGTGGGCTGTTTACCGGCCATTGGAATGTTGTTAGCTGAGATGCATATCGGAGCTTTTTTTTTATGTGAAAGTAAAAGCCGGCAGCGCGACCTAACGTCTGCAATTGCGGACATATTTATGAGCTTTGCTGGGGAATATTGTGGAAAATATAGCATTTCGCGCGCAATGTGTATTTGCTTAGATAGATCCCAGGTGTGATAAAGTAGCCAGAATAAAAATAGCCTCAGTATTGGTCAATGAGCTACGGCCTGTATCGTAAGATATTAGACTCAAATCTTACTATATAACTCATGTAGACCCTAAAAATCTACCTCTAGTCCTCTTTTATCAGATCTGCCGCTTTTTCTGCAACCGCGTATACGGTCGTCATGATATTGCCGACTGGTATGAGCGGGAATACGCTTGCGTCAACAATTCTCAAGTTCCTCGTGCCATAAACCAAGAGGCGACTGTCAACTACTCCACCCTCTTCGCGTGGCATCATGGGGCATGTTCCACATAGATGCATGTTGGAAATAACACGCTCCTCAACGATATGCCTAGCATTCTCAAGTGTACTTGGTATCGTTTCTGGAAGACGCCTGCCGTTTGGTTGAGCAAGAATAGTTGAACTTAAAGGTTCAGTGGCCATAAGTTTCTCCGCAAACATTACACTTCGGCTCAGGATTTCCAAATCGACCGGGTGCTTAAAATATCCCGGATCAATTGTAGGAGAGATGTCCATGTTTTGCGAAGTAATATGGCAGGTGCCGCGTGAGAACGGGTGTCCGAGTGCATTAAGTATCGTGAAATAGTTTTCTGGCTTGGCTGGTGCAGTATAGTTCGAAAAGCTGGTAAGATCTTCAATGTCTGTGTTAATTTGGCATGGAAAAGTGACATATGATAAGGCGGGAGCGCCAGCTTCCATCAACAACTCTTTCAGTATCACGTTCCTCTCTGATGAATCGGTCACGAATTCATCGAGCAAGATCTTCTTTGATTCTGCGGATAATGGACCATTCTTGTCGACGATTGGTAGATAGGAAGTACTAGAAGCGTTGGTGCCTAGTGGACCATCTCCGTTGATACGGTACTGGGCGATAGCAGCACCGACAAGCTCCTGATCCCGGAACATATCGATCGATGGTATACCATCCTTCACTTCGTAGCTTTGACACACTTGAGCATGGTCTTGTAAATTTTCTCCAACTCCGGGAATATCGAGAATAACATCAATTCCCAAAGCATCGAGCAGCTTGCTTCCACCAACACCTGAAACTTCTAGAATTTGAGGTGATTGAAATGCGCCGGCAGCAAGAATAACCTCTCGCTGAGCTTTCACAGTGCTGATGGTTCCGTTCATTTCGCGTACTTGAATTCCCGTCGCAACAACGTCTGGCTCTTGGCCTTGCCACATGATTTTTTGCACAATGGTCTCCGTTAGAACTGTCAAGTTTAATCTTTGTCTGATCTGGGAATTATAATATGCTGAGGCTGCGTAACTGCGTGTTTTAGTGGTTGGATCGATGCTTGCGGCATTCTGGAATGCGCCGGTTACGCTCCCTGGTATCGGATCATTTGTCTCTTTCAAGCCCAGGGAAATGTGTGCATCCATCCATGCAGAGTTGGTAACACCGAATGCTTGACCGTAAGACATTTGGATAGGTCCATAGCCGGAAAGGCTGTCGTCTAGGCTCTTTATACGAGTGATTGCACGTATCTCGTCGGTTGGGGCATGTCTTGTACCAAACTTCTGGTAGTAGGGTGCGAGATCTTGGTATGACCACCCTGGGTTACCTAGTTTAAGCCATGCGTCGATTGATGCCGCTGTAGGATAGACAGTATGCATGAAGTTAATGGCTGAGCTGCCACCAAGACCCTTGCCTCGAGCTAAGCTGAGAGCCCGACTGTTTAGGCCAGGCTGTAAATATTGGGGAGATATCAGCATGCGGGTTCTCAAAGCCGCACATTGCGCGAGCAAAAGTTCCAATGATTGATCACTGAATTGAGGCAAACTTGAATTAGAAGGGCAATAATTACCTGAGGTGTCGAGGTGAATTTCCAATCGTAGCTGTCGTTGCCACATAGCAAAGAGAGGAATCCTGAAGTCGATACTGGGGGATCATCTCGATGATCTCTTCCGGCTTCAATAACCAAGGCAGTGGCATGAAGGTCTTCGCTCAGACGAGATGCAACAACTAAGCCAGCTGTACCACCTCCAACGATAATATAGTCGTATGCGTCAAGCAAGTTTGCAGATAACATCTTGTCTTGATTGATGACGCTGCCCCTCACAAGAGATCTCAAGTATTTAGCTCGGATAGGCCGAAAGTGCGGCGGATTGAGGTAGTCAGTTTACTCTTATATAGCGTAGCATATTGCCTTGGTCTCTTTCAATTCTGCGACTAACACAAGAATACTTAACCAAAGCCCAATATTGGGCGTATTTTGTGGATATGGGTCAGCAGTAGCAATACAATCAGACATATTAACTCAGTGTCAACACTATATTGCACCAGTGGCGTTATTACGCACGACACTCAGACCAATGAAAGCCACCAACATCATCTATTAGAGTAGGTACCCTTACGTTTTTACCACGAATAAAGTCCGTTGAGATCTTTTGTTGCTTAACCGTCGTTAGCTAGGTTCTCGGTGATGCTGAAGTAGCGGCGCTCTAGACCTTCGGTTTTAGGTATCACTAAATGCAGCAACTGACGTTTCACTAGGGTAGTAGCACATCTGCTGATTATAACAAATGAAGGACCATTTTATTAGTGCCTGATATATGATGTTATTCATAGTGGCGAGATATGTTCATCAAGTCTGGACTTAATACCGAATCAAACTCCGAATCTGAGCGAGATTTGAGGGCTGCTGATGTCAGCTGTGGTGAACGAACTAACTATGCCATGCCTGTGGGTAGCTCAGCGGATTGGACCACAGCTTCTGGAATAACACAAATTAAAAGGAAGCATGTTAGTAGAGTTAAACGATAACGATGCTATAAATTGCTGCGCCCAAATCACACGGCGATTCCACTTTACCATTACGTACTTATATGCACGTAAGCTGCGATTAGCCTACCCATGGCGATGTATGCCCAACTACCACGTTTGCTCCCTCAAGCCCAAACGTTTTGTGAAGTTTATGCTATGCTCGCTGAGGTAAATATACGTGAATAACAGATAGGCCTAAATTAGGCTCATGTGTTGCGTCTGCATAAAGAGCCAATATCGCTGTGATGGTGGGTAAGGGTAAATCTTACCACAAAAGTTTAGAGAGTTCATACCGAGTCCTATTATAGCTCTAGCGGGACATATGAAACCAAAGGAATGAGATATGGTGCCAGTTCTTGGATATTAGATACCATGTAGAGAAGACCTGAAATTGGAATACATTTTGAAAGCCTTCATAACCGATGCGCGAATATGTGTTCATGAGGTGATGGGATCTCACATTGTGTCAATCAGCGATCGCTGAGACCTAGATGGGTGGTATTACAAACTCAATGCTTCTGTTAGACAAAAGCAGGTATACTAGTGACCCTTCTTGATGTTAGGCGTAGGGAGGGTAAATCATAGATATCGCTCACTGGTGGTTGCACTGTCACTCAACTATCGTAAATATGATTGCCTTTCCTCCAGTTTGCAAGAATACAATTAGAATTACTGGAATCAAAGCGTCCTGAGTACCAATTTTGTAAAGAGATCTGCTATTATATTCACATATGCAATTGATCACAAATTTCATGGCATTACAGTTTCAACATTGTTAAAAACTCATGCATAAAATAGGGAAACATAAGGGGTAGCTTAGGATAAACAGGCTGTATGGATAAACCTGAGTGTTTAGGGAAGTGGATATGATGTCTTGGAAGATATAAAAGCTTGGTGAAAACTTGATTCGTATTCAGAAACCTACCACCACAGTTGAATTAACGAGGTTATACTAGTCTAAGTATAAGCTTTGAAACTACGCTGACCTAAAACATGTCCAGTCGCCCCGTAGGTAAAGTTGACCGTTTGCGTTTGCATTATTTATATACATTACGTTTTTGTAAATGCCACTATTCAAAAGATTAACCACCTGCCTAACCATTGAGTAAGCTTACACTTTTAACTACCTTTCTAATCAAGCATATGCAAACCATGCATCTCAGAAGTTCGACATGTCACAGATCAAGGTTGTAATTTATACCCTGATTTACGAAAGACAATTCCTGATAGGCTATCAGTCACTTCGTATTTTGCTAGCGCCTGCCAAATGTAAAGTTATTTGGATGACAACTGTCTGTAGTCGTATGTATAAGCGGACCCTTTAGCCAGAACCAGCAGGTGTATTGTAAAAGTGAAAGTGTTCGTGGATCTGCTCGTATCATAGCTAACGTAAGATTGGATAATCCCTCCACCGCCAGTTAAAGAAGTTGACAAGACAAAGAATACCAATAAACTAACATATAAATAAGGTTGTCAAGACTCACCACGAAACTCACAACTCAGCAAGAAAAATCGCTACTATTGTATCGACCGTTCAATTTTCCGAAATACATTTGACCACATAATTTATATATCACAATGCGTCCTTCTGTTGTACTCGGAATTGCCATCTTTCAGGCTGCAAGCGTCTTCGCGGAGACAGTCCCACTTGGCTGTTTCGGTAATTGCAACAATCACATTATTGGTTGTTGTATTGGTGATGCATTTAATTGCCAAATCCTTGCCAATTGCTTTGCCAATTCTATTCCAAATCAGTGTGATAACCCCTCGGATGCTTGTTCACACGTAAGTGCTGCTGAATATATAGAGTTACGATATGACTAACGGTCTGAAGTACTGCAATTCTGGTGCCGCTGCGTGCCTTGCTGCCAATTAAAAAGTAGGACAGGGGCAAGATTGAGTATAAGAATGGTTATTTTACATGTGTTACTACTCTTATATGCTCTCTAATTATCCTCTAATCTACCTTTGGAAACTTGTTGGGGGAGATTTGACTTATAGTATGTTTTATACACTCCCACATTCTCAAATGCAATAGACTTATATGAACCTTATGAAACCATGGAGCTGCTTTGAAACTATTCACCAGTGATTTATGATGATACAAAGTTCTAAGACTGCTGAGTAAAAATTCTGGGGCTATAATGTGAACGTTTGTGATACATACGAGTGTGAGAAGTGAGTAAGATGTGATATGGAAAACACCTAATAGCTCGATTCATCTTATAGTAGCTAGGTTATTAGTAAGGCCCTCCTAGTTCAAGGATTTCCAGACACTAGGCCAAAATACAAGACCTATGCCCCTCCCCCATCTGAAATATGCATTCTCCACAGCTGATACAGGTCTTCATATTGATACAATCGCATCATCTTTGCAAATATGACATATAGCAAATGCTAGAGCTGGAATTAGCAGCTCGTACTTCACATTGCTTAGTGACAATTTATGTTATTAGTCTACCTAGTAAGCATTAATAATAAACCAACCAACTAATCAAACTATACAATCTTTGCCCTTTTCTTTCTTTCATTAGATTTCAATTTTTTTCTCTCTCTCCTAAGGAGTTGCTGTCATTAGGTTGTCTTACATGATTCTCTAGTAACATGAATCTCTCACTTACCTTTACGTTCAAAAACAGTATATTCCTCCCATCAAGAATATGTTTCATTTAGACAAACACTATTCATACATATATTTGAAGAGAGTGTTATCCATTTCACGCAACGTTCAACATTTGAACTCTGACACCTCGATTGTTATCGAGACAGGTGAATAACATGCGAAATATAGACTGGGTGACATCATTAAACACTTGCCTATTTCACACGTTCGCGATGTCATATCGTTCAACATAAGTAAAAGCTATATTCGCGGTATCATCCTAATAATAACAATATAAAGAACTTCTTTTTTATAATTACAGATATTGATCAGTAATAGCCGCATCACATACCTTACCCGCAAGCATCAGCCAATCCTAGCTAGAAAATCGGCCAAGTGAGACTCAAACATAGAGGCACAAGAGCAGAACAAAGCTAGAAAAGATAGTGAAGACGATTGTTACAACGATTAAGGTGAGCGCCTGGCCCTCGGGTTGGAGAGACTCATACACACTCGTTGTCAAATCTTTAGCCATGGTTGAATTACCGCCAGTGGACTTGCAGTTTTTGTTTCTCTCTTTGCGTCTTTGAGACGCAAAATAAATCGTCAAAACTGATGAGAGAAGGGTTTATGAAGGTGACAGATGAGTACAAGTACATCTACATGAAGTTTTGTGAAGAAGCTTGCTCCCTAGGGAAACTAGGGCCATTTGACATCTGTTTCGAAGTCTTCTGCGTCTGGGCCAGGAACATAATTTGAAGGCGCGGGCCGTGATTGTCTACTCTGCAAGACGTAACAGTTGACAAATAATGTAAAGCTTGGTCATAGTAGTACTGCATCCTAGATAGATAACGGAATGCTTCTTCCCCTTCTCTCTCTTCCTTCTTTCTTTACAAATCTCGGTTATATAGCTTCAGTAGTTACTCAACATCAAATGGTTTTTGTTATAGCCGAGTACGCAAGTGCGTAAATTGGTTATAGCTGACACTAGTTTTTGGCTAGTAACCGCAGCACTTTGGTACAGGAAATCTATGCTAGCGAGCGGGTTGAAAATCAGGCGATTTAGATCGACTCCACTCAGTAGTTCGCCTTTGGCTCCCGGCAACAAGGCAGCGAAGCAACAAGGCTCGAAGATTAGAAGCTGCATTGACTGGAAGTCCGGCAAACTACACGGACATTCTAACAAACGACAAGTTTACTCAACTAGCTCCTCGCCTCCGCGAGTATCACGAAAAAGATTATCCAGGGAGATAGAGAATGAATGAGGTTTGGTCCCCACGCTCGGTACTAAAGGCCCTGAATTTGGCGCCGCTTGGCAAGCGAGAGGAAACTGAATGAAATGATCTGCATCAATGTTGATGCAAACTGTTTTTAACGCATGGAATCCCACTTCTACTAGTACATACTGCGTATCATTACCGCCAAGCGCATACCATTATTTATTTGCTTTGCTTCTCTAGAAATTTTTCGTACACCGCTTTTTGACCACCGGCTTGTCTTTGTGGAGTTCAATTATGTTGTTGGACGTGATACAGAGGAGTAGAATCCGCATCTGCAAGCGAGACGCTGGCTGCATTGATACCTATAGCTACACTGCCTACAAGGGCTAACAACCCTGCCAGAAACGATTTTGATAATAAATACTACTACTTGTTTGAGAAGAATGGAGCTATGGAGTACATTGTAGGTATCGATGGATTCTTAAGGGCAATCAATGGAGGCGTTGGTCATATAAGACACAAGAGCTCCAGCTGCTTTCTCACATCGGGGCACTTCGCATCTACTGTGTCTATGTTCCTTCTATGCTCATTCTATTCTTTATCTACTAACTCTATACTTCCTTAAAAAAAATGTTGAACGCACAGAAAAAACATAACGAAAAGATGTCTGATACAGCAAGCGAACAACTACCGGCTCTCCCCTCGGACATTACTCCCCAGTGGTTAGGAGAGAAGCTAGGGCACAGGGTCAAGTCAATCGAGAATACCTCTCATATTTGGGGTACGGCCAGCAAACTATTCTATGCCATTACATATGAAGATGAGAGCAGCGATGCGCAGCCAAACCACATCTGCATCAAAGGCGTCTTCGACCCTAAGATGATTGAAGCGCAGCCATGGACAGTTAGCCTCGCGCAACGAGAGGCCGAGTTCTTTGCTAAAGTTGCGCCAAACGTCAAAAACATGATTTTCCCAAAGAGCTGGTGGAGCGGTTTGAGTGACAAGCAGGGTATCGCCATCATGAACGATTTGACTACCGAGGGCTGCACTTTCCCCACCGAGACCGCCTCGTATCCAGTTGAGAAAGTTTTGAACGGTGTTGAGCAGTTGGCTGGTCTACATGCGCAGTACTGGGGCCAGAGCCAGGATGACCATCCATGTAATGAATCCCCTCTTGTTTTTTTCTCTCAATTGGATCCACTACGGTATCTAACTGCTAGATAGGGATTTGGAATAACTACGACCCGGCCATGAAATTCATGTGCACGTCATGGGATGAAGTCGTACGAGCTCCTGGCCGTCCCCAGCTACCTGAGTACCTGATGGATGGTAAGCGATGTAATGAGGCCCTAGACCGCTATTATGCGGAACGTAATCCGAGATTCCGTACACTCCTTCACGGCGATACCCACATCGGCAACGTCTACTTTACGTCTAGCGGACGCATCGGTTTCCTTGACTGGTCAGCCTTCCACTTTGGATCCTGCTTCCATGATGTTGTCTATCACATGACAGCCATGCTAAGTGTTGAAGACCGTCGCTCACATGAAATGGAGATCCTGGATCACTACCTCGATACGTTGCATCGCCTTGGCGGGCCCAAGTTTGACCGTCACAATGACCCTGAAGTCATGATCGAGTTTCGACGCTCCTTCATGACCAACGTCATCTGGCTCATCTGTCCTGATGGCTTGCAGAGCAAAGAGCGCGTGGCGGTCTTGTGTGAGCGCACCGTTGCCGCTTACGACGACCATAAGGTCATCGATGTCATTCTTGGCCAGCCCAAGCCGGCAACTTCAGAATGATATTTAAGAAATCGATTTCCTGTCAATACTGTATTTTAGAAGTACTGATGATGAATAAATCTCATAAAACTAGTTGTGGACTATACATCATTATTTCACCTTCTATATTTTATTGCTTGACTTATTAACCAATGTTTTACCACAGTTCAATACATCAATATATATCATTCACAGTCACATAGCTAGCAGATTGAGTATCGCCATAACAAAACTTCACTTTCTCTAAATATTAATACGATAGCGAACTTCAGTGAGAGGGAATGAACCAACTTAGTTCCGACTAGCATTTTGGTCTTCTTTCATTACGGATGGCCAGATTTATCAGGCTTTGTACCCAGAAACCTACCCAAGACAATCTCCAATTACTAGATGAGTCTAGTGAACAAGCCGTGAACTTCAAGATCTTGGAGAAGACACTCATCAAACTATAACAACGCTCCCACTATCATCACAAGTGTCCCTATCTCACCAACCTCGGCCCTCCATTCTTCCCACTCCAGCGAACTCAGCTTACTCAGTCTCACACACTCGTCAGCCAACTGTAACTTCGTCAATACTCCAGTTTGAGAGAGCCCGTGTATTTTCCGCTCCTTGTTGCAGAGTACAAACTCTGTTCGCCATTCCTCTGTGTTATCCGCATTCCACAAGCTTGCATTGTTTGCGAGAGGCACAAGAACAAAACCGCAAGTCGGATAGGAAGAAGCCTCCGTGGATATCTCAATTAAGATATTAAGGATCTGGAAGATAAGCACCGTCCTGCCCGGTTGATTAGTATGAGTCGAGCAGCGACAATTGTTGACAACCATACTCACCGTCTCCTTGATTCGTTGTAGACCCAATCCATCCAGGTTACACTGGGATCGTCGGGTAGCTTCATCTTGCGGATTCCACCAGCCAATGATGCTAGCGCGTTAAATACATGCTTCCGTGGTTGTCAGAGCAGAGCGCATATTATAATGCGGGAGGGGTTGGTTTGCGGCTAGCTTACATTCACTGTGGTCAGAAGGGCGGCTTCGAAGCCGTCATTGCCCAATGGCTGTTCTTGGAGTCGCAGCAAACAGTAGACGAGTAGAGATTGAAAAGCAGCCAGGAGCTCCCATTTGTCGAATGCCGCATGCTACCAACAGTTGATCACGGATCCAAATGACAAGAGCAAAATCAGCGCATACCTTGGAAAATATATTCTCTTGTTCGAGCTTAATCAACCTCCATACAAGATTTTTGTTTGAATCGGTTCGACTCTTGAATAGCTGCACTAGACCCATGCATGTAAGTAGAGACTAGTCATTAATACAATGTCAGTAAAAAGGGCTACCGTCCAGAGGAATGGCTGGGGAAGCTAAGAGTGGATTATGATAGTTCGATTTTCGGTCTGGAGCTGTCTGATGACAGATGACAAGTGTTTGCGTACATCCGGGCGAGGAGATGGATTAACTGACCTGTTGCGGCGGCCCTACTCCAGTCTCAGCCCAATTTGATTGCAAAGGGCTAATAAACGGAGGTAGCGCTGTTTTTTGGAGCATCATAAAAGGATACGACCGCAATATCCGCATTGCCAATGACACCAGGGGACCTTGATTCGGCCGAGTAAAGATCCGATGTTCAAACAGCGAAGGGCCAGATAAATTTCCCAGTGCCAGGGGAGATATACTGTTTTCCAACACAATGTGCTCTTCATTGAATGGATAAAGGAGAGAATGAGTACTCTGGTGATCAAGTGGAATCTCAAGCCCAAACATATCGAAGTCTCTGAGGATAGTATTCCAATTGTCTTCCGTTGACCATCCAAGGGAGGCTGCAGAGTTAAGAGAGGCTTGTGGAAATGTTATATCTTCCAAATTTATGGATTGACTAGATGCTCGGGAGAGGGCCACAGATGTTGTACTCTCATGAACTTCTGCCTTCTTTTTCTTTCTGCTGGAGTTAGATGCGCTAGGGGTTGAATCCACGCTGCCATCATGAGGCTCTCCTGTTCGCCGTGCCACCGCAGCAACATCACATTCCATGCTCCGCTCATGGCAGCGAACACAGGTTTCTGAAACAGAATCATTAGGCACGATGCAACGAGTCTTTGCCCGAACACATGCACCGCAAGATCGCTTGCGAGAAATGTTCGTGTCAGGAAGTTTGGAGCGACAGTAGTAGTAGTGCCGCTTGCGTGAGGATTCTAGCAGATAGACACCGATTTGTGTCAGAAATAAGGATACTGCCGCTGGATTCTCTTCTAGGGGCTTTCAGACATTGTCATACCTTTAGCAAATGATCTCTTGCATAGCGGACAATGGCGGCTTGCTTCGCAGGTGCTGGAAGGTATGTGCTTTTGCTCTTTATGCATTTTGATAGTTACAACCAGATGTTACAGTTCATAGTCTGGAGAAGAACTTTGTCGAGCTAATGTCTTCTGCGTGAATTCCGGGGCGTGAGTTACCCCATTGTCTTCTAAAGTCCATTTCACGGAGTTCCGTGCAATAATTGGCTTATTAATGATCCTACATTTGTCAGGCACGGCAAGATTAATGGTACAGTAGTGCTATTAGTCTCCTTAATTTCAGTGCTAGTGAGATCTACAGCCCTAGGTAGCACCATATTATATGTGGGCCATGGACATTTTCAGAGAATTGCGATACTATGCGGAGCTTGGCGACTGGACTCTACGCTCTCCTTGCCGAGTGATGTCAACCACTACATGTCAGATGGGCCATTAAATCATCTTTTTAAGCCGAATTACGGCTATTCGCATTGTTTCAAAGGTTGTCATCCTTTAAGCCGCCTGTCTAGAACCCATTCATCTAGGTTGATGTATATCTTTCCAATACCTACCTCGTGCTTTTCGCGGTAATTCTATTGAAGTTATAGCTCTTACTACGCAGACATCTTCCGTCTAACCATGGACCTAGATAAGAAAAGCGACTAGCTATTTGAAGGCCATCAAGCCGAAATTTTTGCAACGGCCAATGGTTTTTTGTTTTCCAGCTCTGAAGCCTTGAACGTATGACAAGCTTCCCTCCTACATCTACAGGTACCCTACCTTTTGGGTGCTTAACTATTAAAAACTCCTACCTGTTTAACTAGCTATTAAATAAAACGACTACGATTTTTTTATTTATGGTCTTATCTAGGGACCCTGGAGAGATAGAAATATTTGTAAACCCTTTAGATAATTAGAATAGAATAAAACCTATTGCCCCTGGATTAGCGATAGCCTTTTAACTACTAAAGGAGGTAACCCCCTTAGGCTTAAAAACGGAAGAGATTATAGTCTTTTTTTTTACCTTTAAAAAGAAAAAATACTTTAAAGAAGCTTTTAGTATAAATAAAATACCTTTACTTAGCTTTAATAAAGTAAGATTAAGTATAATAGTAATAGTAATTATAATATAAATAACTTTAAAAAGCTTTATTACTTTTATTTTTAATAATATAAAGGAAATTATTAACTTAAATAAAAAGGGGAAATCCTTTATTAAAAATAAAATTATAAACTAAATTAATAAAATTAATATATAATAGTAAATTAAATAAAATATAGTATTAAATATAACTATAGTTATTAACTTCTACTTAGTATAATATACCTCCTAGCTTTCCTTAGTAGTAGTAAAATAAGTTTACTTATACTTAAATATTGCTTTTAAAAACTTTATTACCTTTTATATTAACCTTAAGGAAAGGCTTAAAAACCTTAAGAAATTAAGTAGTAAAGAAAAAGTTACTTAACTAACTAAAATAATATTAGTTAATATATTTTATAATAAAAAGGATAAATTAAATATTACTAAGACCTTTATTATAGTAAAAGCTTTTATATTTATTAAAAAAGTAGGCTAAAAAAACCTTAGGGTTATATAAGTATAAATTATATTATAAAAGAATATTTATAATAAAAACCCTTAGAAGGGAATTAATAACCTAAAGTATTCTTTTATAAGTAGTAAAAGGCTAGCCCCTGCTATTAATAAAAAAAATATAAATAAAATTAATAAACTTAAGGAAAGTTTTAATAACTATATTTTTATTTAAGTCCCCTTAGATTATATATAAAGAAAGCTATTAGTTATTAAGGCTAAATAAGAATTAATTAAGATTTTAAAGTTTATAAACAAAAATATTACTTACTTCTAAAAGGTTTAATTAAGCTTTACCTTTAAAGGTAAAAATTAAAATATTAAAAATAAAATTATTATACTTTAGTTAATAGTAAAAAATAATAGTTTAAAAATTAAAAAAGTATATTTATAAAAGGTTTTTTTTATATATAGTATATTAAAGACGTATATTAATATAAGCAGAACCTACCTTATAGATATATTAATTTTAAAGGAGGTATATACTAAAGTAAGGGTTAAGAGCTTATTTATCTTTTACTATAAAGTTAATTTTAAAAAATCCTTTAATATATATAACTATTTTATTTTTTTTAATAAAAATATTAAACCTAGCTTTAAACTCTTTAGTAACTCCCTCCTAGCGGAAATCTAGGTTTAGCTCCTTTAGGTTACTTAGTACCTATAGTACTTTAGATTTTATAACCTACGGAATTATATTAAAACTAAAAGGTATTATAAATATAGTAAATTATTTTTTAAATATAATAATACTATAGTTAACTACTTATCCCTACCTTAGTATATTAATTATAATAGCCTTTATATAGTAGACTTTTTAAAGTACCTTACTAAATTAATTATTAAAAATAAGGAAAAAGTATAAATAACTAAAGCCTAACTTTAGGTAATTTAGGAATTAAGCTAGTAGGAATATAATAAAGCTAATCTACCTAAACCTAAACCTACCCCTACTTTAACCTTTAATATTAAGAAAATATTTAACTTAGAGACTTAAATAAGCCCTTATATAAGGCTGTTAATTTTTAGCTTAATTTTACTTTTCCTCCCTTAGGCTTTAGCTAAAAAGATTATTATTAAAGTTAACTTAAATAAAGAAGATTTTTATAAGGGAACCTCCTCTGTTAGGTTAGTAGTTTACGTAGCTAGCTTAAATAATAAAGAGGAAGAAGCTAAAGGTAATAAAAATATACTTAATACCCCTTTTAGAATTAATAAACCTTTTAATATAAGTTTATAAATAATAGACTTTATTACAGCTGCTAAAAGAATACTAACTTTAAAATCTTTTAAGTTAATATTAAAAAAAGTAGTTTATACTAGGATATTATTTTATTACTAATATAGAAAAGTAGCTATAATATTATATTAATTTAGGAACCTTATATTTAATAGAATAGGGTATTAAATAGAAAGTAAATTAAAAATTACCTTAAATATTAAGTATATAACCCCTTAAATAATTAAAAAAACGCTAAACCCTTAGTTTTTATATTTATTAAAATCTTTCTAAACCTCCTTAGTAAATAACTCTTTTCCTTAGGTTTAAAAAATAAATATATATACTAAATAAAAGTATATAATTATACTATTATTAATATTTACTAAAGGGTTTTAGTAGATTTAGTTATAAAAACCTTTACTAAATAAGGCCCTCCCCCCCCCTGCTTAATTATTATAAATAACTTTAATACCTTATATTAACTTTAGAAACTAGGCAGAAGTATAGACCTAGTAGATAATAAAATTATAAAATAAGTAAAAAAGTATAATCTCCTCCTAGCTTTAATAAATATATTTACCTAATACTTAGGAAAATATATTAACTTAATTTTTATAAACTACTTTATATTAACTAAGGTTAAATACTCCCTTAATATAAGGTTAGATTACTATATAGTAATTATAAATCTACTTAAGCTCTTTAGGATAACCCTAGGGGCAGGGAAAAAATATATTTTATTAGAATACTAAGAAGACTTTAGCTAATTTATATACTTTTTTACTTAAACCCTTTCTATAGTTAACTTAACTATATTATTAAAAACTAACCTTAATAAATATGTTAAAGCCCTATAGAACCTTTTTAAATAAGCTATAAAGGGGGTTAGTAAAACTAAATACTAAAATAGCTATAGTATACTATAGTAATTAGAAAAGTATAAAGCAGCCTATAAAGCTTATAAAAAAGTAGTAGACGGCTTCCCTACCTAAAAAGGAGTTTATAAAACCTTTAAAAACTTTATATATTATAGTAAGTAAGCTTATTAAAATAAAATTATAGTAAAAGCTAGCGTTATTAAGAATATTTAATTAATAGCTAAGTAGTGTAAGGTAATAAACTACTTTTAACTACCTTTTTTAATAAATAAAGATAAAAGTATTTTAAATTTTATAAAAAAAGTAATTTTCCTTAAAGATAAGCTTCTTAAGTATAAGATAATAAAGGAGGATATTTTAAACCTATAGGAAAAAGACTTTCCTATTAATAAAAATATTTACTAAGACTAAATAGTATTAAAGTTAAAGGCTAAGAAAGCTATAATAAGGTTAGGAAATACTATACCTAATGTAAATAATATATTAATTACCTTTTTATAGCTTACCTAGCCTATTATTAATAAGTATATAACTAACCTTTTCTATAAATACTTAATAATAAAATATTATTTACTTTTTTTCTAAAGTATAAAAATTACTATTATTTTTAAACTTAGGAAGCTAAAGAAAGCGTATACTATATATAAAGGTTATAAATCTATTTCCTTACTTTTTTATATAAATAAAGGTTTTAAAAAACTTTTAGCTAAAAAAATCTTCTTTTTAGTAATAAAATATAAAATATTACTAAAATAATATTTTAGGGCTTTTTTAAAAAGGTTTATAATAAACTTAGTTACCTATTTACTATATAATACTAAAGTTACTTTAGCCTAGGGTTTTATTATTTTCCTCCTTATATTTAATATCTTTAGTATATTTAATATTATTATATATAACTACTTAGTATATAAACTTAGGGAATAAAGGTAGCCCCCCTTTTTTATAAAATAGGTTAACTTTTTTATAAGTAACTATAAGGCTTTTATTTAAAACAGCTATAGGACTACCTTTTTAAAGATAAAGTTAGAATATAAAGCCCTATAGGGGTCTTTTATTTCCCTTATTATTTTTATATTTTATTTTTCCCTTAGCCTAAAGCTTAATAATCCTAATATCTACTTTAGGTATATAAATAATATTAGTATTATAGTAATAAAAGTTAATACTAAAGAAATTACTTAAAAGCTTTAGTAAAAATTAAAAAATACCTTAAACTAAGGTAATAGAAATATAGTTTTTTTTAACTTAAATAAGGTTAAATTTATATACTTTTATAAAATTAAAACTTAAATATATAATAAAGGAGTAGACTTTAGAGGAAAAACTATAGTCCCTTAGAATTTAGTTTAATAGTTAAGGATATACTTAAATTTATAACTTTCCTTTAAAAAATACCTTAGGATTATAAAAGGAAAAGCCCTTAAAGTAGCTAATTTCCTAAAATTTTTAAATAAAATATAAAAAAGATCCTTGCTAAATATAGTAGCTATAGTAGCTAAGGCCTACGTTACCTCTATAGCCTTATATAGGACGGAGGCTTTTTAGCCTAGTAAAAGTAGATAAAGCGTAATAAACCTAAATAAATAAGTAGAAATAGGCTTAATAGAACTAATTATAATCCTGGAACCTTTATTTAAAGTAGTAGTTAAAGTAATTATCCTTATGTAAAAAATAACTAACTTTTTTATTATATATAGAAAATTAGGAGTTCCCTTAGTATTAGTATAAGTAATATAAATTAAACTTTATATAGTAGCTTATTTTATAAGTTTAAATAGGAACTATTTAGTTAGCAAATATATTAATAAAAAACTCCCCCTTAGGGTTTTTTTTACCTAACTATAATATACTATAGCCTTAGTAAGGAAAATAATTTAATTTTTTTTATTTACTAAGAATAATAAAGTAGTTTAAGTAAGCCTAGACTTTAAAAGCTTACTAAAGTTAAAGGTAGTAGAGAAATACTTAGAATTACTTAACGGCCTCCCTAGGTCTACTTTTTTTATTTATTTAAATAGGTTATAGAATAAATAAGGTAATACTAGCTAGGGAGCTATTATATACTATAACTTTAAGAGAATTATAATATATAGCCCTTTTACTAACGTAAAAGTTTATAATACTAAAGTAATAGGTGTTTTTAAAGTTATAAAGCTAGTTAGAATATATACCTTTATAAACCTAAATATCTAAGAGATTTTGCTTTTTTTAAATAACTTAGCAGTAGTAGATAGAATACTAGGGCTAACTTCCGCCTTATTTTAAGGAGCCTATATAAGGTTATACTAAATTACCTAAAGACTATCTTTATAAGTAATTATAAAGGTAGCCTAGGTCCTAGGTTATAAAGATATATTAGGAAATAAAAAAGCTAATTAATTAATAAAAAAAAGTTTAAAACTCCTTTACTACTTAAGAAACTATTTTACTATTACCTTTATTAAAAAGTAAGTAAAAAAGAAATATAAAAAAATATAAAATAATAATTAAAATAATAATTACCTAAAGTTATATAAAACTAGTAAATAAGGCCTTTATAAAGCCCCTTTTATACTTTTAAAGCTATATTTTTTATACTTAATTTTATATAGGCTATTAACTAAAAAATTTAAATATAAAGATTTTATAAAATACTATAAAAAATTTAAATATAATACTAGGCCTATTTATAAATATAAAAAGCTAAGGATATAAGAATACTTTATAAAATATTATATAATAGCCTTTTTCTTTCTTAATATACTAAAGAGAGAGGTATACTTTAAAACTACCTATATTTAATACCTCCTTAGTAATAGAGGGTATAAGGACTTCTAAAAGCTAGTAAAGGAGATAAGCTTATACAGCCCCCCCCCCTATAGAAATAAATATATAAAACAGATTAATACTTCTTTATTTCCTTTATTATATTAAAACGTAGTAAACGCCTAATTTAAATTCGGCGGCTCCTACCGTTCTAGTGCCTAGATAAGGACTTATGTAACTAGATTACTTAGTAGACGTTAATAATAAAATAAATAAATAAATAAACAAACTTAAACGTATGAACAGTAGCTACCCGCGCTACATAAGTACTCCTAAGCTACAATCACGGCCACTGATGTACAGCAAGGGATGAGAGTATCTGGAGCGGACAGTCCAAGGAGCCGGATGGTAGGTAGAGATGCGCGTATTAGGCCTATCACTCTATGAAAAGGAGCTACCTCATTCTCATATATGCCTAGCTGTCAAGAAAGCTGCATTGCTGATGGGTACTTGGTAATATGGTCAAATCTGTGAGTCACGATATCAATATACAGGAAATTTGCTATTTGGCGACCATGCCGGCACTACTAATTCATCACATAGACAGGCGAGCGAGGCGAAAGAACTTTTGGATCAGGCGCAAAAGCAAAATCTATTGCAAGTTACTCTCCGCCGCCTTACTGTACATCCACTGTATAATAGCGCTATGGCTTGCGCATACCATGGCGAGCCTTAACACTCCTGATTACATAGTTCCAGTCACTCCGCCGCTGACCGAAATCCACTGTGCGGTAAGCCAGCGGCTCTTCTCTGAGACTAGCAGTAACGCAGCATCGGCCATATCATTGACCGTCCCAATTCGTGACCCAGCCCGCGTCTGTGCCAGCATCCCGGTCTGTAATTCAGATGCAGATCCGTCGGGTGCAACCAAAAACTCTTTCGACATGTCTGTCATCATTGGTCCCGGCGCAAGAGTATTGACGGTAATTCCATGGCTACGGCCAAGCTAGTACTTGCTGTGAGAAGGTTTGCCCTGTGAGAATAGGAGTCTGGGTAAGGGAGCTCACCTGACCAGCCCAGGATGCTGTAAGGCTATCCTGCGCAGCCTTTGCCGCGGCATAGACTGCGCTGAGTTCAAGGCCAAGTTTTGAGACGATGGAGCCAACGTTGATAATACGCCCTCCTCTGGGCATTTTCCCTATTCCTATAACAGCTTGTGTCAGGTAAATGGTGGCAAAGACATTGATCCCGAATTCGGCTTCTAGTAATTCCGGCGTCGCCTCTGTGAGATTCGTTGGGCTTCCGTAGCCAGCATTATTCACTGGATCACATCAAATTGTTAGCCACCTTCGAGTCTTATTTACAAAATTTAAGGCTGATTCAAGTACGTACCGAGAATGTCAATGTGGTCGGCGTTAAGCCCTTCCAGAGTCTCTTGGACAATCTTCATCGAAGTGCTAGCTTTTTCCAGGGCTCCTTGTACAACGGTTGTTTTAGTTCCAAATTCCCGACCAATGTCGGCTGCTACTTTCTCGGCCCTCGCTTTAGAGCTCTCTGAGACATAGTGGATTGCAACAGCTGCACCGTTTCGGGCAAACACTCTGGCGATGGCAGCCCCGATGCCAGTTTCTCTGCCGGATCCAGTGATCAAGGCAGTCTTGCCTGCAAGCGAGAGAGTTTCCGCAGTCATGTTCTTGTCAAGCTCAGATAAATAATGTCAACGCTGAGTGCATACAATGAGCTTGGAGACGTTTTTACTTGATCTTTATAGTTTCGTAAACAGTTGTCAACACTAAACTTTTGCATGGTTATTATGTAGAATACATGCTTATAAATTGTCAATACTATTCACGGCTTTCCGTGAACATTGGGGTTTGCTTGTTCACACCCCACATGGCGATTGCAGCCTTCCCTCGTTATTTGAACTCACTAAGTTGGGTGCTGAAAACATTGAGCGCTCACAAACATTCATACCAACTGCACATCATGGCCTTTAACGGATTTCACGAATAAATAGTTTATTTGCTATGATGCTATTTCGAGCGACCAGCTTACTCTTTTAATGAAGAGGATGTTTCCCATAGCTTTTTTAGATACCTCGTCAAGAGCAACACAAAGTACCTAAGCCGATAATTACCCTTCATAGATACCCTGGAGGAAATTTTCAAACCAGTTTCATGCAGTCCTACTTGGTTTACACGGATGTCCTTGAATTTTGTATTACATTCACATGTTGATAACATTTCAGTACATTCTTCTCCTTCAATTTGGTCTACACCTACTTCGAGTTGCGTCATCAGTATCTCGTTGTGTCGACTAATAGCCGTTCAAACTTAGCAAGCTGAATTTAGTGGATACCATTCTCGCAAGCATTTTGCAGAACTAGCTCTTCAAAAGACGGGGCAGCATTCAATCCAATGGTCATCTTCAAAGACGATTGTGCTGTTAAACTTTAATACGCTATTAGCTGAATAGGATAATAGAGTTGCTGACTACAAGGTACTCAGCATACGAATACACCTCTTCTCGCCTGCAAGGGACTGGCTTCTATATTCCATGAAACACCGCAAAGTACGTCTTGCAAAATGCAGAAGCTCTAAGTTGCGTTATTCCTCTCCACGTTTGCAGCCTTGATTGTGTAGAATCATCTTGTTTACATCAGACGGGCCGCGTATTAACGAAGCAAAGTTGTTTCTACTATGACCGTAATACCCTCATTCTCCTACCCCGTTCCGACCTCTGCTTACTCAAAGACACTTGTATTCCCCAAAGAACTACGGCGATTCTGCTAGATTTTTCCAGGATTCCGAGATGACCGCCTATATCGGCAGATCTGTATTGCTACTACCAGGGGGCATATCCAGGGGATTTTGGGTACTTTAATCGGCAAATAGGAAATAAAGCTAGCGCTGCACTAGCATGGCAGAGTGGTAATTGGCCGAGTCAGAGACACTACTCTGATGCATCCATACCTACATTAGCCATAGTTGGAGCTTCTACAGCTCCACCTGAGAGCATTTGGGCAGTGCCATGTGTTTCTCCTTCTCTAGGTTGAAGAATCCAGTCACGAGATTACTGCGATTGTCACCAGGACAGTCATATAACAGTATGACCAAAGTAAATACCAGAAGAGCGATTATTGGATGGTAGATAGCCATGCAGGCGAAGAAAGCATAATAAGTCATTCAGTTCAGAAACGGCCGTTCGCACATGAGATCGTAACCCTGCGATCATTGACTTCGCAAAGCTATACTACAACAAAGTATTACTAAAATGGCGTATAATGTTACATTTAGCTAATCGACTAAAGAAACCTCGGAATTTTGTTCACTTACTAAATATCAGCACTTCTGGATGATGTTGGATTGGATCTTGAGCTAATATTGTGATCATGTAAAGCGGTTCCAGGGTGCCTACTAAAGCGTTACTGTGGCTGATCTGAGGATAAAACCTTATCGCCACATTTACATGAGAGAGTCCAGTCTTTTTGCTCGGACCTCGGAAATATACACGGGCATAGCTCTGTAGGGCTGTAACTTGCGTCATTCTCACAAGCTTACATCTCTTCAAGCTGTCCTATAACCATTGCTGACTATGAGCATGTCATCATTGCTGACGGTAAGAGAAAAATCACCAACGCTGAACTTTGTTGTAAACAAGCTTTCGTGATGACACTGTGATGTCTGACGTGGATACGGTTAACAGACTCTAATTTGGGTCAGACGCTGATGTGGTCTATTTTCGAGCTGACACGGCTACGAGTTACACATCAGTGAATAAGAATTTACGCAGCAGTAGCCATAGTTCCAAGGATGTATATCAGAGAGAGATATCTCCCCCGTGCTCCTGGTGAATCATCTCCTTCCCCTTACATCTTGAGTAATTTCTTCCACAGTCGAGCCTCTTGAATCATTGATATAATGTGTGGCATTCTTGCTAGCATCTCAGTCGAGCGCTTCCCGCGTCGCAATAGACACCATAATACCAATAACAACCATAATACAGTGGTAAACGGGGATCTCAAAGACACTCGAAACCATGATGTGGTCGTAAATGGGGAACTTGAAGATCAAAAAAGGCAGCGAGCCCTTTTGACTACGCAACTAGAGGATGGCTTGACGGAAATATCCCATAGGGGACCTGATAACTCTCATGTGTGGACTACAGAAGATGCTAGAGTTGGTATGCTATCACTACTTCTCCTCACAAGAGAATTCTGTTTCTAAGTAACGCACAAACACAGGCCTCGGTCATGCGCGCCTGTCGATCAACGATCTGTCGATCGACGCCGACCAGCCCATCCATAGCGACGACGGGACAATACACGCAGTGGTCAACGGGGAAGTGTATGACTTCGACAGGCTCCGTCAGGTCCTGACCGACGAGCACGGGTACCACTTCAAGAGCCACAGCGACAGCGAGGTGCTGGTTGCCTTGTACAAGGTCTACGGGGCTCCCGACTTCATCGAGCACGTCCGAGGCGAATTCGCCTTCATCTTGTACGATGAGCGCAGGGACCTTGTCATTGCCGGGAGAGATCGGTTCGGCATTAAGCCACTCCACTGGACATTTGTCCGCGATGAGTCAGGGGAGAAACGCTTACTGGTAGCATCCGAGGCGAAAGCATTCCTGCCATTGGGCTGGCAGCCAGAATGGGACGTCGGGGCCATTGTCGATGGCGGGTACATGAACGGTGAGAGGACCGTCTTTAAAGATGTCCACAAAGTCCTGCCTGGCTGCTGGTTGGAGATGCACGGCGATGGGACCGTACATCATCACAGATACTGGGATATGGAGTATAACGAAAAGGTAAGGGCAGCAACAATGGTACATACAAAGTAAGAGAAACACTCTTATCTGATACTTTCTCGCAGGATAAGGTTGAAACACGCCAACTTGACGACATCATTTCAGGCGTCCGGGAGCGACTCACCGAGGCCGTTCGGCTCCGATTGCGGGCTGACGTGCCTGTCGGGATCTACTTGTCCGGAGGCATAGATTCTTCCACCGTGGCGGGAATAGTGGCACACCTCGTCCGGGAAGACGGCGTGTTGGCGGGCACGGAGGATGCAAGCAAGCATATCCGGTGCTTCACGATACAGTTCCCTAGCGGGTCCGGGTTTGACGAGTCTGGTGCGTGCAAACTGCCTTGCTTCACACAGCCCCCTAATCTAACCCGTCTGTAGATATTGCCGATCGAACGGCCGAGTGGCTTGGCGTCGACCTCGCCAAAAAGGACATGAACGAAGGCACCTTGGCGGAGTACTTTACCGATTCCATTTTCCACACTGAACTTCCTTGCCACGACCTGGCAGGTGTTGGAAAGTATGGCCTGTCGATGGAAGCCCGAGACAACGGGTTCAAGGCCGTCTTGTCTGGTGAAGGATCTGACGAGATCTTTGCCGGATACCCCTTCTTCATGCGCGACATTTTGAATGAGCCGGATCTCTCAATGCCAACGTCCCCATTGGCCAAAGATCAGAAAACGAGACTCGATCTGTTGAAGATGACCGACGATGTCCTCGAAAAGGTGATGAAGTGGTCCGGCCTATGGTTGCACCGCCCAGACCAAGACCCCTCCGCCGACGACGTCCAGGGCGTAGCGCCAACGCTCTACTTTCAACCATCTCTGGCCACCTGGGCGCCCTGGGTGTCTCGTCGCTGGCCAAACATGAATTGCCGCGCTACGGTTGCCGCTTCACACGACCCCAAGGTACGCGCCAAGATGGCCAACCGCTGGCATTCGCTGCACACGGCCGAGTATGTGTGGACAAAGTCAGTGCTGCCCAACTTTATACTCAGCACGCTAGGTGACCGGGCCGAGATGGCCCATTCGATTGAGGCCCGGACACCATTCCTTGACCACCACCTCGTCGAGTACGTAAACCGGCTGCCGCCTTCTCTCAAGTACGCATACACGCCCGAGACGGAAGACTTTGGCGAGCAGGGACCGTACTGGACAGATGGAACTGCGCCGCAGAAGCTGCTCACGGAGAAGTGGATCCTACGCGAAGCGGCAAAGCCATTCATTACGGAAGAGCTGTACCAGCGGAAGAAACATCCCTACTCGGCCCCGTTTAAGTGGCCCAAGGGAGGACCCATCTACCAGATGCTGCAGAAGCTGTTGACGAGGGAGGCTGTGGATAGCCTGGGTTTCTTGAACTACGAAGTAGTTGAGCAGGGGTTCAACAAGGGATTTGGTGAGGAGGCGGAGGCCCGCGCGTTCCGGAACCTGTTGGTGTACGCCAGCCTGGTGACGATAGGCCAGAGATTTGACGTGAAGAAGGCAGAGTCAAGAGATTGGGCACAGGTGACGGGGCGTGTCTAAAGAGGCATTCGCTGTCTTGCGCCACGACTTGTTAGCCGCTATTCAACATTTAGACAAGCTAGATAGGTCAAGGATGCTTTGTGACGATATTATGCTGAATGCCTCCTCCGCTGGTGTTTCACTCACGTTGAGTTGTGCCTGAACTATACATAGAGGTTGTTACTTATCCTATGTCCTTGAATGAAATAGTTATATCGATAAGCTGCTGTCGTAAACTACCTCATCGTGAGGCCCATATTAGCTGTAGATTCTATAGCACACCAGTAGCATTTTCGCCGTCAATGAGAAGAGCGTAGTTATCCTCCTAATAACATCCGACCCCAGAGAATGAGCATTGAGATTATATATATCCCTACGATAATTTAGTCGTCGCCTTGGAAACTCTACATGCCCATGGACTGTACTGAACTCAGGGTTGTTTTAATCTGCATAATGGCCAGACAAGTAAGGAACCATATCTTACTCAATACTCTGAGCAGATGCAATCTCATTAAATACTCGCAGCCTTGGTCTCGATTTGTGCTTTGGCAGTCAGTACTTTAATATCCTTTAGATATCAGCCCCAATTGCCGCAGCAATAGTGGAAGCAAGTTCCTGGAAGCCGGCAGCATCAGAACACTCGTTATGCCTCTTGACACTTGTCAATATTTCATCGCCACCATCACTCAGTGATGAATTCTTAGTCATGCTGACGTATTTTGAGAACTCTTCCGAATCTTGACTTGTTACAATAGACATCGACTTCTCATACGCATTCGTGGTAGCGCAGTGGCTATCCATCTGAAGGCTAATACTAACATCGATGTTTAAATTGCCCAAATCCTCTTGGAAGTACACATCTAGCTTCTCAGGCTCGGCCCGCTGGTTAAGGGTCATGTCTTTATCAGATCAAAGACAACACGGTCTGTTCCCTTATTATTTTGGCGTGGTGCTCGCGTGGCTCAACTGCACGTTCAATGACTATGATTGAGGCAGCATCTGCGGGCCCTTTGATTTCTGCCATCACCACAAGGCCGCCTCTATTCGATCTGTGGATTATCTTATATATGCTATGAATCAAAGTAAGTTGGAAAAACAAGTGACTTCTTTAAATAATAACTCAAGAGAAATCTGCTACTCTTCCATTGGCGAAACTATTTGTATATATAAGCATAAACAAAATAACTCTTGAGATATATAGCATCTACAATGCACTTATGACAGCGTTGTATGCAGCTTTTGGTTGGTAGTTTGCATCAAAAAGAAGGGGATTCGAAGAGGCTCTCCAGCTATCGACATCACGAACACCCCAACTTGTAATACCCACACAATTCGACACTGCAAGACATCCCTGAACGACCGCGAGGTAATCAGAGGAGGGAGCATTAATAATGTCAAGTTCAGTAATAGCGACCTCCGGAGCTGCAGCACTTAGTGCCTTAAGAGCAGCTGCATTCTTAGGCCCTCCGCCAGCGCTAAGATGCCCCTGGCTGCCGATTCCGTCAATGGGAATGCCTTGAGAGCGCCATTTCTGGACATATGAGATCATGCCTCTGGTCTTGGCATAATTAGGGTCGTCAAGGTTGTAGTCATTGATGTATAGCTTTGCGGTAGGGTCCTAGGATCATTGTCAAAACCCTGTTTATCTTTATAGTCAGGTGGAAGAATGCGCTTACAGCATTTTTTGCTGCCTGGAAAGCGATGCGAACAAAGTCTTCGCCGAGGACATTATAGAAGACCGACTGGCGCAGGGTTCCATCTTCATTGAAAATCTCATTGACAACGTCCTATTGCAGAAAATTTGTTAACATCATTACAACAATGAAGCAATGTGTTGCGGCAAGATCTTACCCAAGCATAAAGCTTTCCCTTATAGCGGCCGGCAACGTTGCTAATATGATTCTGTAAGACTGATGTCAAGGTAGCTTTATCGCTGATACTCGACACCCATGATGGTAGTTGCGAGTGCCATAGGAGGTTATGCCCACGAATCAACAGGCCATGTTGCTGGGCGTAATTGACCAGGTAGTCTGCGCCGGCAAAGTTGAATTGGCCGCGCTGAGGTTCAGTGGCATCCCATTTCATGCTGTTTTCCGGGGTAACTTGACCAAACTGTCCTGGCACGAATGTCGACATGCCACTTTTGGACAGTGAACTCTGATCAGTGGCAGTGCCCCAGTACTTCTTTCCATGAGCCTTGAGCTTAGAGTTCAGAGAAGTTGACTGTCTGTCTTCGATAGGAGAGGCGACGCCACTGGCAATAGCGAAGGCCAGGGAAAGGAGTGTTGTGTACAACATTATAGCTGGATCTAATCTCTCACAGAAGTTTCAAGTATAAGCAGAAACAAATTTTGATTCAAAGGATAGCTGATCGTGAATTTATTTTTTTAAAATGTAGATAAGACTAGGTTATATATATCATAGCACAATAAATAAATCCGCCCCCGAATTCCTAAATCTTCTACCGAACGCTTGGAAACAATTTGTTATTCTGAAAATTTATGTAATGTATCCGCTGGATTTATCCAATAACTACCGCTCCCCCGTAGCATTGTGTTGATTTGAAGAGTAACATTAGAGCTTATGACCTGCCAAGGTAGCGGTTAATTGTTGAGTAAATCTTTTTCCTTTCTTCCGCTAAATGTAAAGTCATTTGACGTCACCTCAAGAAGAAAATACACAATGTATTTTTATTACTACAATTAATACAATTTACAATGTACAGTATACTTTCAAGCCTAGTTGTTATCTCCACCCCAATGTACAAAAACCAATGCAGCTAATAGCAGTGCCAAAGATTATTAAATGCCCGAGAAATAGAAAATAAATTAGGCATAATATGCATAATTGTTAAAGAGAGAGAAATAGGCTAAAGACGCGTAGCTTCCGAAACATTACAACCCTATGCGCATTCTCCCAATTGGGCCGGATTAGGGTCTCAATAACACCCCAGCGCAGCTCAAGTAAGACGGGCCGTTTGGTAGTTTATTTTATGCGGCCTAATGAGAAAGGAAATCCTTCCATCCACTGGTCTAGTTGACATCTTCATCTTGATATCCAACGTCTTTCATTGTCGCTGCATATGTAGTAGCTATTGGAGAATATTATTTCCTACATTAACCATTAGCCGGGGAAAAGGGGTGGTTGAACTAATGCTACCTTGAGCGAACAATTCGTCCTATCCCAACCCCTGCTGGTCACAATCACGCTTTAACATTTATCACTTTAAGCCTCAGCGGTGCCTGTTAGTTTCTGTCAGTGCCAAGCCCGAGAGGCCAAATGAGGAGAGGACTACACAAATGCCGGTCAATATCACAAGTACCGGCAGGGATATAAAGGTTGACTTTGGTAGTTGTTCAAAATATAAAATTAAGCAAATGAGGTTCATTAGTATATAAAAGAAAAGTAGTGTAACTTCTTTGTTATTGATGGAGAACAAATAATACCTTTTATACAAAACAAGAAATAAACAGCAATGGAAATGCTTAGCTTTGGATATAAAATATTCGAACAGGTTTAATTAGAGTAAGACTTCTTTTCATGATGTATTGTTACGATCTGTTCCGCCGTAACAGCTAGATCCCTTATAAATAGCTGGTTCCACTATAATAATCGCTACAATTGAGATTATTAGCCTAATCTTTTGCCCTGTATGGCGTAACGGTTAGTGGACCGTAACATGTATGTAATATTAATAAATCTCGCTCCGAGTTATATTGAGGAGTAAATGCAAGTATATTCTTTCCATACCAAAGAGTGTATTCGGCCAAATATATGGGTTATTTGGTTTATCATTGTATAATACTTGGTAATAGAAGAACTGCTGTTTCATGAGGGTAAACTTTGAACAAAGCTGAGTTGTATTATTGGGTATTTGAATTACCTTCTTGGTTGTTAGCATTACAAAACTGATATAGTTGGGATTTTGGGAACTACCGAAGGCTAAATTGGATGGGAAAATGGTAAAATCCAGTTGCTATATTTTCTCATTACCGAATATTATTTAGGGAGATTTCCGGTGCCTTAATTATCCTCTTTAACCTTGAATAATGTAGGCGAGTTAATCCTCAATCTGCCCTGTAATAATACTAAATAAATGCAAGACGGAAAGCTTACCTTTGAGGCTAAATAGCAAGTGTTACTGCCATACTTTGTTTCAGTGCTTTAACTCGGCAGTTTGATCAGGACATGCAAGTTGTAAGCCAGGTGAAGGCCTTGTGTTGACTATGATTGCTTCTGTGATTATGAACGGTGGAACATAGAGACGTCTGCTTCACTTGTCTCAGCGCCACAACTTTACATTAGCACTCACATCACAAGTCTAGTGGCGCCTGAACCTCGTGTTTCTCTTTGCTACACTTGGTGTCCTGATCACTGCACAATCCTGTCCCTCCGTCCACATATGGTGCATGAGGTACCGGCGGCTCTCCAGCCTATAGCCCTCTCCCCCCTTTAGTAAATCGGCTAAAGGCGACACATTCTGACACTACTTCCGAGACAATTCCTTATCCAGCTTGCGGCGGAGCAAGTTCCGACGGAGTTTCATATGGCAACTCGGCAAAACAGGGAATTACTGCCATAGCGTATACTTTCTATAACAATTGTTAGAATATTGAGTTTGGTGTTGATTGGATACTCGCAGGTACGCTAGTTCTCACCTTGCACAAGGGTTTTCTTCTTTTTATCGTTGGATGACTTATACTTCCTCACTGCAGAGAGAACGAATTATAGACAACGCCTTACGTCGAGGACCTGCGCCAACGTGGAAATCACTGACGCTCGCAAGCGCAGCACAAACGGTGAAAGCAACTATCTTCATTGGAAATCCTCCATTTCAGTTCGAGCTTCCTGATGAGATTGGGACTTACGGGCTCGGAGGCATATGTGTACACCCAAAACATAACTGTTTATGAGACTTGTTGACTTTCCAAGAGTGATCCGGTCTGGCTGCCGCCATATGTCTATGATGTATCAAATTTGCTGATCCCTTTTGCCAGCATAATGCCGACAGGCCTAGTGAGTCCTCCGTGTTGACTGCAGAGTACCCCTGACCGATCTATCTCTGCGTATCTCGTGGACTGTGTATAGATATATAAGAGGCCCTGCCCCCGATCTTATGATAGATAACTAATACCTTTCATCAATACAATACTACACCCAATCTACACATCTCAACACTCTGGGAGTAGCGAGCATGTGACCCAGTAAAAGGGGAGCAGCGCCGCAAATTGACTGCTATAATCATCATTTCTGCAGAAGATATTTCGTAGGCAACGGTGTATATAAGTTAGCAGATTAATAGTGGATGGTGCCTTTTATGCAAGGGTTTGAAGATATTCAAGGGCGAATTAAGAACCAAGAGACAGCTGACAAATGTGAGCTTGATTTGAGTGCAACGATTTCAATTTTAGCGAGCTACTGGGAGCATATAAAACAATTCAGCCAGGAACGTATGAATACTTGGATAATTGAATTGACTGTTTTGAACTAAGTGTTTTTGAAACCAAGTACTTCCGCTTTAAACACGGCTAGCCTCCCATTTTAGACACTCGTCAATGCCAGTGAGGAACATTTCTTGCCACTGGCGATACTCAAAACCAAGGAGCTTTTGAGCTAAGGAGGTATCCAGCGGCGCTTCCGTCTGTGTCGGTGGGATAGCATCCTTTCCCGGCATGCGCGGCGCAAGCTCAGGCCGCCTTTCTCGTACCATATCGGCTACCTCAGGCCATTTATGGACGCCCTCAGATAAAATAAAACGCTTTTGCTGCTTGTTAGGAAGTGGCTCTGCGCTCAGAGCCAGGATATGGACTTTCGCGACATCGCGAACATCAACCGTATGACGCACGAATATAGGTGGGTATGTATTGGGGCCTTCGGGGCCACCATTGAGGAGCATGTAGATGAATTGGTTGGTACTTAATCCGGGGATGTTGCTCGGCCTTGGGAAATTATTGGCGAAAGGGCCATAGATACCACTCGGGATCGCTAAAAGCATTAGCTTCTCAATATCAGTGCACGAGTATGGGGGTAGTAGCATACCTGAAGTAAAATCTACCTGAGGGTTAGCTTCAGCGAATTCCCACATTTTACGCTCAGCAAGTACTTTGGCACCGAGATACGCCATAACAGGACCGGCAGGATTATCGTCCTTCATGTAGACATCCTCTTGTTTCATCATATTCCAGTCTATCCTTTATAAGCCCTGGCTATAAAGTGTTGCTTTGTGTTGCTTTGAATAGATAATTGGGAGGGTGAAATTTAGTTCTTCGAGACTTACCATTTGGTCCAACCAACTCGGCACCAAAAGCTGATTTGCCATTATCTCCGAATAGGTTCATAAATGTCCCCGTATATATAAACTTTTTAATTCCCGCTTTCAGGGACTGCTCGATAAGATGAACAGTGCCATCATAAGCACCCTTCCATACCACCATAGATGGTGTAGTCGGGTCGGCGAAGCTTGGTGCGGCACAGTGAATAACAGCTTCGACTCCTAATATCACGTCTTTAGCACGACCAGAGTTATCACATATATTCAAGTATCCAACTCACCCTTCAAAGCATCTGTGAAGTCACCATCTGCCAGGTCGATCACCTCAACAACCTCTAGACCTGGCGCATTAGGATTCATGGCGTGGATAACCGAAGCCTTGCCTGGACGAGCCACACTATACGAAGAGTCAGTTCGCTAGGAAATGGATGTCTGAGCAGAGAGGCTGATGTACGGACGCTCGAACAGGAAAGCCAGCATCAAGGGCATGCTGAATGATGTGCGACCCCACGAAACCGGTACCACCGGTAATCTGTCAAAACAGTTAGATACTTGTGTTGGCAGGCGAGGTAAATAAGCATACCAGAATGAGTCCCTTCATATTAATGTGTACTCAGTAAGGGTATGTAGAGGTAGCTAGATGTGGTGAGCTATTCTAGAGGCAGTTCGATTTCACTTTTTAAAGTGACTGGCTACTTCTCTTTTAGTTCAGCTATTCATCTCATAGCCGGCTTAGATAGTTTGGATCGAGAGCTTTCCAGGAGGGTGTTATATAAAATCTCAGATTAGCAATCAGTAGAGATTAAATATTAATCAATAAAGTTATAGGGTCGCTTGGTAAGCCGTTGTGCGTTTGTTACAACACCTACTATTGATTTTGTTGTACTACAAGCAGCTTGAAGGACTAGCCAAGTAAACACAGAAAACGAGCTATGTACCAGTATCAATACGTTAACCGGCAGCCTTTTCCACACTAGAAGCTATTTCCGCACCGACAACCTTTTCCGCACTAGTGCATGAGTTAGCTGGTATTAGCATGGTACCTGTCCCAACCGGTTGTTGAGCGAATTCCATATTGAATATAAGGAGAGAATTGAGTTTTGAGGCTTTTTCTGATTTGGAAATAGATCCCCCGGGCACTGCAGAATAAGTGAGTAATCACCTCGATATACCTGCGGGCCTCGTGCCATCGTTAGGACTGTATGGAAAGAAATGTTACACATCAAATCTGTGTCACTACCTAGGCAGCAGTAGTTAGATAGTTTGTCCAGTTGCTATATTTCTGTCTGGCTGCAACGATCTCGTGGAAACAATATACAAAGCTTCACATCTAGTCGTCTCTGTACATCCCGTACTTTCAGATAAAAGGGCATAAACCCTGCGTCTCCAAATGCAGCGTAGATGTTTGTTTCTTAAGGTCTGCCATAAATGCGGGTTCGAGCTCGATGGTAAGTTTAAAGACGACCCCAATTTTGAACGAATCTCTAGGTTCTTAATAGAGAATACAACCATTTGGAATCATCTTTCTACTCGGGGACTTTTTTCAAGTTCAATTTGAATCTTAGTAAGCTGACAACGAGGTACAAGATTCTCTGAGACTTTCCATTATTAAAGAAACACTCCAGCCTATGCTGAATTGTTCTCATTCAGTTCAAAATCATAAGACACCCTTGGTTATAAAGTTCACAGAATCAAATTTGGCAATAGGTCAGCCATGTTTCCCTTTTCTGAACTCGGTGTTGCGGAGAAAGCCATACGCGCAATCCTGGAAACCGCAGCGAAAGACAAGCCTGTCTATATGCTGAACTTGGTTCGGTACCGAGAACAGGCTGAATACCGTCTGGACGATCTCCCTGAAATACGGGCTCTGCCTCCTTGTTCTGGATGGCGGGCATTCCATGAGCGTTACGCACCGGCCTTTTTAAAGGCGTCTGAGGGAACTGAGAATGAGGTACTATTTTATGGCAAGCACGTGGGGATCCTGATCGGAGAGGCAGACGATGAATGGGATGACATGATACTGTCAAATATCGGAGCGCGGATGATTTCTATAAGTTTATAACGAGCGAGAAATATTCACTTCACGCAATGCCACATCGCCTGGCTGCTCTTCGGGACAAAAAGTGGATTGTGTATGAGCAGAATGACGCGTAATCGTTCTTGAGGTCCATACATAGTCATATCCATATATTACATACTTGGTTGAACGACCTCATCGCTTCGCGGGAACTTCTCAACTCATTTGTCCCGGATACGAGTCTCTTGTCAACGCCACGTTATCCTCCAATAGGGCAAAAGTAACTACTTGACTACCTAACTAAATAATACAATAAGCAGTTGGTTTGGCAATGGTGTCCACGTACCATTGTAGTTCTACAACCCATCGAGCGGTACAGACAAAATCACATCTTTTCCGGCCACAAAGATTTATCTCCAATGTTGGGATGGCCCCTCCATAAGAATGGGAGTGTTGACCGAGATCAACTAATCCACTAACGCCACATTTCCTTCCCAAAAAACGCGGCAGGTGCACCATTTTCCCCATTTGGTGTCGGTCAGCCGTCGCGCCCAATGGCGCTCGCTCTTTGGCAACCTTCGGTTCTTACTAACTTAGTATCGACAATTGTCGCGGCTAGTTGGCAGATGTATCATCGAAAGAAAGTACCTCCATGTAAGCGAACCCTTAAATTTTGTCCGTGTAATGGTCACGCCTTGCTACTTACATTGAATTGGCTTCACCCACAGAAGGGCACAGCCAGCCATAAGTTGTGAGAGATGCCGTGCGTCCGTGGCCTCATTATGCGGCCAGGCACCGGAGTCATGACACTGCCTTTGCATTATCCGAGTTTCAGCTGTCGGGACATGTCTTATTAGTTGTCGGGCTTCTGGATAACTTACCACGTACTTCTGAAATAGGTTGTGCAACCGGCGTTTTCTACGATATTGCCAACTTTAGCTCTTCACGTCTTCTAAATCATATTCAAAAACTCCGGAAGGCCGCAATTGGGAAAGTAACTATTCGTTCGCATTGAGGGTCATGGGCGTATAGACAGCTCGGATTTGTCAAAACTTTCGTGTCAGAAGATAAGTAGTTTTCAGTATTTTCTCATGATGCATAATAAGATTTATTGCACAAACGACAGGGGGACCGCTTCCCGTATTAAGTCTAACACAGATCAATCTGACTGAAGTGGCATACCATGGTCTTTACGACGGAAGCTCCTCATCCTCAATCCAATAACAGATTCCCGTTTCCCATGCAGCAGAGGCGTGACGGCGTCATGCTTTTCCCGAATTGAAAGCCTTACAACTCTTAGATAAACACTAGATGAGAGCTAGGCTATCGGCGGCCACAATACATAGCATCCCCAGTAGTAAACAAGAGCCCATCGCATCTTTCCCATTTCAGCGTATGATCTGTTTTACAACTGGTGACTCAAGAACGAATTGAGTCTGACTGTTCTCTCTACTTATATCCGCAAACCTCTACCCCCACGACTTAGCTAGCATCCTGGAGCAAGCAGCCCGTCGCCTTCACTTTTGCCGCCATGGCCTCTCGGTTAAATCTTCTCGAGGGTTCTTTCCGCACCTACGCACCTACACCAAATCTCAAGTTTGACGTTATTCCTATTAATGTTCTTGATACGACACACTTAGTGAAGCCGTTTGTCACGACATATTGTGTTTACTTGGAAGGATGTTTAAGTTCTAGTAAGCTTCGTGACTCATTGGAAGCGCTTGTTATCCACAGGTATAGAGTTTTAGCTTCGCGTTTCGCTAGGACTTGGATATCTCGGGGATAGCTAATCCAAATATATCTATGTACTTGGAAAGGAAAATAAAAGGGACACTAAAGCATTTATACTTGTGATTACAGTAGACAAAATCTAATATGCTGTGCCAACAGTTTCTCAAGCGTATATCTGTGATAAAGCTGTAAATATTTATCGGGGGCAAGTTGTGCGGACGACGGATGTTATATAGTTACCGATGACGAAAGACGTAGCTATGCCTACGTAATTAGTCATTACGCAATTTTCCAGATACTCAGCTTCTAGTCTTTCCTTCGATTGCATATCGGGTCTCCTTGCAATTGAGCCAAGATCCGCCATAGTAGCAGCGGAAGATAGTGGGTAGTCCCGCACAGTGAAATATCTTTCGGAGGTTACTGCCGCTCCGAAGCTCCGAGCAAACTCCCTTTCAACAGTTCTCAGAACATCACTAACGGCACAGGTTTATGGAAACGATTGGAAATGTGTTTCCTCTACTCTAGATAATATTTCACGGCCTGGAAGTTAATAAGTACCGAAGCTAAGTTACTTGGTTGTAAATGACAGCAAAATGTGGATAGATTATCCGAAGGGAGAGACTTTTCAGATTTATATATACAGACCGAGATTCCTAATTACACGTCAATCCAATATCTAGATTATTCTTCATTAACAACCAAGAAACAAGAGGTATCAACAATAAGATTTCTTGGGATGAAAGTATTGATAATAGGTGGTGGTGTCGGAGGACTTTGCTTAGCGCATGGTCTTCTCAAGACAGGAATAGAAGTACAGGTGTTTGAGCAGCAGGTGAGAGTTGTAGACGCGAAGGGTTTTGAAGATGCTCATTAAACTAATAATAGGCTTAGTTAAGTAACACTGAGAACTTAGCTGGATATGGAATTCATATCAATCAAGACGGTAGACGTGCATTGCGGACCTGCCTGCCACTTTCGAGCTGGACGCAACTCCAAACTATTTTCACACCCGCTGGGGCACAATTATATTTTCGCGACACACAGCTACAGCTCTTAGCCGAACGAGACGATGCAGAGCTAAGTGGAAAGTCGATCAAAGAAACAGAGCGTTGTGGTATCGGACGACTAGAGCTTCGCGATGTCTTACTCGAAGGTCTTGTCAACAAATCATCTCCGGTTGTCCAGTGGAGCAAATTCTTCGTTCGATATGATCAACTCCTAGACGGGCAGGTTCGCGCTCATTTTTCCGATGGGACTTTTGTTGATGGAGACTTACTTGTTGGTGCTGACGGACCAAACTCGACAGTACGCCATCAGTATCTTCCAGATCTCAAACGTTTGGATCTTGGGGTTTCTGCTATTACCGGCCGTTACTTGCTCGATGAGCAGCGAATTGAAAACCTTCCGGCTGAGATAACGGATGGATCACTAAACAACATTGTTCCATATGGGAAAGGTTGGATGTTCAGCTCAGCTTGGAAGTTTAGACCCGCTGATGGAAATCATTCTTCGGAGGCGGAACACTACGTTGTTTGGGCGTATGTCTTGCCAACAGAAGATATTCCTCAGAATGCCAATGGGCTCGACGGATCGAAGTTGAGAGACCACGTACTTGAGGTTACGAAAGGATGGTCGCCACAGTTGCGAAACATGTTGAGCGACTCAGATACGTCCTCTATCAAGTATCCATCTCTGCTTTCGATGCCAACTCTGTCCAAATGGGATCCCAGTAATGTCACCCTTCTGGGTGATGCTATTCACAATATGACACCTATGGGCGGTATTGGTGCCAACACTGCACTTCAGGATGCAGAAGTTCTTTCAAGGCATATCACGGACGTTGCGGCGGGCAGATTGACCATAACTGAAGCAGTTGGCAATTATCAAGATGAAATGTTGGTTTATGCCAACGAGGCATTGCAGCTGTCTCGAAGAAATGCGGAAAACGCATGCAACGGGGGAGGAATCCGACGCTTTATTTTCCGAGGCCTTCTCCGTGCCGCACAGGCTTCCCCTGTTATTATGCGTGCAACTATTGGACGAACAGCAGTGAAAGAGTAATGGTTATATATACGACTAATTGAAATAACTCTTCTTCAGTATGTGAAATAAAATGTTGCACTCTAGGCACTCGTAACGGTAAAGCACAAGCGCCTGTGGCTAAATGAGGCCAAACTGGATGCCATTATATTTATCCATTAGTTCAAATCATGCTAATCAACTCTTGCGCACTACTCTATCGGCATAATTAATCTTGATTAAACCGTCCTCAATTGCCCCTAGATCCCCAACATCGTTCGCTTTCATCTCCCTGCTCTTATTCGCAGCCTTTGACCTCGGTGGGCGGCTCATGCTGGCGCCCGCTAGTGTGCTAAACTCAGCATTGTTAGTATCCTGAATAATGTTGTAAGCCAGTAGTCTAGCGTCTACTGCAGCTTCAGCCCCCTCCAACGCAACGCGATGGCATTAACAGTATAAATTGTTAAAGGACATGTGAGGCTGAGAGATTCGCTTCACCTCCAACAGTCCGTTGTATGGTAGCTGTGTTTCCACCAAACCCGTAGGGTTTATTACGTAAGGAATTTATGCTCGCCGATGATGTTGAAGGTTCCCCGCGATAGCATACCATCATATACACCGGGTCAAAATTATCTTTCCTACCCGGGCCCATGTGTGTCGAGATCATTGAGAGGCCTTCTTCTCAGTCTTTCCTCCTACTGGACCGAAATTTCGTTCCCCTGAGCTACAAAAGGACGTATCGAAAGACGTCGACACTGCCTGCAATGGAAATGTTTGAAGCCGAGTTGGCCAAAGCAACAAACCTTGACAACGGGGACATGCTGGGTGCCGTTGCTAGTCATTGACAATAACGGTGAGACAAGTCACTTCCCTACGAGTGTTGAAATGCGTATGAAGGCGTAAGAAGAGAACATATAATTCATACTGCGGGCACGAGCAGGAAATTTCTTATACCGACATGCTGCTGGACGCCAATTACTTGTCACTGACTCGCCGCCGTTGGATCCTGATTGCACTATATCACTCACCTCGGCGGGCAAGTTCTTTACCAATATCGCAGCCTTGCAATTGGTTGAACGTGGTATTTTGATGCTCGACGAGCCAATTACCAGGCATCTTCCAGAGATTGAGAAATGCCTGCTCGTGGAGGAAGTGGACGAAGAAACACGGCTACGCCCCCCAATTTGTAGCGTCACGTTGCGTCACTTACTCTTGAACACGAGTGGAATGGGCACCCCCGATTCGTACCAAGAACGGTTTGGCAGAGAGGATAGAGTACTGCCCCCAGACTTTCCCGATGACGCCCATCCCTTAGCCAGGAATCAACTTACACACCTCTTCTTTGAGCCTGGTGAGGGCTTCGAGTACGGATGGGGTATCTATTGCGTGCAGCTACTCGTCGGGCGGCTTGGCGGTAAGGATCGGTTCTTCGAGTACGTCGACCACCACATCTTTGGCGCGCTTGGCATGACCACTTCCACCTACCGACCGGCTCTGGCGCCGCAGGTCTGGAAGCGTCGCCTGCAGATGGTAGAGCGCAAGGTGGACGCCTCTACGATGAACGGCGAGGCATACCTCGTGGCCCGTGACAAAGATACGTATGGCCTGACCTGCAGTATATCCGATCTTGCCCGGCTCTTTGGCGATATTATATCGCCGGATTGCAAGCTGCTCCAGCGCCAGGAACACCGTGATCTGTTTTTCGCGCCGCAGTTGACTCCCGGTAGCCTTGCACACCAGTCGCTTCTGGCAGAAACCACCAACTATGGCTTCCTGCTCCCCCTCGAACAGGACGTGCCGCATAAGGTATCCTGGGCGTTAATACCACCTCCAGCCATGAACTGGACCGCGGCGGGTGCACTTGTTGAAGAGGACGGTTCCCTCCCCGGCTCATGTATCCCGAAAGGGACTGTCGCATTTGAAGGTCAACCCAATATCATTTGGACCATGAACCGCGAAAAGGGGCGTATGATGCTTTTTGGTACCCAGTTACTGCCTGGCTACGATGTGAAAGCACATAATCTGGCGGTTCAATTCTTGTATGACGCTTGGAAGACATTTGGCTAGGTTCTGACAACCCGGGTTCCTAAAGCGGTATATATAAACCAAAGTTCTAGAAACTATTGCAAAATAAGGTAACGTCTTCTGGTCCCACCTGATTCTGGTGCTTTTCCCATGTTTTATGTATATCCCATTCACTATTGAAGCGGCAATTGAGTATTCCCAAGTTTGCGTGGGTGCAACCGAGATCAGACGTATGTTGGTGATGCTATTATTATCGCTTGATACGCTTTTATGGAGATGTCGGTAATCGAAAGCAATTATTCTTGCTATAGCATGCGTGTCATTTGCGTGTGCCATTTGTCTCCATGTTTGAACTTGCATGGTATCTCGTGTATCTTGCTTCTCCGATTTTGTTATCCCCTAGCATCTGCTCTTGGTCTGGGCATGTACGATCTAAGCGACGCCAAGGCGGCTTCGGATCAATTTAAGTGTTCCCCTCATATTCGTCCTTCCTATTTTGGACAGACATCTACGATCAACAAGGGCCAAGTATGCAATATTAAAGAATATCGTCAGTAGAAAGCGCTGGCCACCACACCATCCGCTCCAATGGGACGTTCGGCAATTGCGGATCGCCAGCCGCCGATGGCCCCCCTTCCTACCTGTGTAAATCATCCAGGCCTTTGTAGCTTATAGCGCGGCTATATATAGTATTCGGATCTGTTGCCAGACTTGTTTTTTATGCGAGTTTGCGAGTTAATTTGTAATCCCTTGCTGAGCAATCAATTACGAAATCAGCCGTGCGGGTGTAGTGTAAAGGCATTGAGCTTAGCTGTATGCTTATTCTAGAACTTCAAATAAATAGCGGCTATCCTGATTCTGATAGGCCTGCTATTGCTGCAATGGAACTCTACATACTACACCGCCGTCTTTATATTCTTACCACCTTCTGTATCCGATGGCCAGAAGAAGGAAGATACTAATACCTCTTCAGTAATAACTCTGTAGCCGGGCATATGGTTGTCCCATTAAACTGTGTTTATGCAATTAACCTGTTTCCGGTGCCGCTTTGATACGTGAATGGCAGGAGTTTTCTCTCCCGGGAAAGCCTTGTTGAGCTTGCCTCAGAGGTTGATGATTAGTATATGACTTGGTTGCGTGATCGGCAGCCCGCCCTTTCAAGTATGCATAAAACTTAGACCGTGTGCTCTGGCAGTTTGCCAATTGTGAATAAGTGTAGACCCAAGCTTCTTCTTTCCTTTGAGTGGAACAAGTAGGTTGAAAGATGCGCCTGTCAGTGGCTTTGAGCAACGGCGCAGCCGTGGCGCTAGCAGCCTCACCTCAAGCTATACAACATGTCTCAAGGGCCGACAAAGTCGAGCCATGCGCCGAAGTCAGCAACTTATGGGCCGCTCAGATTTCCAGCACCGGTGAGTCTTCCGCACACCGGATGAAGATATCAAGTTCTGCTGACACCGCCGCGCTTGCCAGCCTTACCGAGTGTGCCCGCCTCTCTTGCTTATGCCTGCCTGAATACAATTCCCCTGCATAAAGACGCTGGGATTGAGTTGATTGACTCTTTGGAGCCATATCTCGAGTGGCAGACGGACGCGGCCTACAAGGCAGACCCGCCTGCCGATTACTTCTACCCGCCCCACGACATTTTCAAGGCACTTGCCGGCGTTAGGGCAGATCTTGTGGCGGACAAGTATACGAACGAGTACGAGTTCCAGGTGGATCTTTACGCTCGAGTATTTGCTCCAGCGCACGATGGACACTTTGTCTTCTATCCAGATGCGCTGACCATTGCGTTTGAGTGGACACGCGCGAAGCCCATCGTGTCTATCAGTGAGAATGGACGGGATTTGCCTGTAGTCAAACTCTATGGTGAGTCTCGTGCTGTTGATATGTTCCCTGTATACAACCGCGTGGACAATAGCTGATCCAAAAAAAAAAAAAAGAGGATGTTGCCAAGGACCCAAAGACAGCGCCTACAATCACAAAGATCAACGGCATCGAGGCTTCAAAATACATCCTTGACACCATCGCAGTGGCCTCTTTCAACCAGGATATAGATGCCGCCTACAACTCCATGTTTTATTCCAAAGGATTCGCGGCGGCTACGGGCACTCAAGGATACTTTTCAGGCGGAGGCCGCATCCGATACCTGTACCAGGGCCCAGAGACGAAATTTACCTTTGACAATGGAACCACCGCAACCTTTGAGAACACTGCGTCCGTCAAGGCAAATATGACGGGCGTCGTGGATGGTCAATCCTATTTTGATACCTTTTGCTTTCTGAGTGTCGATTTCTTTCGACGCAGTGCTGTGCCTGCTGAACCTGCTACTATCGGTGCGAGAGCTCAGCCGGGCCAGAACCCCGGGTACCCAGTGCCAGTTCTAGCTACTAATGACGGTATTGTGTCTGGCTACTTTCTCGAAGGTGGCGGTTTGGACGATGTCGCGGTCATCTCGATCCTCACCTTTGAGCCCAGCTCCCCGCCCCAATTCCAGGCCGTCGTCCAAAATTTCTTTGCAGAAGCGGTAGCCGCCGGGAAATCGAAGCTTGTTGTCGACTTCCAGGGCAATCCCGGAGGTTTCATAGCTCTGGGCTACGACTTTTACGGTCAACTCTTCCCCCATATCCGAGCGGATGGGTTCTCGCGGTGGAAGCTCAGCCCAGAGTTCGAGACTATCGCCCATGCCTTTAGTAACGCCACCAAGGGCGTGAATCCTTATACTGAGGCTGATATTGGAAAGATTCAGGCGTATTTGACGTCGGAGAATTGGCGCTTCGACCTGGACAAGAAAGAGCAGCCTTTTACCAGCTTTGCGGACAAATTTGCACCAAGGGTTTTCCAGGGTACAAACTACACGGATCTCATGAGGTGGAACTGGAGCGATCCTCTTATCTCAACGAACTTCACAACCGGATTTGGCCTCGGGATTTCAGGATATGGATCCCGCGTAAATCTCACTCAACCGTTTCTGCCAGAGAACATTGTCCTTCTGTATGATGGATCCTGCGCCTCGACTTGTACATTGGCATCCGAATTCCTCAGAATCAACGCAGGCGTCAAGTCTGTTGCTTTCGGCGGCCGGCCGAAGAAAGGCCCGATCCAGGCAGTCGGCGGGGTGAAGGGTTCGCAAGTATACCAGCTCACCAATATCTTCCAGCTTGCTGAGCAAGGGATAATCCTTGGCACGAGTCCTGCGAATGTGGAGGCGTTGCAGAACGTGAACCCCCTCCCGATCGTCCGCAGCACGGCGGGTTCAGTGAATGTGCGAGACCAGATCCTCCGACCGAACTTACACGATGGCCTGCCGGCGCAGTTTGTCGTCGAGCATGCCGACTGTCGGCTTTATTGGACAGCGCCCATGGTTAATGATATCACCGAGGTCTGGAAGGCTGCTGCTAACGCAGCCTTCAACAATGCCAAGTGTGCAGACGGTGGTATTGCGCATAGGGCTCCAAAGTCTTTTGTCCGCCCCGTTGTGAACCCGAAGTTGCCTATGGATATTGATCTTGATAAGACAGAGCGCTCAGGGCTGTGGAATGCAAAGTTTCGTCTCCGTACTATAGACTGAAAGTTGAGTTCCTAGAGAAGCTAAGTCCTGCGTTTACTTATATATATAATAGGAGTAGTTGAAAATTAAATAAATACGAAGTACTCTTTGCAGAAACCAACACAAGAAACCAATACAAGAGACAATGATTTTTACATAGTGAGTTTGACCTTGGTCAGTAAGAAGAAGTTTTCGCCTACGTCCAAATACTACGATTACCTCGGCGACTATGGCCAAAGGAAGTCTAATGGCGGACTGGTTCAATAGCATTTGCCCACTGGCTGGGACCCCTCTGGCCGGTGGGGAACGCGGGTGGTTAGACTTCCATTTGCAGGGGGGGTTTGATTAGACATTAGACGGCATTTGCCTATTGGTTCCCTCTCCCCCGGCCCAACAGCAATCATCCATCAAGTTGTACCACGACTCGAAGTATAGCGGAATGGGATTAACCCTTGTAGGGCTCGGTCCTGACCCTGAGCCCTTCCTTTGCATCAACCTTCGCATTCTCGCCTTCGTTTCTGGTTGAAGGAAATAATCTGGATTGGGCGCGGCTGATGCCAGAGGAGAAGCTTATTTGTCTCGCAAACCGACCGTCGAGCTCAGTGGAATTACAAGTTGATTGAGGCTGCGAATGCCATGGGTGTCAAGCTCCTTTCGCTGCCTCTACACTAATCCCCAAGGAGCATAGCTACTGACGGGGAACCTTCCGTCGCAGTTCTAGGAAGATTATGTGGGCATCCCACAGTCTTGTTTTGCATGTCTGCGACTCAAGTCAACAAAGCGAATGGGGCAAGCAGGTGTGCCATGCTGACAGGTCTGATGGTCCAGCCAGCTTCAGAATATGAAATATCCCTCCTTACGTGAAACTTTTCGCCGAAGGAACAAACACAGTTCAGCGGAAGATTTGGGCAAGCACTCGCCTTACCAAAAGTTCCTCAATGTGTTAGTGAGGTTCCTTTGTCGAAATCATGACATGGGTAGACAGCACTCATGCAACTTTGATCCACTGCGGTCGCATGCTGAGCCGCTGAGTAACAATACTGGCAATTGGTCAGGAGCTGTAAGCCCTGCAACTAATCAGACTTGAAACAAGGGCTCCGTACGTTCCCACTGCCCTTCAGACCAAACACCCTGTCTTTCGAACTCTCTTCCGTGGCCAACCTGATTCTGTTGCGACAGTCCTAACTTTGGCGACATCGTGGGCGAGGCTAGCGAAAAGCCGTATCAGTCAAGACCTTCATTGTGTGGGGACTGTGGCACATTTGATTGTGATGGCGAGATACGTTTCCACGTTGGGTATGCCAGTACAATGACTTCACTCAGTTAGCAGAGTCACAAAATCGAGTCCCAAGGTAGCGCCAGAAACCTACTGGTCTCAATATCGCTCTGAACAGTTACCAAGCTGACCCTGTGAAAGGCTCTCTGTGGTAGATTCTAGTCTTAGTATGGCGTATGGAGATCTGTTATTCGCCGGTAAGCCTGTCGGATATACGTCTTTGACATTGGCAGCCCGCTTTCTGGCTTCCGGGAACTCATCGGCTTTAAATGGCAAGGTAAAGGTACGCTGATGATATTATCTGGGGCGTGACCAGGCATACACCAGATAACAGGAATCGAACTCTCACGATGAGGGTCAATTATGTCCACCATAGCTGAACGCCTCGTGCCAAATCCGAGATGAAAGTAGAATACATGAGGATCTAAGTTGAAACTAGAACCAATCAGTTCAATTATGGCTGGCGCAAGGTGCCCTATTATGATCAACGTACTTCGTCCTTTTCTGCTGATTTACACCCCGGTGTGCATAGCTGCATCTCAAGGGCCAATGTCGATCACACGATTGAAATACATAATCATAGTTCTAGATGTTTCGCGGCTTACTGATGTTACACATGACCATCCATATTTTGGCACTAGTTGAGAAGACGAGCTGGGCTCTGCAATCTCTAAAGATTATAAGATCCGTCTCAGTTCAGAGTAAACACGACGGAGAGCCTAGAGAGCAAAAAACACAGTAGCTTCTCGCAATTGGATAAAACACTAGATGGGTTGCTTTAGGATGGTCAGACTGCAATACTGCAGAATAGATAAGTACTGTATATACATACTGTTCTGGAGGTATATAGAGGCCCCGAATCTAGATCTTGGTTCCCAATTATCGGGTGCTGAGATTTGAAATCCGGGAACCTCTCCCTGGGATCCTAAACTTTGCAACACGCTTTCCCATGGTTTGCTATACTAATATATACTTTACTATTCATGTCAGTGTATAATCTGTAAAGCCCCCTTTTTCGTCCTAACACTTAATCAGAAAAGCGTGGTTAATGCTCACAATTATCGACATCTAAACAAACCACTAGACAGACGCCAGGCACATGCAATTTGCAACCAATACATCGAACGTCAACCGCTTCCAGATCAACGTTTCTAGGCATCCAAGACCTTCCAACCGCCAACCAGGAGGTTAGTGTAGATCCTGAATGGATCATATTTGGTCCGAATGTCCTTGAGGCGCCTCAAGTTGGCACTTGGATAGCTCTGGAACACGGGTTGGCCATCTCCTGCGTCATTCATGTATAAGTAGCCGCCAGCAACGCCATGAGAAGTGATGGTTCCCTCAATCTTGGCAATGGTAGCTTTGGCGAAAGCCCGCACCGTGTCGTCGTCACCAGCGTTCTGCCAGGACAGGTTCTGCACGATCCAGAAGTAGGGGGCATTGTTAGCGTCCACGCCTTGGGGGTTGCTGCCGCCACGATTGCGGCCATTCTCAATGAACTCTTTGGTGACGGGCTGAAAGGTAATGGAAGCAGTCAATCCAGCAATGTCTGCCAGTTGCGAGTTGGCATCTCCGAAAAATGTGTCGTGCACAGTGGAAAGACCTTCACGATTGACCATGAAAGACGCAACACGGAAGCTGTAAAAGTATCAAGTTAGCGCTTGCGTCCATGACACGCGGTTGACTGAAGCGAGAGTCAAAACTTACTCCTGGCGAAGTCCATTGGGCTGCAGTGCGTCAACGGCACTGATATACGTAGCAAGGGCCCCAAACGCGTACTGATCAGCCACAGTCTTGAGCGACGTAAAGTTCTCAAACACGGTAGGAGAATTGGTCAAGGAGTCGTAGAATCTTGATGCCGCGTAAGCAATCATTCCAACGCTGGGGTAACCAACGATTGTAGGGATGATGGCGGCCTTGCTATCGGCAGATCCGTATTTGCCAAAGTTGTAGACGGCATCGAGGTACTTGTTCTTGTCGGTCTCGTTATACTGCGCGATTCCGATCCAGACGCCGGGAGACGGAACGGTCCTGAGATCAAAACGCGTGACAATAGCGAAGGAATTGCCGCCGCCTTTCAAAGCCCAATACAGGTCCGAATAGGCATTATCTGCTTTGGCCACCACAATGAGACCGCTGGAGAGGACGGTCTCGTATGCCACGACATTATCAGCAGCGAAGCCGTATTGGCTCGAGTGAAATGAAATGCCGCCTCCCAGCAGCAAACCAGCAACTCCAACATGGCCGATACGACCTCCAACAGCCGTCAGGTTGTAGGGTTGCAGATACGAATAAACGTCCCTCCACCGGTAGGCTGGCCCAACAGAGACGGTAGCATGATCGTGTGACAAAGCGAGAGTGCTTAGGTTGGAATTGGATAGCAACACGCCCGAGCTGCCGATGCTGTTATAGCCTTGGACAGGCATATGACCACCGCTGCGAACCGCGAATTTAGTCGAAGTTAGCGTCAGCGTGGTCACCGCGAAAGAGAGCTGCTGGGCATTTTGAGGCACAAAGACACATGCTGGTGTGTTGTAGGCTGTCGACGACCAGTACTGCGTCTGTGTTTCATACTTGTAGTTGTCGGAGCCCTCAAAAAAGGTATGGTCTGGGTGTGTGAGGCTCAAGAGCTTGCACGCAATTTTTTGAGAACCAGCGATTGCAGAAACAGGACCAGTAGCTGCTGCACATGCACCGTGATGAGGAACGGCGCATGCGAGCAGCCATGCGGCGAGGAGAAATACGCGACCCATTGTATTACAGCTGCAATCCCTCTGAATCTGGGGTGCAAAAGACTGATGGTGGGTTACTCCGAAGGGAAAGGGAGAAAAGGCAAAGGATGGTGAAAGGGTTAGGCTGCACTGGTGTCAACACCTTTCTTTTATGTCAACTCGAGCTGGCGTGGCAGCAACGATGCGACGGCTTCGACGGGATGATCGGAACACATCGTCCTGGGCCCATGAATGACCTTGATGAACTTCATATGAGAAATTTCGAGCCCCCTTGTCCAGACTCCATGCGGCGTAGCTGCCCATCTATCGGAGCGAAGCGCAATACAGCGGCCCTTTGTGGCGTCCGGGATGGTGGAACTGAGCATGGGACCTGCAGAATATGCAGTAGACAACTGGCTAAAGCTAAATCCTTCGGCCTGCAAGCATATTCAACGCCACCACTTAGAAGTTCTGCCTCTACCTCTCAGCGCTCGTTAGGGTTATAAGAACAGAAAGAGAGGGTTTTATAAGTAGGAATTTAGGAATAGGTTTAATAATATAGGTATATATATACTAAGTTCCCCTCTCCTAAACGAGGGTTTAGTTTAGACTATATATAAGTAAGTATATACTCCCCTTTATTACGCCCCCTTTTACTAAAATACTATCCTAGTGTTTAAAATCTCCTATACTAAACTATATTACTTACTTAAATAAACCTTAATTAAATTTTATAAAAAATAAAAAATAAAAATAAATAATAGATTTTTTTCTTTTTTTTTTAAAGCTTTTATAATTATTAAAAAAAAAAAACCTTAGTTTTTTTATATTAATTTTTTAAAAAAAGTATTAGTTTTTTATTAATTATAATATAAATTTCTTAATTTTTATTTTATTATAAAATAATATAACTTTTTTAATTAATAAGTTTTTATTATATAATAAAAAAATAAAAAAAAAAGTCTTTTATATTAAGGAAAATAATATAAAAGTATATTTAGTAACTAAGATAAAAACCTATATTATAGTATTAGTATAAAATAAAATTATTTTATAAAAATAAAAAAAATCTTAAAAAAAAAAAAAAAACTAAACCTAAGAAAAATAGGAAATATTTTTAAAATTAAAAAATAAAAAAATAAATACTATTTTTATATTAGTTTTAAAGTATAATATAATATATTAATATAAATTAAAAAAAAGAAAAAAAGTAAAAAAAGTAAAAGAAAAAGAAGTAATATATTAGTAATATTAAAAAATCCTTTATTAAACTTTAATTATTTAGTTTTAAAGGTAAAAATTATTAAAACCTAGGGTTTTTATTAAGTTATTTTTTAAATTTAAACTATATAATATACTTTTTTTTTTTACTTTTATAAAGTTAAAGCTAGTTTATATATTATTATATTATAATATTATTAAATAATACCTAAGGGAGGGTAAAGTATAAGTTAATAACTTTAGTAAGAAAAAAGTAAAGTATAATTATTAAGTTAATTTTATAGTTTTAAAAATATTTATAAAGGTTTACCTAAAGGTTTATAAACTTTTATTTTTTAATTTTATAAAGTAGTATATAAGGGGTAAAGTATTAAACTTTATTTATTTTTTTAAAAGTTTTTTAAAAGTAAATAATTTTTTTTTAAAAAGGCTAAAGTATAATTATTTTATAAAAGGTTTTTTTAAGTAAAGTTTTATTAATAGTAATTACTTTATAATTTTAAATTTAGTATTTAAGAGGGGTATAGGTTTAATATTAGTATTTTCTTTACTTATTAAATTTATAAAGCTTATAGCTTAAGTAGTAAGTAATCCTTAGGTAATATAATTTTACTTTTTTTTTTAATTATTTTAGTTATAGCTTTAGTAGTTTTAGTTTTAAGTTACTTAGGATATAAATAGTTAAGTCCTAGGTTAAAAAGGGATTTTATTAATAGTATTAGTTAATTAAAGCTTTTTTTATTAGTTTTTCTTTTTACTAAAGGAGCTTCTAAAGGTATAGTTTTTTTTTTTATTAATTATACTTAGATTTTAAAAAGGAGGGGTTTTACTAAAGGTATATAATTTAATATATAGTATTTATAAAATATCCTTTTTTACTAATTTAGATTTCTTTAGCTATTTTAAGACTTTTTTTAGTAATAATTATAATTATTTAAGTATTAGTTATTTTTTTAAAAGGGTTTATATAGATTTAATTTCTTTTATATATTTAATAGGGGTAATAAAAAACTACTAGCTTAGATTTTATAATTAGTATTACTTATTTACTAAATTTTAATATATATTAACTTATTATTAATTTATATTCCTTAATATTAAGAAAAGGTTTTTAATAATATTATTAATTTTAAGTTTAATTAAATTATATATAGTATTTATAACTTTATTTATATTATATATAGTAAAATTAGTAATTAATATTATATTATTTTTTTAGCTAAAAATATAACTTTTAATTAAGTATTATTTTTTTTACTTAGGTTAGTTTTAATACTAGCTGTAAGGCCTCTTTTAGTTAGTAGTATACTACTTTTAAGGAATATTATTAACTTATTATAGGTCTTTATTTATATTATATACTTTTTCTAAAGTATATAAATAATAAGTTTTATAATAATCTTTTTTAGGGAAGTAAAATTATTTTTACTTACTTTTTTAATTATAAGTAGGAATATTATTTTATTTATAAAGATCTATAGCTAATTTTCCTTTTTTTTTTATAAATAATAGTAAAAGGTACTTACTTTAGTTACTTTTTTATTATAGTTATTTCTTTAATAAAAATAAGTATTTTTTTTTAATTTAAGGTTAAACTTATATTATTAAAAATTATAACTCTTTAGTTATATAGAAGTCTTAAACTTATTTATATAATAATAATAATATTACGCTAGATAGCTAAGCTAAGCTAAGCTAATAACTAGTCCCTCTGCTGGTTTCTTTATAGCGGAAAAACCCTCTGTAGAAAACCTATACCTACTACCGGGATAAAAACCTCTATACTACCCCTTTACTACTATAACGGTCCGTTACTGCTATAGTTTACGGCTATAGTAGCCCGAAGCCGGTACGTTCTTGGCCCTTCGAGGAAGGTTGCTAACTAGTTAGATAGGTATCGTTAGTTAGTCTGTAGCTGCTGTAGGCCGTATTTAATGCTCTGTATTATTGTAGTGGCCCTTTGCCGCAGGGGTGGCCCGCCGGCCTAACCTCCCGGGAACGCTCCGGGTAGCGCTGCTGTATTGTAGCAGCTACGGCCTAAGTTTAATACCGTCAGGCTAGGTCTCTGCTGTCGTATAGGGTACGGCCCGGGTTGTATATTAACCTCGGGCAGCAGCCGTTGGGACCGGCCTAAGGACCTAAGTGTTGCGGCAATTTGACCATTTGATGAGCAGGATGGTCAGTCTGCTGGCACGGGGTCCCCCAGCCGGATTTAAACCGACTACCTTATGAGTACCCGGGGAAATACTGTAAGACCTCCAGGCATATGCTACTGCGCCATGGGGGCAACTTATTTATATATATTATAAATAAGTAGCTTTTAAAAAAATACTTAATTAATTTAGTAAGTTCTATAATAGGTTTACTAAATTAAAGGTAGGACCTTAAGCACTAGGCTTTTTTATTATTTTAGTAACTTCTATAGTATTTAAATTCTAAACTAATCTTATATAAATCTATAGTATAATAATTAATAAAATCTTACTTTTACTATTTAAGTAATCTATAATTAAAATACTTAGTAAGTTTTTTAAATTTTAATTAATTTTTACTAAAAGGTAATAGGACTTAATATATAAGTTTATAATAAATTATATTAGGATATATAAAATTATTATTTTAGTAATATTTTTAAAAATTAAATAAGTAGAATAATAAAGAAGACTTTTTAAGTATATTAATATTAGTTTTAATAATATAATCTCTTTTTTTAAAGGGAATATATATAAGTTTATATTTATTATTTTTAATATTATACTTTTTAATATTATATATAAAAGTAAACATAATTTAGTAAAAGAGGTTAAACTAAAAACCTTAAAGGTTACTTTTAATATTAAATACTTTATTAATTTAACGTTTACTATAATACCTTTTATTAAAAAAGCTAGTTTTTTTTAATTAATATAAAAAATATAGTTAATATATTAAAAAAAATATATATATTTTATAAGTTTTATTTCCTTATATTATTTTAGGTAATAGGGCTAAGCTAAAATATATTTTACTAAATATATAAAGGGGACTATTTAAAAAGTTAATTATAGTTTAGCTCCTTTATAAACCTTATTTATAAATTTTTTTTTTTTTACTTTATAATATATATAAAATTATATTAAATAAATAAAATATATACTAAGTCTTCTTTTATTATATTATTATTTAGGAAGTATTAGAGGATTTTCTTTAGCTTTTTTAAAATACCTTTAAAAATATTAAAGGTTTTTATAAAGGGGATTTTAAGTTAAAACCTAGTAAATCCTTTACTTCTTTTCCTTAGTATAAATATATTATAAATAATATCTCTTTATAGTAGGTTTTTAAGGTCTAGCTTTTTATTTAAGTATTAGAGCCTATTTAAAGAGGGCGCAGTTACGCAACAGCTGCGCACCGGCCACGTTACAGGGGCGTAAGCTAAAGGTTATAAAGCCCTTAGCTTAGTAATAATATTATAAAAAACCTAAAATCTAAGAAAAGAATTAAAAAAAAGCAGAAATAAATATAGTTACTTTACTACCTTAAGCTTATATATTTACTATATAACTACTTATAATTATTTTTTATTTTTTTTTACTTTTTTTTACTAACCTAGCTTTTAATAAATTTATTTTTTTACTTATAAAAAGTAAAAGAACTATTAAAAATAAAAATAATTACTAATAAAACTTATTTATATAAACTATAATTTAGTAACTATAAGGCTATAGTTTTATAAACTTAATTATATATATAATTATAAACCCTTTTATAAATAACTTTATAAATAAATATTATAACCTTTTTTTAATAAAAAACTCTTAAGCTAAGTTAACTTAAGTTTT